TATAAAAATGGTAAACAATAACATATAAATATAACTATAAATTATTTTTAATTATAACAATTTTAAAAATTTTATTAACATTTTATTATTTTAAATACCTCGATAAAAACTAATAAAAATTATTTTATTACATATTAACAACATTAAAAGTAAAAAATAACGCCAAATATTTAAATGTATTAATTTACAAGTTTAATTTTATTTACTAGTTTATTTAATAAAGTTAAATATTTAATATATTAATAATATATTAAATTATTAAATTAAATAACGTTTACGTATTTAACGTATTTTTATTAAAAATAACTTATATATTATTAATACTGGTAAAATTTACCAAATTTACCCAATTAATATAAAACATATTTTAATTATTAATTTGGTAATGTTATAATATATTAAAAACTATATAATAAAAGTAAAAGTAAGAAATAAATTTATTATCGTATCACCGGAAAATATGTTTAATATAATTTATAAATTTAACATTATAAAGCTAAAAAATTATAAATTTACTTACGTTATATAAATAAAAAATGGAAAAAGTAAAAAATAAAAATAATTAAATTTTATTTAATTTAAATATAAGGGTAAATTAAATATTAAGCAAGTTAAGCAAAATATTAAATTTATTAATAAAATTTTATATAATATTAAATTATAATTATAAAATAATTAAATTAAAAACAGCAAAAATATTATATTTATTTATAAAAATAATAAAATTATTATTTAAAATATTATTATTAATATTTTTATTATTGTTATTTAATTAATGTAACAATAACTGTAATAATATATTATTATCTTTTAATAATTAAAAAAACCAACTTTTATTTATTAAAATATTTTAATAATTAAAGTAATTTTCTCGTAAAAAATAAAATTATTATATAATATATTTTTAGCAAATATAAAAATTTTAAAAAATTTATTGTTATAATCAAAAATTAATTAACTGTAATATAATAACGTTAAATTTTTTAAGTAATTTTAATAATTGCCGGTATAATAAACTAATATTTTAGAAAAAATGGCAAATATAACTTTTATAATAATATTATAAACCTTAGATTTAACAGATTTTAATAAAATAATAAAGTTAAGATATAATTATTTTTTTTGTTTATATTAATATTAAAAAAAACTTAAGTATAATACCGAAATTAAGGTTATTTTTAACCGAAAAAAAATATACGTTATTTAATATTAAATTTACATTATAAAATTTATAACTACGGTATATACCATTTTTAAATCGTATATTAAACTATTATTTTTTATAACGGATATAAAATTCTCGGATATTTCAGGCCAAATTATCGTAAAAAATTTCGAATAAAGTTAAATTTATATTATTAATAACCGATAATTTAAATATATCCGACGTTAGTTATATAAATAATTATATAAAAAACTATATTAATAATAATGGTAATAATAATGGTAATAAAAAGTTATTAACGTTAAAATTTTCCCGTAAATAAATTTGGATAATGTATAAAAAAAGTATAAAAAAAAAAAATAACGTATTAATATTTCGGCGTTAATTTTAATAAACATATTACGTAACTATATATATTTAACGCACCTTTTAAATACCATTAAAATCTTAACTATTAAAACTTTAACATTAATAAATTAATAATTATATATTAATTATATTTATAAACCGTTTATGTTAATAAATCGTTATTAATTTAATTTGTAAATTGGTTAAAATCAAACCGTTAATAATAAAAATTAACATATTTAAATTTATTAATACATTATATAAATAATAATAATTTAACTTATATAATTAAACTTTATAAATTTAAACTTAATTTATAATAAATTTTAATAATATTAAATATACCGTTATAAATTGGAAAAAAAAAGTTGTTAACAAAATTAACCACGTTATTTTAAGGCTTATATGTTATTACCACCCCCGTTATTAAACATTTTAAAAAAATTTTATTAAAATAAAAATAAAGTTTATAATATTGCTTTTTAAGTAGTAAAATAAAGGTTAAAAAAAAAGATGTAAAAGAAAAAAATAATTAAATAATTAAAAAAAAAAAAACGTTTTATTTATAAATAATTTTAAAAGATAAAATAAGTAAATAAATTATATATATAAAAAGGATAAAATAATCTAGGAAATATATATTTAATAATAGTTTTTTTTAAAATTATATAAATTATAATAAACTTCTCGCAACTTAAAAATAAAGTTTATAATATTATAAAATTAATATATATAAAAAAATTATATAATATTAATAAAAAAAATTATAAAAAAAATAAAAAAATTAAATTTTAAATAAAAAAGTAATATAATATATATAAAAAATTTTACTTAAAAAATTATATTAAAATTTTCTTTTATTAAAATAAATTTTATTAAGTTTTATTAAACCTTATTTATAATTAATTAATTAAATAAATTAAATTTATATATATAAATTAAAGTTAAAAAAAATTATATAATTTACCGTTATATAAAATCATATTAACATATTAAAATAACATAAATTTAAAATTATATTTAATATAATTAATTTATTTATTAAAATATAATTTTAAGGTTTTTAACAAAATACGTATATTTTATTTAATTAATTAAATTTTTACAATTAACTTTCCTTTTTAATTTTAAAACTTTTTAACATATTTACTTAAAATTTAATATATTATTTAATTAATTAATTATTATAACGCTTTATTATAAACTTATATTTATATATATAAATAAACGTTTATTAATTACACGTTTTATTTTATTAATTTTTATATTAATTTAAATATACTTATTTTTTATTAATATTATTATTAACGTTATTTATTAATTTAATTAAATATATCCTTTATTTATTTTTATAATAATTAATTTAATTAATTAAAAGTTTATTTTATTTATTTTATTATTAATTGGTCCGTATTTATTAAATTTAAGCCCTCCCCCCCCCGGTTCGAATTTAAAAGCAAAAACTTTCCTCCGAAAAAATGTTATATAAGCAAGTAAGGAAAGTTTTCTTAACAAGCATTCGTTAGGCATGATGAAATGCGCTTTGACAATACATGTCTAAACTTATCGCCCCCCTTACTAGTCTACGTACATACTGTATACTACCTACCCAGAAACCAGGTGGGTTTCTGTATTGTCGGAAGGCAGATCTCCACACTAGTGTAGGTTCTGTCCACCCTGTTGGGATTAGCTGCGATGGTAGCATACTATGTACAGCTCTTAGCTACTAGCTATTAGCAGAGATTGCATCTTAAAGCTGTCGAGATGAGGTTTATGGGACAATAGTGTGGAAGGGGGAAAACAATGCATATCGATCTATCAATAAAATGTAGCCTAGCCCCCCATTCGCCTCAATATACAGGAAGAAAAAAAGTTGATAAAGTCTCCTGAGGCGAGTCTATTAACGCACAGCTTGCCGCATATGGAGCCCGAGTTGAATCACGATCTCAAACACAAAGTAAGCCCTAATGCATAGCAGCCCATAACCGTATGATCTAGACAGTTTAAAGAGATATCTCCACCTTGGAGATGGTTACGGTCGTTGCAGTATTAGCGTATACTCTACAATAGCTACTATGTATTAGAGATGTGCCGTCGATCGTAGCATCTAAGGAATGCTACGCTGAAGTTGACGTCGAGGGAATTAGTAATCCTGTCATTCTGTAGATCACACCAGGATCGGAGCAAGTAGGTAACATGATGTGTCTAGAATATATATTGCAATAGAAGCTGCTCGAGTGTACATATTTCGGGATCCCTCCGCGACAGTGACTAGAAGGCTGGAAAGGTTAGAGCTCGCTCCGCTCCTGAATACATATCAGGGTTGAATCGTCGGTGATCGTCAATAAACCAACCATAACAGGATGACGGTAAAAACTATATTGTCCAAGTCAGTGGAATTAACTAGATATTATTGTTAATAGTTACGCACCATCTTCTATAATCAAGGCCAGTTGAAAACTAGAGAATCGCAAAGGAGCTAAAGATATTACGCAATTCTCCGTGGCTTACGGTATGTCTCTACGTGAGACCAACTTCACTACATGAAAAAAGTTCTGTATTGTGTAGGCCGTCCGCTTGAGGCTAGATAGGTACCCAGCCAACTTAGCCCGACGACGACTACCGTTACTGATTTGGAAATAGGAAGACTAGTTAGCCGCAACAATGCCACTACATTAGCCTCGATGAATATAAGGTTTAAGATCCGTATTGTGTTTCGACTATCTCGATTCGTCGTGCAGCGACAGATCTTAGCTTCGAATGCTGAAGACCATTTCTCCAGGGAAATTATAGCGCTATATGATTACTGTTTCTTGAGTAAGCCGCTAGAATACGTCGAAGTATTTGGCGCGGAAGGCTGGCGCACTGATAAATGTCTGACGAAATGATATATCAAGCTCGGCGTAGCAATATATTTCGCTCTGGAATTTGCGTTGGGAACAGCTAAACACTCTTCCTAATAGAGTCGAACTTGTCAGGTGAGTCGGTGACGGTGGATCTAACCGCAGTTCTTCATTCCAAGTTTCAATAGTCTGATCCTACATGAAATACTTAAGAATTGCGTATCAGATCTCGTGATGCCATCATACGAACTGCATCTAGGTACTAACAATAGATTGAAGCTGGGCGAAGCTAGGGATACAAGGGCAAAAGGCAAACCTGGTTTCCTTTGGATCATATCCAAGATAATCATTGGTTAAAAGAACCCGACAAAAAGAAAATACCTTGGCATAAAGCAGGGGAAAATACCAAGATGTGAAGATCTGATATGTGCTAGAGCTTAAAAATTGGCGTTGGTAAAATTGAAGCTTTTAGGGGGCTTGGGGCTTAGTCACTTAAGGGGATGCACATAGGATATGTTATGTACCTAAGGTACGAAGTAGCCCTTCTGAAAGTTTTAGGTACTTTACACCGCCTACTTATTTAATTTTGGTACCCACCTAAAAAAAGTTCTGCCGTCCTAAAAATTTCCATAGGCCCCTCCAATTGAAAGACAATCTACATGAACTTTTGGCGACAACATTCACTACAACTAGAAGAAGCCTCAATTAAAAAACAGACACAATGCTGAAACAAATGTATGGACCACATAATTAAATACCGAAAGGGATTTGTACAAAATGCTAATGAGATTTTCTTAGAAAACCCCGAAATGCGCGCTCGAAACGAGCACTCGAGAAGAAAGCCCCGAAAGTAGTCGAGAACCCCAAGACTGCTCTTTTCCTGTACGTTATTCAATCTAGATCCGCGATGTTGCGTGAGGATCTTCTTATATATTATTATCATATACCGGAATACTAATTGGGTTTTAGTCGTGGAACTACTTGTTCGCAAGTCGTACAAGATGCCTTAACCGACCTCTATTCCTTACGCCAGCCACTCGCCAAGAAGTTTACCAAGAAGAATGCCATCCACCCGTTCGAAGATCCCGCTTCGCTCGAGTTTTTCAGCGAGAAAAACGACACATCGTTGCTCGTATTTGGCAGCAGCTCCAAAAAGCGCCCGCACACGTTAACTTTAGCGCGCACGTTTGCAAGCAAGATCCTCGATATGTTAGAGTTTCATCTAGATCCAGAGAGCTACCGGCGAATCTCCCAATTCAAGGGTCGCAAGTTTGCTGTTGGTTTACGGCCTATGATGTTATTTTCGGGGACTGCTTTTGAGAGCCCCGTCGCAAACGAGTATACGATGGCTAAGAGCATGTTGATCGATCTGTTCAAAGGCGACGCCACGAGCGACAAAATTGATGTAGAGGGCCTACAGTACATCGTGTCTGTGTCAGCCGATGAGCCCGTAGGCGATGCCGTAAAGCCGGCGATCCACCTGCGCATCTACCTCATCTCGACGAAGCGCAGCGGACAGCGGCTCCCCAGAGTCGAAGTAGAGGAGATGGGCCCTCGCATGGACCTCCGTGTTGGCCGGATGCGGGAGCCCGAGGAGGCGATATTAAAGGAAGCTATGAAGACGGTTAAGGTAGGCGAAGAGAAGACTAAGAAGAATGTAACGACGGATAGCATTGGTGACAAGATTGGCCGCATCCACCTTGGTAAACAGGATCTCAGCGAACTGCAGACGAGGAAGATGAAGGGACTCAAGAGAAGCCGAGATCTGGAAGATGAGGAAATGAAGGATCCCGTTATCGACGAGGACGCCCTGAAACGTCAGAAGAAGTAATTGGCTTTTTGTGGGCAAAGCGCATGGAATGGCGTTCTGGCTGGGTTGATTGATTGGTATTACTACACTACATGCACATGTCTTGTGGAGTTGGGAGTTTCCCGTTGATGATATCTATACCTCGTCCGATCTTCTTCCCACAGCTACATTAATAGCATCTCGTGCACCCTACTGCCGTGACTTGAATTCTTGATACATTTGGCCCACGACCTTCCGACCCTCGTTGTCCCCTGATATCCACTCCTCCGCCGGGAAGAGATCGAACATGCCAACTTTATCTAGAAGCGGCAGCGTCGCGCGCATCGACTCCTCCAGCTGCGCCTTCTTGTCTTTGTCCTCAGCTTTATGCGCTTCGTTGTAAGCGCGTATGTTTATGAGCAGAGCACTTTCAACTTCGGGTTAGTAGTTTATATTCGAAGTTATGAAGAGAGGGACGGACCCCATAGTCCCGGTTTGTACTTTACTTCCATCCGGGAGTGTTATTTGAGGCATCTCGGCGCCTAGGGTAGCAGAGTTGAGAGCTGCGAGCTTATTGTCGCGGTCGACAATAGCATTATCCGTCATGATTATTAAGACTCGTCCAAATGATAATACTTTTAGTAAGTGCTGGACGGTGCCAGAATACGCAGGACATGAACAGATATTAAAGATTTGGTTCAAGGGTAGCTATATTCAACCACAGGTGATAATTATTGCAAAATATATATTTCTACAAAAACACTGAGTGTCTATCGTTTGTTGTTTAAACCTGGGCGGAATCGTACCATATTGAAAGTCATTGTGGGTTGATGAAACCGGCCGATAACATTGCCCCGAAAAGAGCGACCCCGATTTCTCGGATCCGGGCCCACTATTTCCGGCGGATGACATAACTAGGTTCCGTCGTTCGACAACCGCTCTTTCTGTCGGAGGAATGATCCGGCACATGTGGAATAACGTTGAGATCATATAAAGAATATTGGGTTTGTATTATGGTCATGGCATACCTCAACTACTAGCAATTCGATTTAGAAGCTCAGGCATCGGCGAAATCTATATTTGATAACCCCAAAGGAGTACTTCGATAGTCTATTCAGAGCAGCCATGGCTTATTGACTGCAAATAATAACCTACACAGTCGTTGCATCCTTGCCGACTATTATCTGCAAGGAGAAGGAAGTCTTTAATTGGGCACTACATATCTAGAGGAGAGCTCGTTGAGAGATCTCGGATGACAAAGATTACTCAAGAGGCTAGTTATAGATATCTATTTTATCCATGCTTCATTCATATATAATATTATATCTCACCGACATGTTGAATTTTTTACGTCGAGTTTAAGTTACGTTGCCATGGAAAATTCTCCGGCGGCGACTAAGATACCATGAGTCAGTCTTAACGGATTCTGCCGGCCACGAGAATGTACGAAAATGTTGTCTCACATAAGCGGCCTTGGTATGTTCTACGACAGCGGACCTGAGATGGCGACGACGATACTCATCCGATAATGGCAATATGGAATTTCCCGTCAAATCCCGAGTATCTTCTGCCGCAAACCTGAATTTAGAGAGCATATAGACTAATGGTGTCAAATGTTGGTTTTAGGGGATTGATTAATTGGGAAGGGGGAGAATGATAGTTAGTGGTTAATAGGAAGCTTGTGGTTTATCTCTAGGTAGTATTATGATCTTGAAGTTTTTATTCAAAAGAATACAAATCTCGATAGCCCAATATAACTGCCTCGTGCCATATTGAGTGCATTATGAAGTATTTGTAGTAAACTACATTGGCTTCCTTTCATGCAACCCATAGTGCTATAATTAAACCCTTGCATCATGTCACGTCATTTCATCTCGTGCTTAGGTTTGTACATACATACATATGTACATACCTATGCATTATACATGAGATACCCCTGTAGGTAGCAATCAAAATTCCCATCTGTCTTGAGTTTAACTTCATAGGTAAGCCCGGCACAAATAGCCCTTAACACCCAACAACACTAACTAGAGTATTGCATTTCCCCAGTCTTATTGTCGCCAATCGTAAACCTCTCTCGTAGTTTTGTGTCTTGGAAGTGGCCAATGTATATTGTTTTAGCACACTAATTATTGAAATTTCCGTAAAATTGGTGCTATCGGGTTGTACTAATACAATTAAGGAAGAAGCAAGTTCAGCTTGCCATGTTGCCAAGTCTCAGCTGCACAAAAACATACGTAGGGGCAATTAGCTGCTTAGTCAAAATATGACTGTGATGTAAATCGGTAGATAAACAAGACGAAATGTCATTAGATGACGGGTCAACAACCTAAGGTGGCAAATCCTTAAAGTCATTCAAAAATTTGTTGCTTTTACATATGTGCTGAGTATCTGCGCAGGGATAGAAGAAAATCAAAAGCGTTAAGGGGTAAAAGCTTTGGCCAACATATAGGTATTCAATTTATTTAAACTTCAGTCAGTGCATCTAAATATTTAACACCTACGTTTGACTTATGTTTAGAATGATACACCAATAGTGTAGTAGTATAGTAGTTTAGGATGAGGTGTGTCAGCGAAGGCGTATAAATCAAACTTGACTTTTTGGTGGTTTCGGATTGAGGTAAGTATAAGCACCTCGCAGAGCCCCTTTTCGAAGTTACTTACTTAAAGAGTTGTGACTAAGCCGTTATGAATCCATGGTCTTTTCAACTGTTGTCTCACCCTGTGACCATAAATATTAATTCACAGTTGCCGGACGTTTATTGTAGTCTGTTGGCTTTGTCCTCCATTTGTTGGAGTATCCTGGCTCATAGACCCGGCAGACTTGCCGATCTCTATGAAATGTGTACGTGTATCGATTGATCTTCACACGTATTTTGTGGGTGCTCTTTCTGGGGAGGATGAGCAACATTCGAAGGCAAAAACACGTAACTAATAGCATCATTGTTACAGTTTCATGAGCCTGTTTTATATCGTGACGACTACCACACCAACTTCTCATTCACTATCAAACTGCAATTATGGTTATGGCAGCCCACATTGATGATATCTCGGATGTAGTAGTATAGATGGTGGTTGTAAGCGGGGAAAGTCACTGATGGGTACATAAGTATGTAGGTACCTAATATACCTAATTGTTTGAATTACTGGATGTACCTATTTACTTATATTAATATAAGTACATGTAAGCTGGTAGATGGGGTATATTAGTAATACCTACAGAATAATAAAATAGTTACCCAATTATTAGGTACCTTTCTTAATATGTCGGACGCGCAATTATCTCATTGTTGTTTATCTTAGTTGCACTGCAGTACGCCTCGGCTGAGAGAGCCGCCTTATTACAACCAAAAACCGCCGTCACTACCTACCTAATCCTAAGCGCTAGCCCCACAAGTAAGGTACTTCGTGAATACCTACCTAACCAAGACCCAGCGTGCCTTCAGCTTTTGAAACACCAATTTACTAGCTTAACCTGTCTGTAGCTCTTGGTCTTTCGTTATTCACCTTTTTGCGCCCACATTCGTTTGTGCCTATAATTTGTTTTTTACCCCCCTCAGCCCTGTCTTCATATTATTCTATCGCATATTGCAGAAGGGAATAATTTTCGCCCTTGCTTTCTATTTCATATTCTAGGCGGGGAAATCATTGTGCTGCATCAGTTAACTCAATGACTTAAGGTGACATCGTTGTATTGAACCTTGAGACAAGCCCCCCTCCTCATAGTTAATCCAAGTTGCGAAATTCCCCCTTTTTTGATCTCCAGGGCGACTGAGAAGTAGATCTACTAACAGATCTGTCCGCTGACATTCTAACTGTCCTCAGCTGGGCTGATCCACCCGGCTGCAGAGACACTTGCCATGAAATGAGTGGCTCAACCTTGATTGCTACGGCCCTACCAACCGTCAAGCCTGAACAGTCATTTCAGTCTCCCAGCCATTCTCATTCGCATTCTACCACAGAAACCTATCAAGCCCAGTCAACCTCGACTGCCTCTTCGCAAAATCGATTCTCGAATTCCAACACCCCCCCTCGCCCACCTTCTTTCGATGTACCAACTTTCGATTTTGGCACGGATTTCGACCCGACTCTATCCTTCTCGGGTCAGCTCTTGAACGATAGTACCAATGAGAAACCTACGATCACTCCCACCGAAGACAATATGCCCGGCTTTGAGGCTAGGACAGGCAAGGTGGGGAAATGGAAGACGGCAATGAATCGATCGCCTAGACCATCGTTGCAAGTCACAGAGGATTCTGAAGAGGTTGCTGAGGGAGGGCCTGGTAACGACGAAGGCGCCAGCAACTCCAAGCTGCTGAGTCCGAATCCACAGGAAACGTATAGAAATGTATCAGAGTCGCTTGTATCGTTTGCTAGACGCTCATGGATATCTGGATCGCGGTCGCCCTCGCCCAACGACAAGAAAGACGAAAAGAAGGATGAAAAAAAGGACGAGACGGAAGTAACATATAATAGCCGGCCTAGCCGTGAACGGTCCGCTAGCAACAGCTCGATTATGAAACTTAAAAGGTCTTCGCGAAAGCGCCCAGCGTCGCCCGGTAGTAGCGATGGCGGCAAGTCAGCCGACTCCGTTAGTAAATTTGGCACATACCTTAATAGGATCAAGCAACGGCAACCAGGTATGCTGAAGGGGAAAACTCATACCGATAATGAAAGTCTTACTTCCTCGACGGCCAGCATTGCGCCCCCATCTACGGAGACCCGCCAGTCACATAATTCGGAGACGAGCAATAGTACGTTCCCAGAGGATGGCCCGCTCGTAAAACCGTCACGATCTCGAGACCCTCTCTGGTCAGCATTTAAGGGGTTAGATAACGATTATCATAAATTTCAAGCGCAGACAAAACCCAACGTCAATCCTGCTAGTGCAAAGATGGATATGGTTCGAAGCGTGTTGATGCGCTTCTTGGGGAACTATGCAAATCACTCATCAAATAAGAGGTTGCACCACGAGGATTTAGAGCGGAGAGCTATCATTTTGGACAAATGGTGGAAAGGACTTCTCGAGCTGCTGGATGGGAAGACACAACAACCTGTTGCAGGAGCTGACAGACCTGACCTGCTTGATGCTATGACATCTATTATGATGCGACCAGAATGGCGGCAGTGCAACATTACCTTCTGTCCACTGGCAGATCGAAACTCCACAGAACAGTTCGAAAAAAGGGCTCGAGCCAGCTCTAATATGTCTTCTTCTTCGCTAGATTCCACGGATTCTGCCTTCCTCGCCGAATCTGCAAGACATAATGTAGAAGTTATGTTTATTACAAACTTGGTGTCGCAGATGGCCATTGTGGTAGAGAAGCTGTCGCTTCGACATGCTCCTTTAAGCCTTGTCAATTTTGCGGGTAAAGTTTACGCTTATGCCTTTTTCTTTGCGCCAGGCATTGCGGGCGTGCTCATACGCTTGTGGTCTTTAAATTCGGATCAGATACGCCGCGTTGCAGACGAGTTCGGCCTGCCCCGGTATGGTCACGGTGACAGTGATGCCATCGCAGCATTCTTCCCTCCGGCCGTCAGCGGACTTGGTTGGTCCTCCGTCAGGGCCTTGTCTAGTTTACTTAAGCAACCTGCAACATTACCGGTGATGGCAGCCCAGATCTCCTGGCGTGGTCCGTGGGTCTCTAGGTGGACTGGACGCGATACAGACTTATTCTTCATATTTTGCAAGTACTATTACATGCTGGCCGAAGAATTTATGCCATCTGGCTTACCCCTCGTCGAGAAAGCTCGCGCCCCGGGTTTTGTCCTTGTGAACGCCCAGATACTTTCCATTTTAGACTCCACTATACATCGTCAGGCAGCTGTCGAGGCTATGCTAGGACCTCCTCTCTCAGATGCAGTTCACGGTGCCGATGCGTCGGCTATGGCTTTGCCTATGCCGCCAAATAACAATATCATGAAGGGGATGAGCGAGAACCGCCTTATAGTACTCTTGAAAGACTTCCTGTCTAGCGCCTCGATGTTCTTCGCAGGCGCACGACATACGTTTGCCGAGTCGTTTATGGCCATCATGAAAGCTGCCGCTAAGCGGACCTCGCAATTCGACCACAATGCATGTTTCACAATTTGCGATTTTCTGGAAGAAGCATTGGTGGCTTATGACAATTTTATTGACGTTCAAAATCCCGAATTTACCTACGTCGATTGGCCCTTCTGGATCGAGGTTTGTAAGAAAATATTGAACTCGAACCATACAATGTCCGAGATTCGAGTTGTCTCTTTCATCTTCTCGATCTGGGACGTTATCGAAAGCAATCAGTCACGCAAGGAGACCGTATGTCTGGAGTGGTTACTCCAAGAGGAGGTGTTCAATAAGCTATTTACCAATTGGTGCCCTATGGTTAGAGCTTACTATATGCGGTTGCTCTGCTGGAGATTATGTAGGGACGCTGGCAATGCGACTGATGCAGACGCGTAAGGATTTTGTAACCCCCCTAATTCTAGAACTCTGCTCACTCTGCCACAGCAAGATCTTTCTCGTTATTTACTTACGCCTCAAGACTGTATGGTCGCATTATCTTTGGCTAAAGCAGGTTGCGGACGATCAAGGAAAATTTCCGCCGTCGACTGCGCCATCGTTTCCAGCCCCTGGGAAGCGATTCATGATTATTCGTAGTGAATTGCCTACTGCGCAGCCTGGACTTATGATGAGCTTTGACTCTTCTGCTTCATCGCCACAAACTGACCTGCAGTCAAGCCCAGCAACTGACTTTGAATCCATGGACGCCATTGACTTCGACATCGAGCCGAGCTTTCAGAAGAAGAGAAGCAGTATTCTGGGTAAAATTTTCTCATTTAGCGGTAATACTTCTGCCGGCAGCGATTTAGAATCTGTGAGACGCGAGACTGCGGCTTCACGTACTCGACCAATCTTACCTTCCAAGAGTTCTGCAAACATTAGCCCGTCTGCATCTGACTCGGACAGTATAGGCTCGTCGCCAATTTACGAAGATATGCGGTCTATTTTCAAGTTTACGCTGTCATGGAACCCTGCTGGCACAATGCCTCCGCCCAATCGTATCCTCACTCGCCCGCGGCTACCAAGTCCTGCACAATACTGTGTCGCTACAAAGGGTCGGCCCGACAATGCACTGCCACCTGCTCCTGGTCATCCGGCTCCAACTCGGGCGGTATCCGGAAGCCCTAATCCTGGGTTGGTCGATTCCGCGAGGAATGCCGATCCATCCGAGGTACCTTCGTCACCTCCTCGCATTTCCATGACGTTTGATCGCCGGCAGAGTTTTAGCCAGATGAGTCCTATTGAGAGGAGCAGCGAGGATCTACCACTCAACAGCCCTGTGAGCCGATCCAGTGAAAACAAGGATGAGGTGCCCCCCCGCAGCCCGACCTCAACTGCTCCAACACAAGAACCACTTGTCATGCCAGTTGAACCAAAAGGTGTCTATGCTACGGGCGCTAAGTATGCCGGCCGAGCCTTGGCTGAATGGAGCCTAGTCGTTGCCGAATGTAATAGTTTCGTCGATCGAAGGCGAAACGAGGGTGTTCCAGGTTTGAGCGATGTAGAAGTACCAGCTCTTGAGATGGATGGCTTTAGGAAGCTCGCTTGATTCACTCTCCAACACCTCGAAACGAGGTCTCAGGAACTTGGATTGCATACCCGGCGTCATATTGCAAAATGTTGAGTGATTTCGTTCTTGCGGATTATGGTAAAAAGAGCCAGATACCTTACGGGGAGTTTGGAGTTAACCTTTGGCAAATTCGACATTTCGGACAACTATTTGACTTCGCATACATTGTTCGAGAATCCGGAAGGGGTCGGTTATATTTATTTCTACTTGCAACCGAATCGTTGACTGGCGTTGAGCAATTGTCATATCTGGCGCCGAGAAACTCGAATTTTCTTCTCATGACCAGGGAATGACACAACATACCCCATCAGACTTGAGCATATATTAGGTTAGGGCTAGGAGGTACCGGATACAACTCTGGAGTGATCAACAGAAAAAACACAAGAAAACTTTACTTTAGGGACGGATTAGATCAAGGTGGTAGATATGCGAACGCACTTTGCAATTTCGGTTCATAGCCGTGTAGGTATATACATAAAAGAGGCCCCTTCGATGGGAAAGAGTCCATAGACTCCAGCACATGAGCTTGAGCTTGTATCATAGCATTGCATCAACCAACCGTCAGGACGGATTATATAATATTACTCGACAGTGGGTTCGACTTGAGCCCAATACCCTTGCCTGATTTCTCTGATCTGTTCAACCGCAAGTGATCCATATTATTTTGTTCTTTTCATATACATTTTCTGTTCTAAATTATTAAGACTGAGCAAACCTGCTTCTAGCTCTTAACCTATCACCATATAAGTACAAGCAGATCATACCAACGGCGCACAAAATCGAGAGACCGCCAAGCAGACTTACTCCTCCACCCACGCCGAGTTTTTCGTACATGGGCCTGGAAAATAAGATCGAGCCAGCAGCGAAGGAGCTTCGTGCGAAGGTGTTGGCGGCAAATAGGGAGGCTGAGTATTTCGGATAGCACCGAGCAATATAGAAGCTCATACACTGGAATGCGATGAAGATGGAAATAAATAAAATCATAAGGCCAATGATTGGCACGATCCAGTGGATATCTGGTCGCGAGGTCCACGCTAGAAGAAAAAGGAGTCCATCAGCATTTTATATTCGTTTGCGAGACGTCTAGGATAAAGAATAAAATATCTTGCTCACCGAAAATGAACAACCCGATCGGGGCAAGAAACGTCGTCGCCACTCCCGGAAGCAACCTTGCTTCGGGAAACCCGTATAGAGGTGGCGGTTCCCGGCGCATTACAGACTCCGCCTTGAGTCGGAACCAGCTAATATAGCCTAACACGGCAATGAACAGACCCGGAACGAAAGCCAGGAACGGCAAGCCGGACTCCCCAAGATTAAAGCCGTGCATGTCAGAGAACACTATCGGGAACGCCTCGAAGAAAGAATAGTACGTTGCGTAGAGAACTGCGGCGTAACACGTGGTGTAGAGGATGGCAGGGTCAAGCGCATTGATCTGAAAGGGCTTGATTAAAGCGTAGCCAACCTCTTGAAATGGACTCATGTGAGCGCGCTTAAGATCCTCCTCACTTATCAGCTCAGACCGTCCTGTACGAGCTCGGAGCCGGTTCACCCTCCTGTGTAAGATAGTATCTGGGTTCGTTTCAGGCAGGGTCAAGAACATGAGCACCCACACCGGCGCCGCCATCCAGAAGAGCTCCCATCCACTCCATCTCCAGCCCTTCTCCGTTACCGCAAACCCGGATATGATAGGACCCAATGCTGGTCCCAACGTCGCCGACGACGACCATACTGTCAGCACATAGGGTAGTTTCCACGCCACGAACATGTCGTCAAGCGTAGCACCAGCTGCAGCAAGGCAAGGCGACCCGAAGAAGCCCAGCAGAAAGCGAAGCACGAATAAACCGCTTAGGCTATTAACTAGCGAGGCACCAAGTGCTAACATCACGAAGATGAAAAAAGTCACTATGAAAATGCCAGAGCGTCCGACTGCTGGCATCTCGGAGAGCGGCGACCAGAGAAGAGGCCCGAGCCCGTAGCCAAACACATACAGCGCGATACCAAGTGCGGCTACTTCGTAACTCGCGCCGAAGGAGGCCATTACATCTGCCTCTGCTGGGGCATACAAAGAGGAGCCTATGTAGACGGCAAAGGTGTATAAGCCCATCTGCGTAGTGATGAACAACTTTTTCCCGAACGGCCAGTTCACAGGGTTGGCCGGGTCTGTGGCACCATACCAGTCCACTATGACAGGCTCGCGTACAGGAGTAGTAGACACGGGTATAGTCTGGACGGACGCCACACCGCCTTTAGGGGTTGCATTGCCGGCTACTGCTGGGCTCGGCAAACCGCTATCCCATATCTGCTCGGTACCGGCTTCAAGGTCCTTCTCATCAAAGGGCGTCACCGTACCCGTAGAGAAGACTGACGGCTCGACGCAGGAAGTGAATGCCTCTTGCTTCTTTAGTTCATGCTCTAGCTTGCGGTCCAGGAGCGCGGTTGGACCACCGACGTTTAGACTCGCCGGGAGCTGGAACGAGGGGAGCTCCTCTGGGTAAGGGAACAGATCCTTGCGGCCGAAGACTAGGCGCGCGATCTGCCCGATGCTGGTCTCACGGATGACTTCCCGCATGCTTTAGTCGTCTGTCCTTCGCGTGCTAGCAACTGACGATGGGCAATATAAATCGAGGGAAGAGAATGCGGCAAAGAGCTTGAGACGAGACCATGGTTTATTCCATCTCTAGCGAGTGCCTGGTTTCCTCCTTTAAAGTTGTGCGTGGGAATGAATCATGGCGATATCGCAACATTCTCTTCAGGGTCCGCATGCACGAGACAGCTCACTTCAGTCTTATCCCATCCACACACCCACTCATGATAGCGACCTGATTAATCTAGATTTTGTGCCTGAGATAACGACTCGGTGAGGATACTCCGGACAGCTCATCACGATATGAGGTCAGTTTAGGTAGTGTAATCTCGACTACGGCATGTGTACGACATGACGTCCTCGGAGATCGCGATTGACGGCCGCGTTTTTTAAGTAACAGGAACCACATTATCCATCTGATTGGTCAAACGGCGGTGATATATGCGCATTTTAATCATATCAGGTCCGGACTTCCAAATTTGTAAGCTGGAGATAAGGTCTGTCAATACTCGAGTTTGCTCTGCGCTTGGCGGCTTGCGAGGTAGGAAAGTTCTTAGCTCGATGCGAGTCGTGCGTATAATTCGAATATGTTGCTGCCCAAGGCCGGGGACGGATTAGCATACCGAGATTACCCACACGAGGAGACGGTGTGGGTGTGCAGAAGACGAAATTTTGAAGGGATATCACTGGCAAGTCCTTGGAGTAGGTCGCTTTTCTGGACATGGACACGGTTATATGTAGGAACGTGCGGAATGCATACATATTCTGCGTCCCCGGTAGTTCTTGACCCGGCCGAAAAAATTCAGGGGTCGCGAATGAACTCCCGATATTCGGTGGTAGGTGGGCTACGATCCAACCAATGAATGGCCGTGAAGACGTTGGCTCCCTCCTACATTTACACTTGCAGCATAACCCGGCCCGGAATGTGGTAATGGGGTCGTGGACTCCAGTTTCTCGGGTTAGATGTCTTTCCCGGGCATCCGAAAAGGTTTAACTAGGGGCTTACGACTGCATCTTGATGTTCAGGCGAACCCTAAACGGGACAACCTGGTACCTTTTTTCATCCAATGTGGACCTTACTGATATACAGCCCATCCCGTATAAAGATCGTATCAAGTAGCAGCAGGTTGTGGAACGTATCCGTAAGCTCCATTTTATTCAAACGTCCAATCTTGTGGACTTTGATCCTTATCTATCTCAACGGGAGTCGTCCTGTTGGCTTCTAGTATTCTCTCGATCCAACTGTAACGGTCTAGAGCTGATCCTCTATACTACAAGTTTATCCCGGACGTCTCTACCCCCCACTTGTATTTGGTGTGCTATCAAACTTCCGTAGATATATCACTTTTTTTCTTTAAGTCATTATCCACCACATCGTCTAGGATAGCATCGTCCTTCTTGGCAGCGGCAATCCTCGCTAGCTTGAGCTTCCGCGTATCGCTCTCAGTCTGGCGGGTAACCCACCAGGTTATTAGGGTAGTGATGATGCAGCATGCTACGAGAGCCATGGCTATAGCAAAGGATGTTTGGTACCGTGGAGCGTAACCACTCCTAAAGATCTGAGGACCGATAGCACCTCCGATCTGGCCGTAGCTATTTACAAAGCCAATGGAGAATGCAGACCCTGTCGCCCGGCTGGTCGTCTGGACACGCCACGGCCACATCATGGGGTACCAGGCACTAGTAACTGTAACAAGAGTAAATAATTACTTCCTTTATTAAGGGGCTAATGGGGTTGGTTATGTCTCGAAATCTCAATGAGGATACACTATCTCACAAGACAGACCGACGAACAGGGAAGAACGGAACTCTCAGCGTTACATACCAGCGTTTCCAATCATAGTCGCCGCATAAACACCGCCGCTATTGGGGTATGCTACTAAAACCCCGTAACACGCGAGAATGATAGTGAGGAAAGAGAGCGGGTATAGCGGTCTCGGGAGCCGGCCGTTATCGGCGAAGACCCCAGATACGCCGATCACGATGAGGCCTAGGATCGTGATGGGGAGGTTAAGAAGCTGTGCCTGCGCAATCGAACTGAAATATGTCGTCAGAATCAACAAAATCCCCGTCCATATATCCCTCGTGGACTGGGAGAGACTTACGTGAACCCAAGGTCTGCAATGACTGTTGGCTGATAGAAGCGCACCCCTGAAGTCCCGACTGTGAAGAAAGCCCAGATAAAGGTGAAGAGCCATAGTCTCTTGTCCTTCAGGGAGGAAACAATTTCCTATGATAACGCAAATATTAGTACTTATTTTCCTCTTCGAATATGTGTTACGAGTAACAACTCTTAGGTCAAGTGGATCATGTGTTTCTGACGCTTATCAATGGCCCCCTAAGAAGAGAACAATAGGGGAAACTCGACACTTTACATACGCTGAGCTTGAAATCCTGTTCCGTAGCCCTTGGCGAATTTGACGGGAGGCGCGCTTGTATGAATGCTTTCTCCTTATCTGTCAACCAGGACGCTGTCTCGGGAACTATGGAGGCTTTGTCAGTGCTGAAGGTCGCCGCGTCGTCCAACCAAATTAACTTACAGTCCGGCAAGAGGAACCATACACCGACCCCCGTGATAATTGTTGCTATTGCTTCAACCAGGAACAGCCTGCCGAATATCAGCGATCTGAGCGAGAGGTTACAAGAGCTGCTAGTAATCTCACCATTGCCATCCAGATAACCCCCCTGCTCCCGAAGCATGGTCAAAAGCGAACGCAAGGATTCCACTAAATATTCCACTCAAATTTCCGCATACGTCTGAGATATATATTAGCCCTAAGAATAACTTATTAATCTTGCATATACCCACAGAAGTAGAGAAGCCTGAGAGACATTTCGTCTGGTCGATACCAGTAGGTCATTTGCAGTATAATTCCCGGAAACATCCCAGCTTCCGCTAAGGTAATGGTCAGCAAGGCCTCGTTCTGTGGTCCAAGAGTTCTCACCTAAACCCAGAAGAAATCTCGTCACGTATAAACCTTCTTTATTCTTGACGGCGACATGGCATGCTAGCATAATTCCCCATGTAATCATCTATGATTCATCATTAGCGTTCACGTAAAAAGAGGTTGTTCCTAGCATAGGTACCAGAAAGGTAGTTAAACTCATCAGGGGTGCTTACGATTCTCGACTGCCAATGTGAAGGTGAGAATTTCTTGAGCAGTAGATTCGAAGGTGCTTCTCCGACTATGTATGGTATCTGTTTGGCACAGTGAGTTTTCATCATCAATCACACTTAATCGTATCATAACTGAACTCACATAGTATAAGACGGTAACTAAAGCGTATTCATCGGACGTCAATCCCAACTGCGTCATGATATTATCAGGAGTTCCTCTATTCATAATACGAGCGTTTGAGACCTTAAGCCGCTCATGTTAGTCGTGCTCTCTTGCCTTTAGATTATGGCTAGGGATGTGATATAAAGCTTACATTGTCCGAATCCAAGTTCTTGAACATGAAGATGATAGAGCATAAAGGCATAAGGTGCCAGTCGATTCGTCGAATGAGCTTTTTCTCTTCTTCTGCCGTCAATGCAGTACGTGCACGCATGCGCTCGGCATCGTATCCATCGATGGCCTCGCTGGCGGATACATCGTCAGTTACTTCGCCTCTTCGGGCGTGGTGGAATCCATCATTGACGCTGCTGGAGCTGGAATCTACAGCAGCTTCGGAAGATGTTGGTATAGTCGTCTTTGAATTCGACATTTTTCCTGGAATTAGGAGGCCACAACCTTTTATCCGGAGTAAAAAGGAGATTACTCGGATTGGAAAATTATTATTTATGTAATACAGCAGCGTATCAAATAGGCTGCATCTTTTAAGCCCGAGGGTGAGTTGAAGAACGACGAACGACGAAAAAAACCCAGCAGAAGCCCAACAATAATCATAGAATCATTGCCCACTATTATTACGAATTTCTTGCTACACGCTTGCCAAGATGCGACATTATACCTAGCTGATATTATCTCCTAGCATCAGTTCTATGAAATAGACGAGGTGGCGTAGTGCGTACTAGTCGCTATACAGAGACGCAGCATCCCGTTTATCTTCTTATTATCATCATCGATACCCACGTTCTGAAATTAGACACTCCGGGGCCCTTTCCGATAGTGTGGTAGGGGATTGGGAGTTGGGGTTGGAGCTCTCGACCGATCAGAGTGTGCCCCCCCGAGATTCGCCATTGGCCGGGATGATCACGACTTCGCTTAGCTCACATCAAACACACAGAACTGACAGAATCCGGTAGTTTGGAACCGACGGCCCCTCTCTTTGGTCGCGAGGACCCTTGAATCCATTTGGAATGAATGTTCGTAAGCCGATCACGCAATCGTGGAGGTCGTTACATCGGATCCGATGTCTGCGTAGCTATGCCATGCATAAATCGAACCGTGCCTCCGGGTTACGGCGATCGCGTATTTGTCGCGAGAGGTCCTAAGTATAACTTCACACCATAGCCAGTTAATTAACTACCTAACCTATATACCAATCTATATTGAGATTATCAAGATGGCGGCAGTCGCTACTAGAATCGCCGAGAGGAAGGCGGATATACCGACCTATCATCAGGTTCCGGAAACAAAATACGAGCGTAAGAGAGCCTAATGTGCATTCATAAAGAGCTTCATACGCTAATATCGTGCGATCTAGTTGACTGGGCAGATCTTGTAACGTTGGATCTCTCCCAATTCGACCAGCCGGATGGAAAGCAGAAACTGGCAACACAACTCTTTGATGCTATTCATAAGATCGGCTTCTTTTATATTACCAACTTTGGTTTAACCCAAGAACAGGTAGACAGGCAATTTGCTATCGGCAAGGAAGTGTTCCAGCTGCCGACTAAGGAGAAGCTGAAATATCGGGCAGACCTTGAGCACGGGGGATATAACGGCTACAAGCCGCTCGGGGTTCGTGTAAGTTTCTTCGCCCGGATATTCCATATTACCTCCCAGCTAAGATTTTGGTAGCAAGTGAAGCCTGGAGTATACGACAACACCGAGATCTACAACATACCCAAGTTTATACCCGCATTCGAACAGCCACACCCTGAGGTTATTAACGAGAACCGGAAGGAGATAGAGACCTTCGCCCGGCACATCAACGATAACATTGTAGGCAAGCTCCTTGTCCTCTTTGCCATCATCTTAGAGCTGCCAGAGGATTACTTCCTGCAGAGACACCGATATGAAGAAAAGAGCGACTGCCATTTGCGATACATGAAATACCACCATCGGACCGAGGAGCAGAACAAGATCCTAGAGAACGTATGGGTAAAAGGTCACACGGACTTCGGTAGCCTGACTCTACTTTTCCGGCAGCCCGTGAGCGCCTTACAGGTCCGCACACCCGAGGGGGAGTGGAAGTGGGTTAAGCCGTATCCACAAAGCATCACAGTAAATCTCGCCGACTCGCTAGAATTTCTGACAAATGGATTCTTGAAGAGCAGCATTCATCGTGTTGTTGTCCCGCCGCCCGACCAGGCCAACATAGACCGGCTGGGCGTTCTATATTTTGTGAGACCCGAGGACAGCCTCGAGTTGAGACCCATAGTGAGTAATGTGTTGGACCGCCTGGGATATAACAAGACCACGGACGGGAGTGCAGTTGGTATCACTGCCGGAGAGTGGGTGAAGGCGCGTGTTGCCGGGGGAGTCGCCAAAGATAAGGCGAGGAGTGATGTATCCGAGCAGGAGATCATTCGTGGCAAAACAGCTAAATATTACGACTAGACGTACTTTTCGATAAATATATCTAACCCAAAATGAATTCACGCTGTTGTGTTACGGCAGCGAACGCTCAGCTATTCCCCATTGATTAATAGTGCATCGCGCATCCCACACTTTACGCATCCTCGTTGATGTACTGGCCGTACACTTCGGGGTAGAACTTTTTGCCGTTTTCGCGATGGCTGCGCACCTTCGTCCGCAGCTGCGACTCTCCCCAAGTATCGTATTGGCCCTTCAGGAAGGCAGAGTCGATCGCATGTCCCTCCTCGGACTCCCTACCGATATCAAGGGTACTGAAATGCGATTTAAGAGACCCAATAGCCTCTGCCTTTGTGAGGTTTCGACGAACACCCTGAAAAAACGGTACGCTGTATCTTTCGTGCGGACCTGAGAGAACCAGATGCGTTGTGGCTTTGCATATCCCATTGGTCACCACCTCAAAAGCTTGGCCGATGTTGACGACGAAAGTCCCAGGTACTACAGGGACATCGACCCAGTCTCCAGCTTTGTTCAGGACTTGCAATCCCTTGACTTCAGGAGGCGATGCCTGAAGCAAGAATGTCCACCAACCCGAAGAATCCTTGTGAGGACCAACACCTTGCCGAGAACCTGCAGGGTCATCATCTTGCAGTGCAGGATAGTGCACCAGCTTTAAGCGATGCTGGTCTGATAGAAATGGCTGGAAGGTTCCAGACGGAAGCAACAGAGCCTGAGCAACAAGATCTAGAAACCGTTCTCCCAAGGTAGTGAGCTCTCGTATATATGATTCTACCGCAGACCGAAGTTCCGGATGCCCTTTTGGCCACTAGGAAAATCAGTATCATATGCCGTTATAGCCCTTGGACTGTAGACAGACCTGGTTAGGGCCCCGCAGACGTTCGTACAATGGGAGGCCGGAGTGCCATGTTGCTGTAAGCTCCGTAGCAAATTCAAACTGTTCCCTCTGATCTTCTTTACCACCTGTATTCTCACTACCAACGCCGCTATATCCAAGGAAATGTGGCGAATTCTCTAACGCAACAGAATTCTTGGCATCCCTATCTAGCTCGAAAAGTGTAGGTAATGCATTAACCAACCCGTCAACAGCGACTTCTGGGACGCCGTGGTTTGACACATATAAAAAGCCGACTTCTGTAAGAGCATAACGAAGACTATCTAGCAAGCCAGGCTTAGCTGATTTGTCATCTGCTCGCGAAAGATCTATTATCGGGATCTCGCTAAATGCTGTAGCCATTGTCTGCAATTGATGTGATGGGATATTAACAACTCGGAATATCAGTTTCTAGTATAAACGACCTACTATAAGATTTTAAATCCAATAAAACAGACCTGGTTCAAGAAATTCCCGTTGAAAGGATAGGTACCAATACGGTACAAGTCTAAATCACGCCATTTTAACCATATATCGCAACGTTTCCAAGCTATTTCGCTTCTCCGCAGCTTCAGATCACGTGCCGGAGTAGGCCAATAGTTCATAGCCTATATGTAGACAACGAACTACATAAAGCTTTGCAGGTAGAAAATGGCATGTATTAATATAATAATTGAAGGAACACGTTTCGAATCACTTGTTCAGTCGGGACGCTCTCTTAGGATCTCTCCAAAATAGGCAGGCTTCGCGTCGGATATCGTCCGGTTCGACTTTAGTATCTTGGGGCTGTATAACAAGCTGGAGTGCTGGTTTAGAATCGAGCCCATATCCCTCGGGCTCATACTTGGGCCACTCAGGAGAACCTGGGTACCTATGCGTATTCGGATCGCCAGTTGCGACGAAGCTGGATAGGTAGCCATGGTGCACATGACCGATTTCTGGGTGCTGCACTTTGGGTTCAGGCCAAGTGTACCTCCCGTCGGCCGCGTGCGGAATCCCGCGCCAAGCCGGGAAGCTGTTGTTGGTGTTGAAACGAGCTTTCCAAGTGGGTACGCCGGCGGTGGATACCCTATATGCGGTCTCCTGTCCCGGGCAGATATATCCATAATCACTCCAAGCCGCAGATAAACGAGCGTATTGTACCCCTCTCGGAGAATCTTTGAAGGGAGACGCAGCATCTACCACAGGATCTGGGTACAGACTTACCAGCGACTGAAGCTCGTCGGTAGTTAGAAGTGGGGCAGTGATATGCATATAATTCAAAAATTCGTCGTTTGTTTGCATATCACCTGGTACAGTGAATCTTCCCTCGTCCGTGACACTAGTCGTAAGTGTCGGTACGTGGAAGAAAGTACCATCAAGACCGGACTGCGAACCAAACTTTTCTAGCATTGGACCTCCTTGTGTTGGTTGGAATGGCCATGTATTATTGTACTGAGAATCGTCGTATAATTTTATGCTAATTTTCCTGATGTCAGCTAGTTTGGCAGAACGTAAACAGGCTAGAGCTGCTACATTGTCATTGATAGGACAATGGAGGTGTGTCATAAACTCCTCAAATTGACGGACGGAGAGAGGGTAGCTAGCATTCGGAAACGACCGTGCGGTAACGGATCCGGATTGAAGGATAACTCTAGCAAAATAAGGCTTTCCAGCATCCTCGCCATAATTGTGAAAATGGTGAATCCCCACAGAATGAGCGCCCGCAGAACGACCACCAAGGGTGATATCTTCTGGGTTACCGCCGAAGGAGCTGATATGTTTTTGCATGAAATGCTTCAAAAAGAAGTACTGATCTCGCAAACCAAGGTTGAGGAGGCCTTCTTTACTGAACATTACCGAGGGCAAGAAGCCAAGCGAGTTGAGGCGGTAGTGAAAACTCACCACGACTATTGGCGCCTTGGATGATGCGACGAATGCGGCCCCATCTAGACTCTTACTACTGCCGAAGTTGAAACTGCCTCCATGAATATAGACGAAAACTGGAAGCTTTTTACTTAGTGGAACATCCTGCGTCCGGTACACATTGAAATTGAGACAAGCCTCCCCCTGAGCTTCTAGGCTCACGTATTTGGGATCCTGAATACACCCCTTCCCGTATGTCGTGGCTGCTTTCACGCCGTCAAATGGAGCTGGCCAGTCGATGGGCTTAAAACGACCTTCGCCCACGGGTTGAGTTGCATAATCAATACCGAGCCAAGCATCAACTGGGTGTGAGAACGCAGCACCGCTCAGTGTGGTTTTTACCGGTCTTCCAGTGAAATTTCCATAGCCCTCAAGCGTAATAGGGGTATCTTCGACTGAGAAGGACTTTGAAGTATCGGCCTTGCACGTCCTCAGGATTGAGCACAATTGGTCCGAGAGCCTCGTCGTTGTATAGAATGTCCGACCCCAGAAGAGCGTAAAACAAATAACAACAAAAATTGCGAGCCAACCTAACTTTTTCACGTGTATCGCCATGTTATTGGAGATTGGACGTTGTAGGAAATTTCCGAAATGGTTTTAGGAGGCCTCTCGAGTCTAGGCACGCATCCACGTTGACACGCGAATTACCCCCTGAGGCTTATGAGGCTTAGGTGAGAAACCTAGGCGGTATGCCCAGTCCGGTCTCAAGTGATGCCGTAATTATTTTTGAGCGTAGTTATCTAGGTAATTTCTAACATGGGATAAATTGTACCTGCAGATCGGACCCGGATGATGTAATTGGGAATGGTCGTCGTTCTGGTTCTAAGGATATTAGGTACGTTAGACTAGACATTAGGTAGACAGTAGACTGGACGTTAGCTTTTTCGGAACCTCGGGGACGTTCGGATACCGAATGCCTACGGCTCATGCAAGTACCTAGCACTACTCGAGCGGTATGTAACAGGTACATATGTGGATAGGTTGGAGATGTGGCTAGGGCACAGCTGAGATATACATACATATAGAGTACAGGTACAATACAATAGATAGCAAATAAAATTAATAAGATAATTTACTCTATACATACATGAGGAAATCGATTGAGTCATTAATGTCATATATACCTCAAACTTATACGACGTATTTTATAACTACATTGTAGGTAGCATAGTTGCATTATGTACATCACTTATGGACACACACGCTAAATGACCTAAGTATAACCTGCCACGCTAAGTCATCGGAATAGATATGATTGGCTAAACGGCTGCTGCCCCGGATCTGCCGCGTCCCTAACGGTGGCTTAGCACATGTGAGATGTCAAATTACTCCCCCACTTTCTGCAATGAATCCAATCCCGCCCAGTCTCCTTCAATTGCACCGACTCTCTGGACACTACGGATTACTGCCCTTCGGTTCGGCATTCCGAGAAGCCCAATTACTTGATTTGGACCTTTTCGACATCCTTTTCGATGGCTTCGTTTATATGCCCTTACCGACGTAAAAGATATCTCATTCGTCAGCGGTTATGATATTATGACATTGCGGAATAATGCCTCCAAGAAGATCACATAAAAAATCTCGTGCCGGATGCCGAAGATGTAAAGCTCGAAAAATTAAGGTATGTGTGGTCTGGATCTAATTGCGCCTGAAAAGGCGTAAATAAGGAAGGGAGAAAAAAATGAAAATGAAAATGAAAATGAAAAGGGAGCGGCGCAACTGATGCGTTCGCAGTGCGACGAAGTCCATCCTAGGTGTGGAAATTGTACCAAGCATGGCGTTGCTTGCGACTTTGAGCATCCCGGCATCGTCGACACTCTTAGTCCAGTCGAAACCCCTCGTCCGACGACATCTACAAGTAACTGCGATAGTCCCTCGACGAGTACTCTTCCACCGACGCCCTCCGTAGAGTCGAGCACGCCTCTTCCCCTATATCGAAATCCAGAACCTCTTCCCTTGACAAACTCGAACAAAAGTAATCGCATGATGGAGTTAAAACTATTACATCACTACACTACCATTACTTGCCAGACTCTGGCCATATCTTCACCGGTGAGCGAGAAAATATGGCGGGATACTGTCCCGAACCTTGCCTTTACCGGTGCAGAATTTCTAGCCGACGCTTTGCTTGCCGTTTCTGCTCTCCATCTACGGTCACACGCTCCACAGGATCAAGAACTTATACGCGCCAGTCATTCATATATGGCGTCAACCCTTTCGGAATATAGTGCGAGGCTAGGAAAGGGCATAACGGAGTCAAACGCGGAAGCGCTATTCCTTACCGCTGCCCTCATCGCGTTCCAGTCGACGGCGTCCCGTATTTTCGCTAGGGATGACAGTAGTGACTTGAAGGACCGATCTGATGGGTATTCCCTGCCGCTGTCGTGGTTTCACTCGTTTCAGGGAATCAAGGCTGTTGTGGCTTCTAGTTGGCAATGGTTGCGCCATAGCGGGATCGTGATCCCGATAATCGAGTCTCAACCCGCGCTTAATCTTGATCTGTCAGGGCAAAACGCGAATTTTTTCGGGCATCTACTAACCGGAGTGGAAGAGGAGGTTGCCAGCCAAGATGATCCCACAACCCAGGAGCTTACGCGCCAGGCCTACCAGCACGCTGTCGCTGTGCTTGACTGGGCTCATAAGATACCCCATACCGGTGCCCCTCTCGTGTTTCTCGCGACCGTTTCGCGCCGTTTTGTAGAATTGCTCGAGTCCCGGCGTCCACGTGCTCTTGCAATTCTTGCTAGTTATTTTGGGTTACTAAAGTCTCTCGATAGTGTTTGGTGGTTGAAGGGCTTAGCGCGTCGCGAAGTCATGGGCATTGTTTCCCTATTCGATCCAGACGATGAAGAATGGTGGCCTCGTCTGCAATGGCCTGTACGGATTGCATTATACGAGGGCGATTTCATACCACCAGACGTGTGGGGCGCAGAATCTTGCACTGAGACGGCGCTCTTGGACCAAAGCGGCCAAAATGGAGGCTACGTCAGTCATATTGAGCTCGTGAGTCAAATGTTTTCTGCTGTGCAGAATATGCCCCCAACGATGCCGGGCGACGCCCTCGACGCACTCGCCCACCAGACCTTTTTAGCTCGATCCCAAGAATTCAACCGGCAGATGTTACTCCGAGACGATACGCACGTGTTACATTGAAACTTCAGTAACTACATCCGTTCGTGTCAAGCGTCGTTGATCCGAGCTCGAACGGCTTAGGCAAGATCTCACCCTCCAGAGTGTGATCCAGTCGAGTAGAATGCTATTTGCTTCTTTGGGACGCCTTAGGTGTGCATCACATGACTACGCAACTAAATGTTATAACATTGGGAGTTTTCATGAGGCTGATGTACAACAGCATCGAACGATTCGTCACACAGGGGGTGAAAATATGTAATATTGGGATTTTCGTCCCCGAGGATGCGGTATCGATACCATGATCTATCTCTGTGGGGATGGTTTTATCAGGGTTCGAACAGCTAAGGACAGAAGTTGCGAAAGCGACGTAGCGACGACCCCCCACACCTACTACACGAAGCTATTGGCTTTGTTATAGAGCGTGTTGGCAGAAGATATGAGGGGCGACAGCGTATATATACACTTCGACGTAGTTTTCTGTCGGTATATGGCAGATGGGTTAATATGAAGGGAAAGGCTATGGGGATTGCTAACTACCTAATGTATTATACAGTACGTGCAGTTTTAAGCTGACTACAACGTAGGTAAACCTATATTAAGGAGGGACTAAAAACACCACTATGAATAGATCAACTCCAAACTTGGGATCAACTTCCCATGTCTACGAAGTATATACCATCTATGTAATAATAGCTTTAATTTCCCTGAAGACTCCTTTTTATGACAATAAGGGCTTAACTTAGTAACAGATCACATAATATTGCCTACGTTAAAGAATGCGCCAAAATAACATATGCCCGACTTTTAGGAGGGATGTTGTGTTTGGCCAAGATGGTATTTCCTAATTAGGCAATTCGTCTGTGCACCACACTAGCGTCTGGATCCCAGGCTTCTCATTGGTCGAGATATGGAGCTAAAGCTTTAGCTGCATGATTAGCGTTGAGCTAATTTTAGTGCGGATATTTTGGGCGGTACGTACCTTTGATAAGACTTTTGATAAGACCTTTGATAAGACCTTTGATAAGACTTTTGATAAGCAGATAAGAGGATAAGGCTTTTGATAAGAGAGATAAGAGGATTGGGGAAAAAGGTGGCCTGTGCACCAGGTTTAGGCTAAAAATTTAACCAATCACATTAAGGCCACATACAGGCCACATACAGGCCACATGTTGGCTGAGATATGGCACTAAGGAAACACTAAAGATTTGATTGGCTGAGGGGATGGGAGGTATTTAAGTACATACTAGATTAGGCTAAGTCAGGTGAAGATAAGGTGAAGATAAGGGACAGCCTAGCCTAGATTAGGCTAAGCACCACATTACATGCATCTAACATGGTCGATGCATACGCATCACATAAGCACACCACATGACATAACACGTCTATTTTACAAGAGGCCAGGTTCGAATCCCACGCATTCTTCTTTTTTTTACACGAATAAAGAAAGACCACAAGAAAAGATAGCCTAAAACAGCTAGAGCATCGTGCCGCCGCTGCCGGGCCGCGCGAGGGGGGGGTGCGAGGCCCTCGCGAAGCGAGGGCCGAGCGCCCCCCCCGCGCGGCCCGGCGTGGCGGCACGTGACCTTAGGGGAATGAGCGGCTAAATTTCGGAAGAATGACATAAGGGGATGACATAAGGGGATGACATAAGGGGTTGACATAAGGGATGACATAAGCCTTGCTAAAAGTCGGGCTCTTGTGGTCGTCCTCACGGGGGGCCCTCGGTTTTAAACATAATAATGTACTCTAATATTCAGGTAAACTAGCACTTACCTACTTAAGGTATCCGGTGGCGTTCGGATATCCGAGACGGATTAATTAGGAATCCGGCTCGGACCCCGGGGCACACCTCGGATACTTTAAAAGACGAAGTCGGGATTCGGGGATCAGTTGCGGCACAGCCGGAGTCGGGCCGTCCAATGGGCGCTATTTGACTAATGTGCGGTGTTACTAAAACATAGCATCTGGTACGCTGTGGTAGATGTACATGCATTTCCACTACGTATAAGACAGGTATACATCCAAAAGGTCCATTTGAACATATTTAAATTGTTATATTAAATCTGGCGTGGTAAACATGGGTCTTCTTGAGCCTCAACGTGAGTCATGTAACCATGCATATCTATAAGCCCATAATTAAGCCAAGTCAGATAAAGAAGTGATCGAGGAAGAATGTTATGAGTTTGATTATCATCTTCCTATCTCGTATAATGGATCATCGTGGTGCATGGTCTAAGAGTTCCTAGACCTTATATTGGTAACTACCCCGCTCTCGGTAGGTAGCTTACCGTATGATCGGGAGGGGCCGGTCATAGCTTTCTCCTCATAAACGGAGCGTTCCAAGGTTGCAGAAGGATCATATCGAATTTCGAGATGGAAGTCTTTTATAAGCCAGTGTCTTTTATCTTACCCCGTTCCGACTAAAGAGCTGACCCAGTCAATCTGCTCAACCGGCACATTAAGACCAATGCCATTTATAGCTCGAGTTGCTGCTTCAGCTAGTCGAACCCTATTGTCGAGTCCAAAGCGATATCCTCTTCCTTTTCGTGCTAATATCATATTACACACGAGACTATACTCCAACATGCTGCAAGGGTGTGTGCTGAAGAACGTATTTGTCAAGAATGGAGGCCCTAGCATAGGGGCTTGGCAGACTCTGCCTGGCCAGAATGTTTCGAGAATATTGGCACGTACCGGTTTCGACTGGGTGATGGTTGACTGCGAGCATGGAAACATGGATGGTATGAGACCTAACCCTGTCCGAAAATGAGGCGACGATTGAACACGAATATCTGCTTTCATGTCCCTAAAAGACAAAACTGACACTTATTTCGCAAAGACGCCGCAATGCACGAGGCCGTCCCAGCTATCGCTAGCTGTGGAGTGAGCCCTCTCGTGAGGATTCCTGATATGCAAGGCTGGATGATCAAACGTAAGCCAATTGATTGAACCCGGCGATACCATGTAACTAATATCTAGTTAAGGTGCTTTAGATGCAGGGGCACACGGCGTAAGTGGCTAACAAGCAACCACGGGTATTAGAGCAACATTAACAAAACAGATTCTGGTCCCTCTTCTCCGTTCCGCTGACGAGGCCAAAAGAATCGTCAGCGCAGCCAAGTTTCCGCCCCAAGGCCAGCGTGGGCTCGGGTCGCCATTCTCTATGGAACGTTTCAACCCGGTGCCAACCATGACGGAATATCTACAACAAGCTAACGAATCGCTCCTGACGATGGTCCAAATAGAGACGCAAGAAGCGCTTGATGCCGTCGAGGAGATAGCCGCCGTCCCAGGAATTGACGTTCTCTTCGTGGGACCTTTCGACTTAGGGAATAATATTGGCCATCCCATACTGAACGGTGTCATTAAACCTGAGTTAGAACAGGCAATTGACCGGATTCTGGAGGCGACTAATAAGGCAGGGAAGAAGTGCGGTTTCTTCGCCACGGGCGGAGAACAGGCCAAGCAGTATGCCGATAAAGGATTCCATATGATTAGCGTCGCACTTGACGCGACGCTGTTGCAGGCATCGCTGGGCGTGTCGTTAAGCACTGCTCGAGGGCAGCAGGCACCAAAAGCTGGTGGAAGATACTAGGGATATCTTATCTTATTGCCGTACAGACAAAAAGGGTAGTGGAATTTCTTGTCCTTAATATGAGTAGGGCCATGAACCGATATACCCAGATCTATAAGCCCTCATAACGAAGTTCGTACATTAGTAATATCACTTAGGTGTCTACACCTTCATCCCATCCTGAGCTTAGCTGCTTTATGCTTTCTCGACAAGATCCATTTTGGCTTTTACTTGGTCAGTAGTGAACCGGTGCATGAGTTTGACTGCTTTCGAAGCTGACTGCGGATGCTCCTCTGGGTCTGAAGATTTGCTAATGTGAATCTATCAAGAGGTTTATTAGTTGCTGATGGTTTTAGATGTGAGTATTAGGTATGTAGGTATGTTTTGGACTATGTACATACCACGGGGACATCAAATTCGTAGAGATCTCGCCACCTAGGCTTAAGATCAGACTTGATGATATCGATCTCCTTGAATTGAAATGGCCGGGAATCCCAAACATCGGAGAGAACTGATCTAGCTTTGGTACAGAGTCCACAGTTTTCACGCGTGAACAGCGTGATCCTACAGGCCTGAAGTAATCTGTATGTGGCGCGCATTTTGAAGTCAAAAGTCTCAGCGCATTGAAAATATGAATTACCAAGCAAAGCGGTTCAGGTTGGATGAGAATTTGGTTAATTTAAAAAGAAATAGGTGGTACGATTAACATACCTTTTAATCTTAAGTTAAGCCATCTGAATAGTTGCTAGGATATACGGATGACCCTTTCAAAAGTTCTGTCCATAGGAAGACCCTTGTTAGACCCGATATGCATTAACTATGTTTGGCGGCAGTTGCCTACTTATTTGAGGAATGTATTATATTTTATCGTATTATTTTAAACCAATCTTTCTTTTTTTTAAAACATTTATATAATTATTGAAATTTATATTTATATATATATATAACCAATATAAAAGTTATATAGTATTTTTTTCCATTTTTAATTTTATTTTTTGGTCGAGATATAATTTAAAATATAAAGGTAAAGTTTTGTATATATATTTATTTTTAAGCTGCCAGGTGCCAGCTAATCATGGTTAGTGCGTGTCGGGCCTGATAGGGGCGCTTTATGGACAAAACTTTTGAAAGGGTCATCCGTAGAAAATTAGGTAATACGCTATACTTCGTATATGCATATTCAATTTATACATCCTTGAGTTTATTGAAGGTCAGATAGCTTCACCCCACCAAGCGGGGTTCGCAAATTCTGCCGTACGTACCTACTATAAAGAACGTACGTCATAGGCTCTGAGGTTACCTAAAAAGGTGCTATGTGGACTTGGTTTAGCACAGAGCTCCCACAAACAGAAGGCGGTGAGTAGCTTCGAGGCTCTCGTAGCTTCCATCAGCTTCATCTACAAGAATCTTTTATTAACAAATACAATTAAGTGCAGCAAATATACTTTCTTAGCAAACTTCCCAGAGCAAAATACCAACTCTACTTGATTTACTCAAATTAAGAATCAACCGACCATCAATTCTTCGCTAAGATCATACGTACGCCCAACAATGGCTCAGAAGTGTGTCCACAATGGTTGTGGCAAGGTTTACTCCGATCCGGATGAGACCTGTGTTTACCATCCGGGTCCTCCAATCTTTCACGAGGGTCAGAAAGGTGGGCAACCAGTTATATAGCCGACTTAACTATAAGCGACAAAGAGATTCGCTAACGCAAGTCCATATTCACCATGTTTAGGCTGGAAGTGTTGTAAACCAAGAGTCTTAACCTTTGACGAATTCCTCGAGATCCCGCCTTGCACGGAAGGAAAGCATAGCACAACTGATCTACCCCCGGAGATCGAGAAGAAGACTCCAGAGAATATCGACGCGAATTCGTCCCTAGCTTCAAAACTCACCGAGGCTGTATCAGCAGTACCTACTCGTGCCCCTCTCAATCCCCAGCCTGCTCCTACTGCGACCCCGCCGCCTCCCGAGTCCGAAGATGACGATCCATCTCTCGAGATCCCCGATGGCAAGGTTTGCCGCCGGAAAGGCTGCAATGTAGCTTACAAGAAGAGTCAAGGCAGATCCGATGATGAGAAATGTGTCCATCATCCTGGCGCCCCCATATTCCATGAAGGCAGTAAGGGCTACAGCTGTTGCAAGAGACGGGTGCTAGAGTTCGACCAGTTCATGAAGATTGAGGGATGTAAAACCTCGCCCAGACACTTATTCATCGGCTCTGGGCCACAGAAGAACAAGTCCGGTGCGGCCAATTCTTCCGCAACCGCGAATGGCGAGGAGCTACTCGAGAGCGTGCGGCATGACTTCTACCAGACACCTTCGACGGTGATAGCATCTTTCTTCCTCAAGAAGATTGACAAGGATAAAGCGTCGGTAAATTTCGAGCCCCAAACAATCGTACTTGACCTACCAACAAGTGATGCGCAACCTAAGCGCTATAAGACCAGCGTCCCGTTATTCGGCCGCATCGACCCGGAAAAGTCGACGTACAAGATTCTCGGTACGAAGCTCGAAGTTAGCTTGTGCAAGGCGGATGGCGCGAGCTGGCCGGTCCTGCGGAGCGACGAGCGACTGACAGGCGAGATCTTGCAGGTTGGACGGGCGGGACGAGTGTAGCCTGTCATCCTGTCATCATGCCATCCTAACAGAGTACCTCGCTACCTGGAATTATGGTTCTCTCAGCCATAAGGATCTATGACCGTCAGCATAGTAATGAGCATTTATGAGAAAAACGTCTACTGGATGGGAACATTTGCAAGTGTCAGACTAATCCCTGCGCAGATCCTAGCCCCTGTGTCCCCTCCCTTGTCGAACCGGGAAACCGTCAATCCCAATCCCACAGTAGACGGTATGAAGACGTTGAATCATCAATCATGTCATACTCTCAATATCAAAAAGACAAATTTCAACAGTGAATTTCATCTTAATAGGCTCGCCTATCCCACTTTCTCAATATGACGCGTAAACACTAAGCGAAGCTTTCGGCTCAAGACTTTTCGGAAAGTTTCTTCAGACTCAAAGTTCGTCGCAGCATGAAGCAGGCCACTGAAGAAGTATTCACTCTCGTTTTCGTTTATTGGAAAGCCACGTGCTATAAGACAGTCGACGCTTTCTGCTAATTCATCTGGACTATGAACCGCGAGTCGATCGTCTAATAAGAGCCGGGTAGTACACGATCCAGGTAGCTTTGAATATCAATTAAAGACAAACGCCATATACGTAGAATGCAAATGCATCGAGTGATTTACGTGAACCATAATTATCGTATTCGAGTCGTGAATCTGCATGCATGTTTCGGCCGACAAGACGACTAGCCAGCTAGCATTAGGTACAAATAAACTTCCATCATTATCTAAGTAGGTTCAGCTTTAGGAGACGATCTCTGCGGGATAGTCCGGACGCATCTTCCTGTCATCTTCCCGTCTTCCCACTTATACGTCAACATAACATGAAACGACAAGTATCGCTTACTATTAGGTGAATATCTGCCTTGAAGCTACCTAATGGATTAGTAGAACCTAAAGGTCCCATTGATCTAGAGCTACCATGCTCGTACTGAGCCTCAATATGCCACCAACTTCTAGGAGGTACATACTCCTGATACTATCCGGGCAATACTCAACCACGGCGTCTAAGTAGTCGCTAACAACTAAAAGCGAGTTAAGCGCTTCTACTACGTAAAGAAGTGGTAATGATATGCCCCGGCTTAGAAGTAATATTAAGATGAATTCGGAAAATTCCCCGAGTACGTAGATAGGCGGATAATTGACTTGCCATTTGACAACCCGGCAAAACACGGCCACTTCCTTACGCGTTCGTCGTCGCCCACGTCCATCGCGAAGTACATGCATAGTTCGTTTTCCCGGAGGCTGTTTTGCTCGTGCTCTGGTTTAGCGCTAGCGAAAAAGGGACGGTTAGATATCGGATTCAGTGATAAAAAGAGGTACACGGGATTCAAGTATGTACTTACCTTGGACAAAGAGAGTCGATATCTTCCCGCTTCCTGCCTGCCTCGCCCGTCTCGGCATCGTCGGCGTCCTTTCGGGCCCGTCTACGGGCTCGCGCGCGCCTATAGAACATCCGGCACGCAATTTGAATAACATGTCCGAATCCCGCGACAACTAGAACAGGGGTGCCTAGCGCGAGAGCCCAAAGCCTAAAGTAAAAAAATTAATTAATTAGAAACCACCACGAAACGAGAAGCTAGGGAAACGTGTCCGGGGTTCTTACGGAAGCTGGATGTCGCTGAGATGATGCCACAGCGCCAGTACAACACCGAGAATGGCAATCTCGGAGCCTAGTTGTAGCATCGTCCATGTAGACCAGTATAGAGCCATGAGGTCTTCGCCGTCGCAGAATTGTAGTGCTAGAAGCGCGAACACTTCGATAACAAGGAAGACGGCTGCGATTAAGAATAGTAGCGTACACCACTGCGGTAATAAGAGTCAATAAATATCTCTCTAAGGGGCTTGGGCATATCTTAAGAGAAGACACCCTTAACTGGCTTGAGTTGGAAGTATTGACTTCCAAGGTAGACTGGAAGTGCGGAGAAAGGTGTTTCAGCGGTTCATACAGCAAGACCGATTTTAACTCTCCGCCGGAATTCATCTTCGCAGTACCCTCGTTTTTCTCGATACATCATCGTCCTATATATCGAGCATCGATCTTAGTTAGTCACACTTCAACTTCTCGGGGTTAGAAGACTGCATCACGTACGATTGATAAACCCACGACGAAGCAAACAGGATAACGATTACCAGAAAAAAGAGCGTCCAGTAGATGCCGTCGAAATGCATTCTATCAAGACCGGATGCAAATTGGGCGTAGTGAGGGCATCTCAAGGGGTCGAAAGGTGTAAACTGCCCGCCCATCTTGGTATAGGGATGAACAGTAGACGGGCTGCGTAGCGTGTGAGAAAATAGTGAGAATTAATGACGGCAAATAGAAGACACTTCTGCTGTCAAGATATATATATAGAGAGAGAGATGGCTTAGATCTAGATGAGAGAGATTATTCCAACATCTTCAGTGACTACGAAGAAGGGAAGAGAGGACAAAGGCCTGATATAATCGAGCAAAGACATGAAGTCTCAAAGCTAGAGACAAAGTATAGGTGAACGCTAAGTACGGCCGAAGCGTCCTATGATGCGTTGCCTAGCCATGATGACTATACGCCGAGAGAGCAGCCGCACATGTTAGTACCTAATATTTACATGTAGGTAGGTTGGGCTCTAGAAATTGAATAGCTTATCTCTTCCTTAAGGCCGATATGCGAGTAGTGATGTAGGTTAGGAGGCTGTGCAATTAGTACATAGATAGTTTTAGCAGGCAGTTCAAGCAAACCTAATAACAATAATAGGTTTGCCATGCTTTCTTGTTCACATAGCCCCTGCTCGTATCGCTATACATAGATTCGCTGGCTTTCACTTCCGACGTCCGCGGTGGGGTGGAATAACGTCGCGACCAGGTTTTGATGAAGATCGTTGCTAGATGAGCAGATCCGGCTCTAAACTATTGTTATCTCATCTTGGTGGATATCCTTGGTAAACCACAAAGTGGATTCTTCAACGCTCGCAGCAATTCTGTAAGGAATAGATGGGCTTTAGATCTACTAGAAGTCCATCCCTTCCATTAGTTCCGTCCGATCCAAGACCATTCCCTTCTGACCGATATACTCTCTCAGGGCATCCCAATCCGCTCCCTCCTCCTCGCCTTGGCGCCACTTCTCTTGGAATCCCCACGCGCAAGCGATCTTGTCCAGCGCAGCCCTCTCTTCTTCCCTTATCCACCGTAGCCGTAAAGGTACTCCCGGAGCCCAAGTCACTCGCTTCATCTGGTCGTTTGCAGTAGTTAGCGCTACGAGGCCGATCGACGTTGTACAGCCTACGTAGGCCAATATACCAGCGAACGCAACATTAGTCGCAGTAGCGCTGTCCATACTATTTTGAAGATCGGAAAAGTTCGTCGCAAGCACGTATGCCGCCAACGGTGTTGCCGCGAAGGTCCCCACGGGCAGTAGGGCCTTGCGTAAGAGCTTGTTTCGGATGAAAGCTTTCGTGGCATAGGTATTCTCGATAATTCCAACTGCCGCATCTAGGTTTCTAGCCTCGATTGCAGTGTCCAGAGCTTTCTCGATCACATTAGGCTCAATGGCATTTGCTACCTTGTTGGGATTCTGCTTTGCGTAGCTGATAGACCCCGCTCCTTCACGGGGCATGGGCTTTGATGCATACAGTTGAAAGACTTGGGGGAGTGTTTCTGGTTTGCCTAGACGTGCTTGCACATCGACATATTTTTCTAGCAGTTCTGGCGTTATGAAGACGGGCGGGTGAGCTAATACCGCGTAGGCAGTATCTGATATCCTATCGATGATCTGCTTGACCTGGTCCATTATAGTGGCAGTGGCAGTATTTATGGACTTGGGGAAGTTGGGATTGCTTGTGCTATCCAGCGAAAGTAGCTCAGAAGCGGCTGAGTCAAACTCATTTATCATATGAGCGATTTGTGGTTGTACAGCATCGTCCATAATATAATCAGCCACTACGCGACATGCCAGGAGAGCAGCACTCACGTCCGCTTCTGGCGGTATGCGTTTATTCGAGAGTACTTTTGATTTGCTTCGTTCCAAATAAGTCATCATATTAGTGACAGATGATAGCTCTTCGCTTGCTGCTGTCTTAGGTGTTGCCCTGATTTTACTATCATGTTCTCCTAGAGTATGCCGAGTGTTGCCGGTCTCTAGTATCTTCTTTCTAGTTGGCAATACAGTAGAGGCTAGGAGGGCCTTCTGGGCTGCATTTGCTCGTAGGGCATGTTGCACTATTTGCGGTCGATGCCGGGTAGTATTATGAGAGCTCAATGCGGGTTTTGTAGAATAGAAACGGCGAGTGATGATAGAATCGCAAATCTGGCAAACCGACTGCGGTCGCGGGATAGCGACCGGTCGAGGCATTGCTGTGATTTCTATAATACGTAGGAGACTGTGTACCTTACGTTGGTTGTCGGGAAGAGGGATTCAATTAAGGCTCGATAATGAGACTCGGTAATAAGAGATGTGACTTATCGTTTCTTATCTTCCTCGTCACATGCAATATTCCAAATGATATGTAGGTACCTATGCTTCAATGCCAAGATGAGGTGGGGCAATCAGCGCCTGCGCCACAAATGTGACGACAACGCGCGGCTGAAAAGCTTATGTTTCCAGCAATTCCAACGACGTCCAATGACTTATGACTTGTAACTTATTCCTACCTCCTAAACCATCGATAAGGCACCAGCAAATTGCATTTCGCGTCGTTACGTACCAACCGCCTCTCTCACCCCTTCTACTTACATTGAAGTAAAAAGATACCCATAGCAGTCAAGAAAAAACCAGAACATACATCAATTCACTTTAACCAAGACACTTATACCGATTTACCATATTCTTATTAATTCGATACACGCACGGTGACGCCTACTTCAGACCTCAACTTATAACAATCCTCACCGACCCGATACACGCTCCTCTATCTCGCCTGCTTGACTGAGTATTTCGACATACCAAGAGAGCCGGAGCCCAATCTCCGAGATGCCTCCTCCACCACCTCCGCCGCCGCCGCTCCCAGGCATGGGAGGGCCACCGCCTCCTCCCCCTCCACCTGGCGGACTGCCACGACCGGCTGCTGGTGCTGGTGCTGGCCGAGGTGCCTTACTTAGCGATATATCGAAAGGGAGGGCCCTTAGAAAGGCCGTTACGAATGATCGTTCTGCTCCCCAAGTAGCGAAGGCGTCAGGAGGAGGAGGAGGCGGAATGCCCACTGGAGGAGCGCCACCTGTTCCTATAATACCTAGGGGGGCTCCAGCCGTTCCGGGCGGCCTCGCACCACCGGTCCCGGTAAATAGAGCGAGCAACAATGACCATAATAGCGGCGGAGCGGCAGAGCCGGCGCCGCAGTTAGCAGGTTTATTTGTGGGCGGCATGCCGAAGCTAAAGAAACGAGGTGGAGGTGTAGATACAGGAGGTAAGTATCCCACAGTCCTACAGTCCTATTAAGCTCAGCGACGAAGATTACTTACTGTATATGTAGCAAACCAAAACGCATCATATCTAAACGACACAGAGTCGTCAGGCCCGAAAGCGCCGTTAGTACCGAGACCGCCTGTCGGATCCGCCCCCGCCGTACCAACAGCTCCAGCTCGTGCAGTGCCCACACCCCCGACTACGGTCTCTCACGCCTCGGTAGCGACTCTAAGAAAGGCGATCAGCGATGTCCCAAGACCGAGCTCGATGGCATCAGCAGCATCCTCGAAAGGACCCCCGCCGCCGATAGGGAAGAAGCCGCCGCCTCCGCCCGGGTCCAGGAAACCCTCAACCGCACCATCACATTCTCACCTGTCTCATCCTCCTCCCTTACCGGGCTCACATGCGCCACCACCTCCCCCCTCATCTGCTCCAGCGCCGCCGGCACCTCCACCTCCACCACCAACATCCGCGCCAGCGCCACCACCTCCGCCGCCAGTATCAGCACCCGCACCACCACCGCCTCCTCCAGCCGCGGCTCCCAGACCACCCCCTACTACAACGCGATCACAACCCCCTCCTCCACCGCCGTCAGCACCACCCTCTAGCTCAACATCACCAAACATCGCAGTCCAAGCAGCGATGCGTGCAACTGCAACAGGAGGCCGTTCTTCTTCTCCTACCGGCCTACTACCCCCTCTCCCTCCGTCTTCCGCGCCAACACCACCTCCCGTAGCGCGAGATCCGCCTTCAAATCGCCAGCGCGCCGGCACGAATCTCCGCTCGATGCTAGACCCGAGCACATACACGCTAGTCCCCAACGGTACCAGCAAGAGCCCGAGCCCCACCCCCACAGGCAGCGCGATACCCAGCCCGCGCGAGGCGAGCAGAGGCGAGCGGTACATCGTCCACGACAGCCGCTGGCGTTTCAAGGACGAGAGCGAATTCCCCAAGCCCCGACCCTTCCAAGGCGGGCCCCGCAAGTACCGAGCCGGTCGCGGGAGCAGCGTGCCGCTGGACCTAAGTGCGCTCTAGGGGAGCAGTCGTGGTCAAGACATGGTAATGCTAAGGGGAAGAAGAGAAATTGGAAGAGGGGCAGAGAGGAAAACAGAAGATGCAGGGGGCGTAAAGGAGAAGACCAAGAAAGAAGGGTATGACTGGTTGAGTATCCGCTGGTAAAGTTTTAGTTTAGGTACCTAGGTACCCAAGTACAGACCCAAGCTAGATCTATGTAGGAAATGGAAACACGGACAGATTATTCGAGGTCCTGGGGAAAAGGGTGGGATGGGAGGAGATATGCCTTGTGTATATGCATCTGTATGTTCATGTATGTGTACTTCACCAAAAGAATACCTATTAGTAGCGCAGGTGCTCATTCTCCAGTCTCTACTAACCTGCTAGCAATAAGCCCTAGACTATATCACAACTTAATTGGAATAAGTACTAGTTAGAAGCTGGCGACGTCAAGCATCATAGAAATTTATAAGCATTTATGTCTGCATCCTCGTGCCAAATTTTACTCGTAAAGTATGAATTTGCATTGTAAGCGGACTTCGAATATATGATCCGTTGGAATTCAGCTACCTAACAAACCAGCTAACAGGTATGCGGTCTGGCACATTAGTCAAGGACCATCTGAGTGATATCGTATTAAGGTTTCGAACAAGAAGTAGGAATTGCCATTTCGCACAAAGAAAAGTAGAATAACCATGAAGCAAAAGCCAGTCCGTACGCCGATCCAGATGCCAACATTCTCTTTCACCAAATCATACACATTTTCACGATCACAATTAAGGCCGGCCGTTCATACTCCCTGCCTGGCTGAGTGTTCCGTTATCAGACGGGCGGTTTGGAAGTTGGAGGTTGCAAATATGTCTCTGTTCCCGAAGAGGGCATCTTGTGGATTTTTGCGCCCAGTAAGTTATCTCCCCAGTGACCTACTCCATCAATATTCTTTACCACCTCGATCGCAGATGTGATAATTTCATCAAATGCCCCAGCTTGCTGGAGCTGCTGAGGTGTCCAAGAAACTTCCTCGCCCATTTCGAGGTCTCGGTTCTGCTGCAGTGCCTCGTTGATCACCTTGGATTGCAATGAGACTTCGTACCAGGTTGGTAGCTGACCACGTTGCTGATTTCCACTGTACTGCTCAAACAGGATAGTCACATTGTCATTTTCTCTGCCGATAATCCTTGGTGCCATGTCATGTACCTCGCAGATCTCTAGTACGCTCGTAGTTGATGGCTTCGTAGTTGATGACTTCGAACCACAGGCGCCGGAAAAGGGCTGAATATTTCCTCCGTTCCTCGCGTAAGACGCAACGTTGCGGGTTCGGACGAGCAGTATCTCAGCCTGGTATACTCCCTTCACAATGAATTCCAATAACGGTATACCGGAGTCTTGTTTTCTATATCATGACATTAGCAAAGATGTAATAGATTAAATGGATCAGTACCAGTAAACTTACATGACGCGCATGCTGTTAATAAGGTCCTCTGCAAAGTCACCGTATGTTAGGCCCAGGTCTTGCAACTTGGTAAGAGTGACTTGGAAGTCCCACATCCTCTTGGGACAATGCACAAAGACAGCGCAAGAATCACCGCCCAGTCCATAGATTCTATAGGTGAATTCTTTGGCGTCGACCTCCAATGTGAACTTGTGAACCTTTTCGTCTGCTGTCTTAACGCGGCAGTGGATCTCATAGACAGTGTGACGAGTAGTGAGCGCCCATAGTCTTTGCTTAGAACTATCCTCAGCATATGCGATATAATTCGCATCCTCGCCATCTCCTGTAAGAAAATTTGTGAATATCACATCTCGTGGTCGGACGTGATGTCTATCCAACATTTCCTTCATGTCCTGCAGTGACTTGACCTTATCTTCCCAAGCGCTATCCTTCAAGCACACATGGTTGCGATTGACCTTTGTGAGACAGAAACGCCCTAGTTCAGCTTTCAAAGACACCTTACCAGTGAAAGTTTCCAGAGAGCCCATCATTCGGACGAGCTTCTTTGCGATGGCTTGGGTCAATTCGGGATCTGGATCCGGCCCTTTATGCACTTGCTCATGACTAGGTGGGCATCCTCGGATTTGAGAATCATCATATCGGCGGCCTGCCTGCTGTCTCATGGTAGAGCGTCGAGGCGGGGGCGTTATGCTGGGTTCCACGCGGAGCTCTCCTATTTGAACACCCTTCCATAACTTAATGAATGGGTCATCGCGTTCGATTTCAGAGGCCGGTGGATGCTGAGGGGCTTGTGTTCCTGACTGAGTGATGCTTATTTTCTCACTTTCTTTGTCGATACTTGTTGATAGCTCTTCCGTTTGTTGCTGGTCGAACCCGATAAGGTCCTGTTCCGCTGAAAGTATCTCCAAATTATTAGGGGTACGGGAAGATTGTTCTACAACCGTTTCTGTTGGGGTATTAAATGACATCTGGCTTACCAGCCGAACATTCTCATCATCCAGGTTTACGCTAGGCCGTCCCGCGGGACTCTGATGCTTGTAAGAAGGCTGCTCAGAAAGTTCCCAAGATTGGTTGTACTCTGGTTTGGGCACCTGGACAACCCAAGAGGCAACCTCCGGGTTATTTGTAAGGTCGAATAAGACATTATCCGTGCCGTAATTTCTATCCTTCGGTTCGTAGCGCCATACGGTCGGCAAGAATGCCTTAAATGGTTCATTTCTGTCCCTGAGTGATATAGCCGGCGTGATAGTTGCCGGGCCTTTGGTTGGTTGAGAACCGGTACGTGGTAAAGCCACAACAACACCCTGCTCAAACATTTTTCCGTATACGGAAACCCCTTTAGCCAACTCATATTTCGCACGGTCGAGAAAGAAAGTCCTTAGGATTGTTGGCCCTCCATGAGCCATGTAAGTAAATGCCGCAGGACTATGCTGTTTGTCCTCGGCATAAATGAAACTCTCGCAGCGGGTATCGGCTTGGTATGGCGACCCCTGAGAAATATTAGACTTTATCCGTGGCAATAGTAGTGGACTAATAAAACTCACGGCATATCTAGCAAGAGTGTCTAGCTTGCGTATCACTACATTTATCTCTTGGAGTGATTCACCTCCGATAAATACTGCAAGCCCATCGCTTTCCAATGCCAGGGCACAACCCGTGATATGTTGCAACTTGGCCAATACCTCGGCCGTTGCTAGTCTCAAAGGATTTGGACCTCTTCTAAGAAGTCCCTCAGGGACCTTCCATAGCGCTCTGGAAGCAGCCGCTTGGATTTCGGGAGGTGCAGCGGCTAGCCTCAACTCCGAGATGTCCGGTGTACCGGCATAATGGGCGTCTGCACTCCATCCCTGATAAGGGAAAACCTTATTGCTGAAAGACTATATGCATATTAGATACTACTATCAAGAGGCAACATACCTTTTTTAAAAAATTAAAAATAAAAGAAATAAAACATCATGGAAAAGAAAGAAATAAGAAGGGGAAATACTCACCAATCCGGCAGCAAGCTCTCGTTGGGCTATGTTGTCCAATACCAATTGGCAAGCAGCCATAACCTCTGCTTCGTCGGCGGTCAAACACTTCACCTTCACCCAAGAAGTCTTCAAGTCGTAAGAGACTTGAAGTCCCTATAAATTATATCAACAAACTGTCTAATACAAGTATATTTCTCGGCGAAGCAACTTTGAATAAGGGTTGAAACCTACTTGGAAGGTACGTCGGAGTTCACTAGTGAACTCCTGGAGTCCGTCTGGGTGGAATGCCCAGTTGGACACCAAGAAAAACTCGGTATCCTTTTCCTCTTTCTGGGCAGCTGCGGCGTCTCGTGCTTCTTTTTCGGCTACCCACTTTGGGAAGTCGTGGCGAAGCGCCTCAGAAACGCGCTCGGCAACAAGGTCTTGCTGCACAGATACCTTAGACATGATGTTTCCTATCCTTAGAGATGTTAGCCTTTATCTGGGTGTTCATCATCTTTGCTTAAAGGCACGTTGCAATCTTGTTAATTGACAAGACGCGTCTAGTAACATGTCAAGACGCGTCGTAGAGGACTTACCTTGAAGTTGTGTACACGTAGACAAAATGTTCCCAAAAGACCCTTCACGGTATTAGTTGGCACAATAACAGAGACGGCGATAAGAGGTGGGTAAGTAATTGGTGATAAGGCACAACAATATATTGCATAGGCAAGGAGAAGGAACGAGACGGTTCACTTTAGTGAGGTCGGCGACGAGACACAAATAAAGAAGGCAAAGAGCCAGCAGTTTTCACACGGAATGAAGTTTTGAAAGATGAGTATGTTCGACAAACAACGTTAGGTCACAAGGTTAACTGAGTCTTTAGGGTTGAGAAGTCGCGTCGGCGACGTGATGGGGTTTGTATTGATAGAGGCTGCAGTTGTGAGAAATGATGTATGGGAATTGGAACAGAGAAAGGAATTAACAATACCTCAAGACTTGATGTAGATGGTAGATAGCAGGTTGCTTTGGGATCGGCGTTGGTTGTGAGCTTGGTGTGGATGGAAGAGGTGAAGAACTGGAGGATGAAGTTTGGAAGAGAGAATTGGAAAAGATGGACACTCACTGCGGACCCAAAGTGCATGTAAGTTAGTAGGAACGATTGGGGAGTAATCACCTAGGTAACTACGTAAGGTAGGTACCTACCTAAACTAAACGGAATAGGACGAGGGAAGTCGGTCTTTCCAAAGGTTAATGACCTAGACGTTCTTTCCTACCACTAACCAATGTAAGACAGCTCTAGCTTTTGGGAATGACCCCTAGGCCCCCCTATCTATTTGGGTACTGTAGGTGCCCACAATACATGTATGCCTGCATCAATCCCACGTCCTACCTTATCAGGCGCTACTGCCTGGTCGTACTTGCTCTCGGGACGGCAAGTTCAGATCCGTTAGGTTAGGTACATGCAACATAATAAGAGCACCGGTTATGCCGTACTGATGCATGTGATGTACACAAACATGCACCTAATGCACCTAGGTTTTTCTTCTTCTACAAATACCTAGGTACATGTGCATTGCAGAGACAGGCCTAACCAACTTGGATACATATAGGTTAAGTACCTATATAGTTCATGAACCACGAGGTGCTTGCATAGAACGAAAAAATATTTTACTGTATTCGATTTTGACTTAAAGGGCCGTTATAGCTGCTCTTGTTCATTTTAGTTTACTTAGATAGCTATGGTTGAGGCGGTTTGATATAAATTGTGCAGCTAAGGTTCACGGAGTATGATCATCTGCCTTAAAACTCTTTGTCCATATAATAAACCTAATTAGCATAACGGAATAACAATATGGATCATCAGGACTTAACTTGAACATGTTACGTCCTTAGGCACTTTGAACTAATTTATCAGAGGGTTGGTTATGTTAATAGTTCGTATCACCCTTCATTTGGTGATTTCAAAGACAGGCAATCACAAAATGGACTTAGGCATGGAACTAATTTTGTTGTTCCGCAAGGACTTTTCACCTAAACTATGGAAGTCTGTGGCTACCTACATATACCGAAAGTATCCTGTGCTATAAAAGTCTTACCTGGAATTCTAACGAATACGTTGGTATTTATACCACATATAAACTCTTAAAGTATATCCCTTTTGTCGTATTTTACTTGATATATTACCCAGAATTAAGCTATACAATGCCACAGACAATAAACATACAGTAAGTCAATAGCAAATATTATATACAATTAGAATAATGAGTAGTCGGGGTACCTAACAGCAATCAAGAAGTATCCAGCACAGCTAAATCAGCCCTTAAAGTATAACATGTTCTAGAAAGGCCGATTGTGTCACGGGGTGGAACCAAACAACATGGAAACAACTTCCCGCGAAGAGCCCTGACCTAGGTATCCACGGGATCCCGTGGATATACATACTAAGCATGCCCTTTGTTCTAGATGTCTCATCTAGAATCCTGACAGATTGCTAAATGTGGACCTAAAATAGGCCGATGGAAATGCTCACCCAGGGTGGACCACATGGACGGCGGAATCACAATGACTCATTAATACCTTTTAGACAAGATAGCACGGTTAAGACGTGACGGGTGGTTTTATAGTACCCTGTAAACTGTTGGTAGAGGATAAACCTTCAAGCTAAACGGTATTAATGGTTTGGGATACCTGACAAGAAGAGATAGTTGTTTAACTCTGCCGTTTAAATAATGATATATAACTGTTCTGTGCCATAATTAATATATACAGACATATAGATCTACCTATGCTATGTATAAAGGAGAGTTGCATTGAACATTATGATGGGTTAATACACATAAAAAGGATAGCACTTCGTGATCGCGTAGGGAAGAACTGAGGTTATGATAGCCAGCAGATTTCTTTTATGTAAAAGCTACCTTGTCAATAGAAGCTTAGACACTGGTGAGTTAACCTGAAGGAGATAGTCGACGATTTTTCCATTGTGCCTCTGTATGTGGTCGAAAAATCGAGTTCCTTACACTAAGTGATTTTCGTACCTCTGGTAGCAATACGGAATGTCATTAGGTGCTGATTTTGACGGATATGATAGCATGGCCTCTGTTAGCTTCATAGGTACGTAGTAATTAAAGCTCGCTAAGAAACATGTCAAACACTACCTAACGTCTTAATGTTGTAAGGTAGATAACCTGCCTCCTTGAAATTTTGTGGTAGGTATATTAGGTAATTATATGCCTTGCAATGCTTACCCAAGGGTAGAAACAACATTGAGACTTACCTGTACTTGTATTCTGTTTAAGGATATACCGCACATGGTTATGGTAAATGGGAATATTTGATTGTAAGGTATTTGGGTGATTTGATTTGGCGAATTTTAGTATCAGACAGTAGAAAAGGGGTAATCTGCTTACGTAATATTTCTTTTTGGCTGCAGCAGACTGTACATAGTTCACTTACATAATGGTCAGGATGTGCTCAAATACTTGGCAGAAAAATCCTGGCTTGTTTAAAACAGCAACTGGGATGAGTAGGTTCTTTGTAACACGACGTAGTACGAGAGAAGTATTCTAAGCGATGATAATGCTAAGTGTTGGATGCCTTACTGATTAACAAACTCGAGCTGAGTGGAGCATATTAAGTGCTCGTAAATCTGTTCATCGCAAATGATTTCTTTCTATAACTACCTATAAACTGGTAACCTGGGTATATACAACGTAAGTGGACAATAGAAGGGAGGGTCATGAATGTAAATGTTCATACGCCTTTTGTCATACCAGCCAAGGGTCTCCTTCTGCCCTCTCAAACTTGGGGGCCTTGAAATGATGAAATGAAAATGCCATGGACTGCCGGGTCTCACTCTGATTCAGACCGCAATCACAGAATATCCTTTGCCTCGAACGCCAATCCTATGTATCGTAACATATCCAGACCAGAACTCTCTTCGAGTACCATTTCCTGACCTGGCCCTGGTCGCTCAATTTAGTCAACCATCGAGGTTGTGTTATAAAATCCGAAAGGGAATCGCCGTAGGGTATCGCGAAGGGCGAAAAGGTCGTTATTATAGTTCGAGTGGTATCGTCTTGGTACTAGCGACACGCTTGGAAGTGCGGAGCCGCGATGCGCCAGGTTGGAATAGGGGAAAGAAAAGAAAATGAGGTACTACAATTTCAAAGCCGCCATTTTAGTACATAATAGAGGAATATTCTCGTCGAAGAGGAGCGGACCCGCATGAGTTTTTGAGTGTTCAGGGGCGTTTTGCCGACGAAGGGGCTGCGCGGCAAAACTAGGAGCATATCACTACTCAGCGCCCTTCACATTTTTCTTCACGTTAAGCGCCCATTTCAGCTGGCCAAGTACGCGCTTCGCCTCTTCGAGAGCCCTCTCCTGCTCTTCTTCTCTCTCATGGGCGATCTTCTTGATATCCTTTAGCGCTTGCTCCTGTTCGCGCTTATAGGCCTCAAATTGCTGGGCAATTTCATCCTTTTGCCGTTGCAGGTCTCGAATGTTTCCGTCTTGCTGGTCACATAAATCGCGGAGAACGTTGATTTTTTCATCGTCCGTCCTACGTTCCTCAACCAGTGTTTTAATTCTGTCCTCAAGACCCGCCATAGCACGCTTTACTTCGTCACCCTGATCCTTCCAATGCGACGATATAGCATTGTATCGACCCTCCATCAATGCCGCATGCATATTAGCCTCCTCGACCTGGACCTTGGTGTCCCGGCGACTCTTCTCCATCTCTTCACGCCATATCCGTTCACGTTCTTGAGCATCCGCTGTGCGCTTCTTCTCGAGGTCGACCGTAGACTGTAAGTGCTCAACTTGACGTTCTTTGCGACTCAATAACGTCTTGGTTATTGTGGCTTCTAATAGGCGGTTCTCATAGTCTGCGACCATATGCTCCATCTTGTCTTCGATTATTTTAGCCGCTCGCTTTGCTTCCTCGGCCTTGAAACGCTCAATCTGGATATCCCGTTTCAAGGCCTCGTTGTCCGACACCAATTTATTAATCACTCTGCCTGTCTTTCCTAAACCGGCCTTACCGACGGCGCCGTCCCATTGCGGCGAACTTTCCGGCGCTCCGCCTGGGCGATCTTCGGGCATAGGTGTCCCCGGAACCTGTAAAGACAAGGTTGGCTCCTCCGCCATCTCTTCTCCGAGAGTCGCATCACTTGCGGACATATATGGGTCTTCACTTCGCGATATCGGTAAAGGCGGCCCTAGGCCAGGTGATTGCGGTTTTAACCTGACCGTCGAGCTGCTCTGTGCTTGTTGAGAGTTATATGATGTGCCGCTGACATTGCTATTAATGGAACTTGAAAACCCGCTGTTTCGCGCGGACGGTGATTCTGACGAGATATCTGAAGGTGCTTCAAAGCTAGGGACGGTACGGATGGTGGAGGGTATATTGCTCTTGCTCTTGTTCTTGCCGTTAGGAGAGAAACCAGAATTGGCATAGGAGTTGTATTTTGACTCCGGGGTCGGACTGCGGGTGCTCATGGTGTTCACGTTGTTGGAAGTATGCGCCGGTTTCGATTTTGAATTGGCATTTAGTACACTATTGTCTGTGTATGTAGGTTCTACGGAAGAATATGTTAGTGTAGTTCTGCCGCCTTCCGAGTTAGAATATAGCAGTAATTTTGCTTTGTCCCGAACAATAAATAGGCTAAGAAAATGTAAGGAAACAAGGTTTTAGCTGTCTCCGAAACAATGCTAATGAACATTTTGTGGAATAGAAAAGAGATGAGTGGATTATACGAATATGTAGGCTAGATTATGTTTACCTTGTTTAATGCTTTGTCGAGTGGGAGTCAACGGCTCTCGATTAGGGACAGGACGTATTCGAGGGTTTTGCAGTCGACTGGGCATTTCTCATTTCCCGGTTTTTCTTCGTATTCACGTAGGGATGTCACGTCGCCTGTCAACAGATGGCCAGTAGCGAAAAAGATATCGAGGGGTAGATAAGCGCGTTATGATTTCTAGCGTTTTGCCTGGTTTGATGTTCGGTGTGTGGCGTGGAAGGGTTCTAAATTCGAGTTTGAGCGCGGTGGTGCCGGGGATATGTCATCCAGGGGACAAGGGCGCAGAATCGACGTCAATATAGATAGTAGCTCTGTATAATAAAAGGGTAGTAAAGGTATAAAGGAATATGGAGAAAGCTCTTTGATCTTTGGCTATGCGCTCAACTTGAATTCTGGGTGTATTCTGTACATACGAAAGTAGCAACTGAAACTAATAGAATTCTAAGGTTGAGTTAAAAACGGAGGAGTAGCATTAAAACACACATCCCCATGTTTATGTGTACTATTATGTCGTGGGTTAGATCGCGGGCCTCCTCAATGTTGTTCTGTCGGACTACCTACATGAAAAGGTATTCAGTGTAGTATTTAGTATTTACGAACGGCCGCTAGTGACTCGGCCTTGCAGTAGAAATACGGTACAATGATTAGTGTAGGTTAGTTAGGTACATTTAAAACGTTCGTGGCTGTTGAAAACGCGCTTCACTCTTTTTGGTCTAGACTTAACGACTTAACGGCTTAACGTTTGCATCTGCTAAGAAGCCACGCGTTAAAGCCACTTTGAGAATGCTGGGGTATTGGATAACCCCTGTCTGCCTGTCTAGTCCCTGGCTTGATTCAACGCGTTTTGTCCCGTCTGCCCGTATCCCACCTTGCAATTACCTCCACAGTACATGACCTCCACAGTACATAGTATATACATTATGAGGTACCTATTCGTCCCAGCAACCACCGCGCACAAGATGTCATGGATGCAATTCAACTCTTCCCGACGGATGGCATTTAAGGGCCGCGATATATCCGCTTCTGAAGCAGTGGACCGCATGTTACCATGTCCTATTAATAAGAACATCTTTTAGGTAGGTACCTTAAATTGTATCAAGGGTGACGGGGATGGTTACATAGATCCAACAGCTTATTCGTAGTAATCTCCGTTAGAATTGCCCGCATTCCCTCTTAGACGCCGCGTTTGTAATAACGAACGAGAGACGCGTGCAATTTATTGTACTCGGACGCGTGAAGTGGTCCGCCGATCCCATATCATTTATTCTCGATTTTCATTGGAATCTTGGACAACCGCCACATTTTTGCGAAGAATTCAACGTGATATATGAAATTAGGCAATTAATATTATTCCACTTTATTTTAATCAGTAGGCAATTATAGCGCTTACGCGACAGCCGAGTGGTTAGATACCTACCTATGTAGCTCTCAGAGTCCATTCGGGAATAAGTTTTAATACTGCCTAGTTAACTACCACTAAACTCCTAGTTGTAATCAACAATCACTTCGCTTTGGGATACGTCCGCTGACTGGAGCGTAAGATGCTTCTCCAGGCTAAAACTCTTAGTTCGTACCTAGGCATCAAGATAATGCTCTCATAAAATATATGCCTTTCGAACCTGATCTCAAATCATAGATCAAAAACCCATCTGCCAAAATCTGTAGTTATAGCACGTTCAAAATGGCAGCGCTCTCTCCGCTTGACAAACTTATGCCCCGAGGCTACATCCGCCAAATGTTTTGCTTCCCCTCGACACATGCCGACACTATTAATACACTCAGGGCGGGCTTGAAGGGAGTTGTAAATGATGTCCCCTACCTTCTTTCCGGGATCCTCACCAGCGAAGATCAAAAACATATTTCCCTCAGCACTCCTTATCAAACACTAGAGAACCTCTGCTATGAACAAGATCTTTCGGATACTGTTGATTACGCCGCTATCAAGGCACAAAACTTCCCGCCCTCGGCATTTACCGCGCCAGGGATCATACCTCCTGACACGCAGCCCCCGTTTCCGAACCCGGCGCCGGTATTCCGGGCGAGCGTGTCACTTGTTAAGGGTGGATTCATACTGTGCGTCGCCGTTCATCATTGCACGACCGACATCACGGGATTCGGGACCTTGCTTAAGATATGGGCCTCTCACTGCCGCACAGGCGCGTCTGCGGTGGCTGGGTTCGATCCGTCTTGGCTAGACCGCGCGGCCTTGATTGAGAGACATAGTACCCCCGACGTGACAGCACCTACTTCTATACCTAGGCTACTCCATGTCAGGGGACCTGACGACTATGCTAGGCTTGCTGGTCCAGCATCATCACCTAATGATCTTAGGACCGGCATATTCTTCTTCCCACGGACGAAGCTGCAGGCGCTGAAGCATACCGTGAACGAGCATATCGCTCCTCAGGGTAATGCAGGCTGGGTTTCTTCAGGTGATATTCTCACGGCGCTGCTTTGGAGCGCCATATTAGACGCTGAACAGGAACCGCCCGCCGCTGAATCGGACACAACGGCTAACCAAAGGGATACCAATACAATAGGTTTCCCCGTGAATTTTCGCTCTCGTTTTAGCCCACCCTTACCCTCAAACTACCTCGGCGCCGCCTTTGTGATGACAGCCGCCACAGCTTTGCGGACGGACCTAATATCTTTTGCTACAGGGGTAGCCTCTTGTAGTGACTACACCCTATTAGATCCTACCTCAACCTCAAAACTAGCCGAGATTGCTTTCACAATTCGTGCTTCCCTTCGCAGTGTTGATGAGCAAAGCGTGCGAGATATGCTTACATATTTAAATACCGCGTCTAGTGACCATCCTCCAATCACGCTGGGACCGCGCCACGACGGCATATCAATTGTCTCGTGGGCGGACCAAGGCGCGTATGAGTTAGATTGGGGCGATGCAGTTGGGAGATGTGACGCCGTCAGGTTGCCTAAGTTGGCATCTAAGAGATACCCTATCGTTCTACCTAGAATCCCAAGCAGCACCAACGGTGACGAGGAAGGTTTGGAGGTAATTGTTAGCTTCGACAGGCAAGTGTTCTTCAAATTTGAGCAGAGTTGGCCGATTAAACAGTTCGCGACCACTCGGTGTCGCTCGTAAAGCAGGGTCTAGTGTTCAGTGTTCATGTATACACCGAGTTAACCTCATAATCTTATAGAACCACATGCTCAGAACTCATATTCACAATAGAGCTTATGGAGGTACCTGGGTATCATAGTGGGGTTTTAACCTACGTTTCGGATACATGTAAGTTGCGAGCAATCGTTATAACAACATCCCGTAAAGTACTTTAAATTGAAAATCGTGATTATGTGCTGGTATTAACTGATTGATTGATATATACATATAAGATGGTAGGAATATCGTGGGAGTCCATAAGCCTAAAGACGAGCTAACTCCAAGGATACATGTCCATATTTTAAAGCGCAGTTACTGGTATTAGTTATGACTGGTTATGTCTTGCCAACGCGATCAATTCGTCGTGTTCGCCGCTGTTTTTCAGCATGCCCCAGAAGGCGCCCTCAATGTCGATCAAGTCCCTGGGGGAACCGGCCCTGTAAAGTGGTCAATAATGAACAAAGATAACTCAGGTGGGGGACATACTCTATAACTTTTCCTTCTTCCATAACAATTACTTGGTCGTAATCGATGATAGTCCGTAGACGATGAGCAATGGTTATTATTGTCGAGCCAGCAAACTCCGAACGAATGATCTGCTGCATGCGCACGTCTGTCTCGTGGTCCACTGAAGCCGTCGCTTCGTCTAAAATAACGACTTTAGATCGGCGGCACATAGCACGTGCGAGCCCGAGAATCTGTCTTTGTCCGTTGCTAAAGTTCTTACCGTTTGCCGCGACTTGAGTATGAATCGAAACTCCACGGCCAGGCGCTTGGCTATCGGCGTCATAGATTTGAGTTAGACCGCACGCCGTAAGGACAGATTGCAGTTCTGCCTCATCAAGTTGCTGTAAGGGGTCAAGATTCGATCTGATGTCCCCAGAAAAGATGACCGAGTCCTGCGGTACGAAGCTAATGCTTTCTCGGAGACGTTTGAGAGGTATGTTGCTAATATTAACACCATCAATTACGATACTACCGGAAACCACGTGTGTGGAGCGTAGTAGGGAACGCGCAATGGTACTCTTACCACTACCGGTACGACCGATGATGGCGACTCGCTGACCTGGCCGGGCGTTAAGTTTTACATCCCGCAGAATATCAGGGCCGTCCATCGAGTAGCGAACAGTCACATTCTGGAACTCCACATGACCAGTTGCTGGCCAAGCTGCAGGAATCTCAGTTGCCTTCGACTTCTCTTCCTCGGAGTTTACCTCAGGTTCGATTTCTGCGTACTCAGATACACGTTGAAACGAATTTAACTCCACTTCTAACTCGTTCATGTTCCTCACTAATGTCAGGATAGTTTGGCTTAGGCCAATAGCGTTAGTTAGAGAGAAGCCAACAAGACCCGGCGAGCCGGATTTATAGTAAGCTATGCATCCGGCCGCGGCCGCAACTGTAGCAGCGCAAAAGTCGGAACGGATAGACACCCATCGGTTGCAGTTGTATTGAGCTTCCATCGCGCGCATATACACGGCGAGCTTGTCAGCAAGGATCGCCTGGAAGACATCGTCCATCGGCTGGCGAGCTCTGATGACCGCAAGACCTCCAGCAGAGTCGCTGAAGTGAGAGAAGATAGGTGAAGTTTGCACGGCGCAGAGGCGTTTGATCGATATCTGCGCTCTTGCGTATACTTCTCCTGTAGCAAAGCCGAGAAAGCAGAAGAAACTCGCCGGTAATGCAAAAATGGGCATGATGGACGCAATACTTGCCAACCGCAGAGCAAGCCTGATTCCGTTATCGAGTGTCATGCGTAACCAGTCAACTAGAAGGCTGTCCATAGACTGTATATCTACACCGAACCGATTGATAATACGACCGACAGGAGTATTGTCGTACCATGCTATAGGAGCATTGAGAACGGCAGTAATCAGATGCTCGTGCATAGTCTTCGCTGCTTTCCACCCTCCCCTTTGATAGATATAGTTGTTGAGAAACTGGAGGGATATGAACGTCACGACCGTGCCAATATGTATGAGGAGATATGTTGTCGCTTTGGAAGAGTAATCAGGCTTGGATGATAGTCCAGTCCAGATGGATAACCAAAAGGTGATCGAGAAATAGGCAATTTGTACTAGGAAGGTATTTAGGATCGTTAGAGTAGCGGTAACGTAGCCCCCAAAGAGTAGAATGTATCTAACAACTGTTTAGGAGGTTCTAATTAGCGGCGTTCCTTGTATAGGGTCTTAAGAAACTTACTGAATCCACGTGGGACGCGCCCCGACGCCCTCTTCTCTTCGGTTGCTGTTTCGTCTACAACCACTTCGTGAACTTCATGATTTACCAAGTCAGTGGTTTCACTCCGCACAAAAATTCCTCCCGTCGGAGGGGCCGTGGTTGATTGCGATGAGGAATCGACTTCAATCTCTTCCTGGTGGGCTGTCCAATACGACTTGGCGTCTTTGGAAGGACTTTTAGCATTTGTCTTCGTATACGACACTCTCCCCTGAGCCAACGACACCAATAGTTCGGCATCTTCTATAGCCGTAGTAAAATGTGTTACCAGAATGATTGTCCGATCATCTAGGAGTCCGCTACGGAAGCATCGCTCGTAGACTCTCAAGGCAGTGTGAGTGTCAAGCGCTGAGAATACATCGTCTAAAAGAAGGGTGGAAGACGATGAGTATAATGCTCTCGCTAATGATATCCTTTGTTTCTGGCCTCCGGAAAGGCTAGACCCCTGCTCTCCGGCATGCGTCAAGTCGCCCGAAGGTAATTGCGCCAGGTCTTCTACGAGATCGCAAGCATGGATGATTCGCCTATATCGGCACTCTTCATATGGGCTATAGAACAGAATGTTTTGTCGGATGGTGCTGTTTTGTAACCAGGCTGTCTGGGGCACGTAGGCTACGTCCGGAGGGCAGGTTGCTTTTCCGCTTTCAAGAGTTGTTTCACCCAAGAGCGATAGCAGCAAAGACGTCTTGCCACTACCGATTGGTCCCGTCACAATATTAAGTGACTTTTCGCGAAATGAAATGGATATGTGACGGAGTCGGAATCCGGAGGAACGTGTCAAGCAGAAAGTCGCATCTGTGAGCTCGGGCGGGCCAACTGGGAGACGTTTTCTTTCCTCGGCCAGTTCGAAAAATTTGTCGACTCGTTGTAATGATTTGTGACCCTGTGCTACCCATTGGATGACCTTGGATAGCCATACGAACTGCGCCCGCAATATTTCCGTGAGGGACAGTGCTGTGAAAGCCGTCGGAGCTCGTAGAGGTCGGTCTGTAAAGAGGACAAATGATGTGAACATAGCGAGGAGACTGACAAGAGAGAGCATATCGCCAGCCATGAAAATGAGCATAGAAGTAACATTGCGCTTCCAGATCCGTTGTTGCTCTGTAGCTCGAATGGCGTTAATCATCTTGGCTGCCACATCTTCCCAGGCGAAGAATTTTAGAGTTCGAATCGACTGTAAATATTCAGAGATTCTTGACAGTCGACTATCCGTCACCTCCATTACCAATCCGTGCAACCGGGACTGGCGTCCGGAAAGTCGGGCGGGAAGCGAGGTAAGAGACAGTAGAACTGCAACGCCAACAAGAGATGACCACCCTAACAACTGGTATAGAAACGTCATGGCTATTACCGCCGATACCGTACTCGCTGTTAAGGCGTAGAATATGTCAGTTACATTAGCGATCGCATCGGCATCATATGACAATAGGCTTTCCATCTTGACAGAGTTTGCCTTCTCCTTTGTTTCCGTATCTTTGGATCCGTTTTGTGTCTGTGGGTCAATTTTTTCTTGTATGCTATTGTCTGTCCTTGCCCATAACATCGTCTGGTATATTTCCTGGATCATAGTCGCTTTAGATAGTACAAGGAGCCGCGTGCCCGCAAATATAGATCGTTGGTAGCAGACAGAACGAGCCATAGGCCCGAAGAATAGGAGTGCAATCCATACGAATGGATGAACGACGGTAGCGGCTGTGTCGGGGTCTTCGAGATAGCCCAAAAGATAGAACATGGCACATGGTGCAAGATACTCTGTCATCGCGGTTGCGATTGACCAGAGCATTATTGTCTTAATATCGTTGCGAAACGTTCGACAGAGGGTCCAGAAAGTTCTTCCCCCTTTTAGACGAGCTTTGCGCATACGTTGTAGCAATGTTGTCGGCGCATCGTATGTCGGTAGAGGAGGAAGATCGTCTATGACCAAGTCCCGGGAGAAACCCCGAACCATGAGATATGTAAGCCATTCGTAAGAGAGATAATATGAGAACCATGAACATGTTTCTTCGGGAGATAGTTCCCCGTTCATATCATCTGAGCCCTGACTCTCGGGGTTAGGTTCTTTCCTTCGTACAAGGCGCGGCGAGACGAATGAAGCCATAAATGCAGATGCCAGGCAAGCGAATTTAACGCACTCAATACTTGACGGGTTATTATGTGGACCAATAATCGCAATGGGCAATAGGAGTCTGACAGCTTCCAAGATGGTAAAAATCGCTATTATTATGTTCATGTGGCGGCTCAAAGGAATGCTGATAGCCTTGAGCCTCCAGGCAAATTGTAAAATTCCCAGGAGGAGCAGATAGCCCAAAGCAAGTGATTCCATCCATAGTCCATTTTGGAGCTTGGAGCACAGCGTCAGAGACAATACTGCAGCAAGGATAGCTATTTGCGTAATGGCATACTCGAGCGGTGTATAAGGCCTACATATTCGGTCGACATGGGACTTTACCGTGCGGCCGTAGAATCCATTGGACCAAATGATAGATATCAATAGTGAAATAAGGGATAGCCCAACGCATGCAAGCTGCAAGCGGCCAGTTCCTATAAAGTCAGATAGCTTGGCTGCACGGCGTTGCCATATCTCACTACGGGACTAGTTAGGCAAATACTGATATAAGAAAACTGTAATGAGCTTACATACCTCTCAGGAGTTTTCTCATCCAATATGATGCCGAGGCCTACAATTGGTATCTGCGGCACATCGGAGTTCATGAGGTGCTGGAGGAGAACTCGGTGCATGTTCGTCCTCGTCGTAGTCGTAGAGCATGTTTATTCTCAAGTGTGCAAGTCCAACGGCCGGGAACGAAAGGCTTTAAACGCGAGGCGATATATTATATTAGGTACCTAGGCGGCCCTTAATTAGGCCCTTTTCACAACTCGGTTTTAAGCCGTTAGTTGACGACTTCACTAAATGACCGCTTTGAATAACGCTACGTATTTTTGGGGGCTAGCTACCTGTTCTATATGAAAGCCGAATATCCCTAAAAACGGCTTATAATAAAAATGTAGCTCTAAGGTGTAGCGACGTCGCTAAGCTACTATCTGTTATTGGACATGAGGATACCGACGCGGTCTTGTCCGAGAGGCGAAGACTTGATAAATGCGGTAGTTATCATCCGATTGGACAAACTAACCTTGTTGGTTTATACTCCATACTCCATACTCCATACATCTCCGTACAAGACGATAAAAAAGGCTCAATTAGAGGCTGTCGATAATGTTGTAAAGGTTGTGGACCCCCCAAAGAGCGGGACTAATTCATAGAAAGATTAGGAGGTACTTAATACAGTGCTCATCGCACTTTGTTGATCTTAAGCAAGCTTTTATCTAATAGTTCGACAGTCTGATAATGGTGGTACTCTCCAATACTACCTAATACATGTAGGTATCGTAGTGGAGGACGCTACTAATTAAGATATGAATTAGATATATGTATTAGGTATCCCTCGGATGTGATCCGTTCATGTATTGTACTGTCTGCCGATGAGACAGCATCACTATAGACTTAGGACTTTCAAAGTCCGTCCTTCATGAGCTTAACGATGGAAAAGCACCGAGTAAGTATTCCTTACGAACGCAGAAGACAGTTCAGCAATGCCAGATATCTGCTTTTCTGCTCATTAGCCTTCCTCTGTTTAACCCCTTTTTACTTTGGCCCGTCACTACGCTCGCAAGCTAGGCATTGTTTGAACAGATCACGCAATAATCAGCCATACTCTGATGATCCAGAGAAATGGTGCCCCTTACCAGATATCATAGCCCCCAAAGACGACGGTCTCGAGCCGAGTGAACATTTTATGAGCTCTCAGCAGTTACAACTACAGGTCCAACGCCTTTCCGCAGCTATACGCGTTCCAACCGAGAGCTACGATGATAATGGTAATGTCGACGAGGATCCTCGCTGGGAAACGTTCCAGGACTTCCACCAGGTGCTGAAACAATTATTCCCGCTTGTGTAAGTGATGATCACTCGCAAATTGAGGCCCACCCTTGTATTCTTTTTACGTATTCTTATTCTCGGAAATATAGGCACTCGCAACTTGAGCTTCGCAAGGTAAATCGCCACGGTCTTTTATATACGTTTAGAGGTGAGAATACTTCTAAGAAGCCTATTCTGTTGACGGCACATCAAGACGTCGTCCCTGCGGGCACTGCTTCCCGTTGGACATATCCGCCATATGAAGGGCATTTTGATGGGTCTTTTATATGGGGCCGAGGAGCGGCTGACTGTAAGAACGTCCTCATCGGTATCCTCTCGGCTATTGAGGATCTACTCTCGCAATCCTTTGTGCCTCGCCGCACTATCGTACTCGCTTTTGGGTTTGACGAGGAGACAGGCGGTATCAGAGGCGCGGCCGCATTAAACCAATCTCTGGTTGAAGAATGGGGTCTGGAATCATTCTTGTTTGTTTTGGACGAAGGTGGCATGGGGATACAGAGTCAAGGGGATGTTCTCTATGCTTATCCTGGCGTAGGGGAGAAGGGTTACTACGATATCCAACTGACACTTGAGGTTAAGGGCGGCCACAGCTCAAGACCCCTGAGGCATACCGGTATTGGTATCATGGCAGATGCAATCGTAGCGTTGGAAAACGAGCCGTATGCTCCCCGTTTAACACATTCAAGCCCGTTCCGCAGGGTATTAGAATGCAGAACGAGATACTCTCCCGGGGCAGTTCAACCATGGTTACGTGATGCACTTCTTAGCGGAGATGAGTACGAAATTGCCGAGAAGCTCGCCGAAGAAGAAACAGAAGAGAAATGGCTGGTTCAAACAAGCCAGGCAGTCGACGTCATCAACGGAGGCGTTAAAGTCAATGCTCTGCCCGAGAGTATTGAATTCCAAGTGAACCATCGCGTAGCGCTACATGAATCCGACCAGTACATCGACAACCACGTCCGAAGAGTGCTGGACCCTGTGATACGGAAATATGAGCTTGAGTTTCAGGTTGAAACTCACAACACCTCGCATACAGAGGACTCGGAACTAGAAATCACTTCATCTGGAATCTTAAAGATGAAAAGGCTACAGATAATTGATATAGCCCCAATATCAGCAACTGATAATGGCGTATGGAGTGTCTTTAGCGGTACTATACGGCATGTATGGAGTACAGAAAGGGGACAGGACAAAATTGTTGTCCCGGCTGGGAATATAATGACGGGAAATACGGATACTGTTCATTATTGGAATCTTACGGACAATATATACAGATTCACCCCATCCAGAAATGGAACGAGGTTGAACCAGCACGGGATCGACGAGCGGATGGGGCTAACTGCTCACTTGGAAGGCATGAGGTTATATTACGGTAAGTGACCTGATGGTATAGAATATTTTTTTGGATGCATATACTGAGATTTTTGACAGACTTGATCCGGAATTTTGATAGCTGGGACGGCGCATGAATCTCGGCCATCGACTTAGATACCTAGCGCTGGGATCTCAGATGAAGAGAAGTGGCTATGTTGGATGAATACAAGCGAGATGATGAAATCGATGTTATGTGAATACATGATTATCGGGGGAATAGGAGTCACATCGGCTTGTGCAATCGGCGATTAGTAAATTATTATAATAAGCTCGGTCGTAAATACCTCCTATGTACAACACTATTCCTAAGTCGAGAAACTGGTTTGGGCAGCGAGAACACTATCTAACTACTACCTATGTTAGAGGTAGGTATCTTCCCTGGTAGCGGTTTTACGCGTGTTGTGGTGATGTTGAATTTGCTCGTCTGGCGGCGTTCATGAACTCTTTTACGCAGACTGCACACTTTGAGAATGAGGATTCAAACCCGCTATTAGCCAGGTAAGTTAGATTAGACCTAACAAGAAACTCCGCTCTTCGCGACGCTTGCGTGAGCAAGGGATATATATATAAATCAACCCCAGTTCTGCCGCATAGCCTCTACTAGATAATAGGATAATGCTTACTATAGATACTATGCCATAATACATTAGTATCCCTTTTTAACATGGACTATTTTACCAGATGTATTGTATCTCAGACAATGAATAAGCCCGAATGTTGCTTCATGACATCAAGGTAGTCAATCCGGACTCCTTTAGTACTCTGTATTTTGATGACCTGTTCAAGCAGCAATCGGGTCCTGCGAAAATTAGCTCCCCAAATCTCAGCCTCCGAAAGTGTCTTAACCACCCAGTCCTGATAAACGACATCCGTAGTCTCGATACCGGCCAAGAACAGAAGACGTGGCCAAATATTCTGTGGTGAGGGTGGGCGTAATCGGCCGACTAAGGATGATAGACGCACGATGTAAATTGCCGCTAGTTCGGCTGGCTTGAGTCGGTTCGGTACAGTGGCAGATATAGCAGCGGGAACCTTTCTATGGTAGTTTATCACGACTCCGTAATACGCTGCTAGGAGTAGTAGACAGTTAAAACATTTTGTCGTAATTTGACCGGCGAGAGCGCGGCTCGGCTCGTTAATGTAGGAAATGATCGGCGCAACCGAAGGGTCGCGATCGAATCGTTCGCGGAGGGTAATAAGTCCGGATTGTACATTGGACCACATTGCAACCGGCGCAGGACCCGTCCTACGATGTAAGTGGACAATCCGGCTATCCAAAAAGTCAAGCTCCAGGGACAAGCGCAGAGAAGGTTTTAAATCTTCTGTACTGGCGGGCAAGTTTGGAAACGCGGCGTCTATGAAATTGTATTCTGCACAGAATGACTCGAGATTCTCCAAGAGACGTCCTGTGCCTCCGATCCAGGCCCCCCGAGCATCGTATGCACCTAACCAGACTAGCATACGAGAGCCGACGTATCCAAGTGGCGTTGCCTCTCCGCCAGCTTTTAGGTGGCGACGGTGAGCGTCAACAAGATCTGCAATAAATCCCAAGTGCTGACAGAAACCATTAATATCCCGTGCCGCGAGGAGTTCGAACTGAACGGCAAACCAGATGGTAACAATAGAACGTTCAAAATTGATAGCGACAGTTTGGTCTCGATGCAGCATTGTGATGGCAAGCGAGTATCGTTCTTCTGCCTTCCGAACTAGGTCAGGCTCGGGCCTCGTTTGGCCAAGATGCAAGGCCGTCCACGCCAATATGGTATTGAATAATGGTGCATAGAATAGCGCCATGTTACTGAAAACGTGGCTATAGAGGTTCTCCTCGCCTGTGCTACGTATCTTGCAGTAGCCAGTCATGACATTCAAGAAGTGTTGGATGAGTCTGTGGTCATCGGGACGGATAACAACAGTAGCGTCCTGAGTACTCGAAATAGGACCTGGGATCTCAACCTGGCACGGCTCTGATCCCGACTCAGATGATAACATTGGATTTCCTGGAGTGTGTGGGGATAGCCACTCTTCGCCGAGTAGATCGAAGTTCATATTAAGGTCAAAGAAGGCCGGTATGTAACCGGGATTTAATTGGGTTTGGGCTTCGTACACATCCAGCTGTGAGATGGTGTTAACCACACCGGGTTCTGGAACCACCTTGGGCTCGGCGCCATGCTGAGGCGGCGGGCCTCCGGGCGAGGCCTGAACGGGAGAGTGATGCGGCACGGCAGAGTTGCCCGACCCGTTTCCGCTAGAGCTCGGTTCTACATTGTCCCTTGTATTTTCCTTGAGAGGCTTCTGTTTGAGCTTGGCTTCAGGGGCAATACGTTGCTGAGATGAGTCAGATGAGGTAGTTTTGTCATCTACGCGCGATCTCGTGTAGCGAGAATTAACGAAGCGCACGCGGTAGCGAAGCGTCTCGGTAGAATTTGCACGATTAGGCTCATAAGAGCAAGTTAAAGAGAGACGTGTACATGCGTTGCAAATAGGTTTCGTCTCGTCGCACCGTACTTTGCGGCGACGGCAGGAGGAACAACCTGTCTTGGACCTCGCTGGCCGAGTTCGATTCATGTTTGTTGTGAGATTGGAAGACTAACTTTGACTAATTGATGGGTTGGGATCCATACTACACATTAGGTGGAGGGCAAAAGAGACCCTGAAGGAGCCAACGGGATGTGGATCCGGTCCACTTTGCGGGGCTTCGGAATTGCTCCTACTTATCTAGGCAAGTTCCTAGTCAAGTTGGCGAAGAACGAACGACATCTCGAGAAACTTTGCAAGCTCTTACCACGCGATACCTAGTGGGTAGTCATACCCTAGTAAGTCTAGTACCTAAAATGTCTAGTAACCTAGGAAGTAGGTACCCAGTCGCCTATGTAGATAGGTAATTTGCTAATAAGGAAATCAATGCTGCTACCCTGTACGGAATTTGTATACAGATGGAGATAACGTTAGGAGGTAGTTGGTTAGTTAACTAGTTAACCAAAAAGTCAAACTAAAACTTCTTCTACCCACCCAGCCTTATCCTATCTTCAACACCAATTTTCTCCCGCCTGGCTCCTTTAGCGGTGGTTTAGAGATAAGGCGTAAGATCGTCGTGAGTAGCTTTATAAGGCGATGACAAGTAGGCCGTCTTGACAATTAATCCGATTGTTGTCACTTCGTTCTACTTTATTCTCCCGTGTTCAATAGACCGTATCTCTAAACACGCCCCCGGACAGTACAGAAATATCCAAAATGGAGAAGAACCCGGATAGGACCACAGCCGAGTCGGTACGCGATGGGAGACCAGATGATGTCGACAACGCGTACGAGTTTGCAAAGGAGCACGCCGTCGGGCCTTTGAGCGACGAGGACAATAAGCGCATCTTGCGCAAGATCGATCACCATCTGTTGCCCCTGGTATACATACATAAAGACCTCGTCGATCTAGTCGCATTGACCAATTGCTAACGATATCTGGCAGATGATCATCACCTATACTCTGAACTTCATGGACAAGAATGCCCTCTCCTACTCGGCCAATTTTGGCCTCATCACTGACAACGTGCGTTTTTAATGGAGCTCTCAGCTTCTCACCTGTAAAGCGACTAAGTTTTACTGCATTAGAAACTCGTAGGAAACCAGTACAGCTGGGCCTCCGGATCCATTTTCTATCTTACGTACATGGTCTCCCAGCCTTTTGTCGCTCGTCTGATTGTCCGGTTCCCTATCGGCCGCTTCGTCGCCGTTGCTACCACACTTTGGGGCGCTGTGTTGATGACCACGGCGGCGTCGCGTTCTTTCGCTAGCTTAATGGCCATCCGTGCCATCCTGGGTTGTCTCGAATCTTGCATCAACCCCGCCTTTATTGTTATATCCTCCCAATGGTGGACGCGCGACGAGCAACCGCTACGAATTTCGTACTGGTATCTCGGCAACTCGATCGGCCAAGTCTGCGGTGGACTTCTGGGTTATGGTATTGCTCATATCACGAGCCACAAGGTCCCGAACTGGGGGTGGTTCTTCCTAATTTTTGGTGCAATCACCATCCTCTACGGCATCTTCCTGTTTTACTACCTCCCTGATTCACCATTGAATGCTCGTTGGCTTTCAGATCATGACCGAGCCTTGGCCATCGAGCGTGTTCGGAGCAACCGTACGGGAGTTGAGAATCATGTGTGGAAGTGGTCACAGGTCAAGGAGTGCGTACTTGATATACAATGCTGGATTCTTGTAGCAACATTTTTCCTCGACGATATTCCCGCCGGCGGAGTTGGTTCGTTTGGCAGCATAGTAGTCAAGGGGTTTGGTTATGACGCTCTCTACTCAACCCTTCTTCTGGTACCCTTGGGTGTGATCCAAGCCATATGCATCCTCTTCGGAGGTTTCATGACCAGGCGCTTCAAAAACATCCGAACTTGGCTTATCGCCGGTATGTGTTCCTCGACAAAAACGTACATCTTTACTCGTCTTGTTTTCGCTGACCGTATATTTAGGTTGCCAAATCCCGGCGCTTATCGGAGCCGTTCTGCTCTACACTCTGCCTCGGGAAAATTCGCGTGGGCTACTCGGCTCGTACTACATTGTACAAACGCATGGCATAGTCGGCACACTCACCATGTCGCTGGTAGCTAGTAATTTCGCCGGGTATACAAAGAAAGCTACCGCATCCACGATGATGTACGTGGCCTTCTGCGTTGGACAGGTCGTTGCTCCTCAGCTTTTTCTTCCAAGCGAGGCGCCAGCATACAAAACCGCCTTTCTCGCTGCTTTCATATGTTTTGCTCTGTGCATCGTGTTCACCATTGTTCTACGATTCTACCTTATTTGGGAAAATGAGAGACGAGACCAGCTTCACTTGTCAGAAGGCGAGCTTAGCAACACCGACAACGAGTTCCTCGACCTGACGGATAAGCAGCAAAAGGCTCTCTTCCGTTATGTTCTGTAGGAAATGGCATTCGCTACAGATATGATCTACAGGAAGACAGGTAACATTTGTGCGTGTCTCCTGTTTGGTAGGAAGGACGCATCTATGGATATTATGAAGTTATAATACCTACCTAATCTACAGCGGAGATGTAATGGGTGAGGTGTTGCTAGCGGGAGTTTCTAAGCGATCTTTAATTTGATTGAGGGAATGAATATATTATCTATTACGAGTTTCAACGTGGAAGAGAAGGGGAAAAGAGAGGGAGGCTCTTTGTTTGCAAGCACGAGTTGCCGGATGAAATTACCAGCATATTACATATTCCCACCCACATAGCAAAGCTACCTCTATGTCTAGATGCCTAATATACCTAATATGTAGGACTTGTCTCGGAATTACTGCTATCTCTCTGTTGGTCGCACTGTATATTGTTCTTATCTAATACATTGATGGCTAAAACTACCTACGGTTTGCTAATTCACGGGCTAACATTGTTAGGCGCGGGGTTCCCCGGACTACAAGTGCGTGCTCTTAGTTACCTAGGTAGGTACCTAAATATTGGAAGGGTTCTAGGATGTAAACCATGTACTACCATGCACACGTGGTTTGACGCCATTTAGAACCGGACTGTTCAAGTGCTCCACAATTGTAGTTAAGTGCAATGCGCACTGTAACAAGTACCTAAGGCATCTACTTCGTAAGATCAGCAATCACGACATTTACAACGAACGTTATTCCCGGGTCTTCGGCCAGTCTCTCGGCTTGTCGGTTTCCTAATGGGTACTTAATAACTAAGGGGGACTTTATTCTATTGATACGCTCTATTGATACGACAATGGCCTACATGTGGATATATGATGGGAATATAATGGTCTTGGCAATTAGATGTTGGCTTTACTCCTTGAAGACTGTGTAAATCAGATCGTTGAATATCATATCATATCATAAATGAAAACCTCATAGTTGTTAGGCCGAGCATAAAACTCTTGTGAATGATACGATAGTTACTGCTAAAACATGGAAAAGAAGAGATGGCAAGGACGGCCTCGTCGCCGAAATCGACATTATAACGAAGGGATAACTTCTCTCGGTACCAAGAACAACGTTATTCTGATTGTTGTTCTTACTGCTATTACTGCGTACTTTCTCTCAACCCAGTGGCATGTATATCGATATTCAGAGCATACTGGCATCACGTATCAAATTAGCCCGGCAGACCTAAAATACGGCCTTACACAATGCACTCTAAACAAGCAACGTCCAGTTATAGACAGGAATCTAGCATCTTCTCGTCTAGAAACTCAACTCGTGGGCACTCGTATTATTCTACATAACGCAACACTTATTGATGGCGATGGTACTGTTACTCAGGACTGCATTATCGAAATGCAAGGTGGGATATTTACGAAGGTCTCAAAAGCCGCACTGGGTTTTCTAGAACCAGCTTCTCCCAACGATAGAGTTGTTGACTTACAAGGTCGAATTGTAACGCCAGGACTTATAGAGATGCACTCGCATGCCGGCGTTCGGGAGACGCCCCAGCTATGGGCCACCGAAGACGTTACTGAGATATCATCTCCGGTAACACCTTGGGCCCGTGCAGTCGATGCCTTGAAGCCTCATGACCAGGCCATACCAGTTATTGCCAGCGGCGGTGTGACGAGCTCGTTGGTATTAACGGGAGCGAAAAACTTGATCTCAGGGGAAGGCGTTCTCATTAAGATGAAGCGAGCGAACTCGGTTAGTGAGCTTCTCATTAATACGACGGAAAGTGGCGGCAAGCCGCAGAGATATCTCAAGATGGCCATGGGCGAAAACCAAAAGAGGCAGTTCCAATACGTGCCTGGAGGGCCGTCGACGAGGTTGGGAGAATCGTACTGGTTCCGAAAGGCCTATGATAACGCACGACGGGTGAAACAAGAACAAGATCAGTGGTGTGAGGCTGCTTCGACGGCGAAGGGATTGACATCGATAACGCACGAATACCCTCGCTCGCTTGAATGGCAGACACTAGTCGATGTCTTACGCGGGGATGTGCGTGTAAATGTGCACGGCTACGAGACCGAAGACATGTTAGCTATGTTTGACCACGCCGATGAGTTTGGATTCAATATCACGGCGTTGCATCATGCGCTCCATACAAATTTAATTATGGACCAACTTAGAGATAGGGGTATAGCCGTCGCCGGCTTTTCGGATTCCTGGGGCGACAAAAAGGAGCTTTACAATGTGAGTTCTCGTCTTCCAGCAATGATAGCTGAACATGGCATCCCTCTTGCTCTCACTCGGGACCACCCGGCGGAACATGGCCAGTGGTTATTGTATGAAGCCCAGATCGCGCATCATTTTGGCCTCAGTGCGGAGAGCGCCATTTCATCTGTCATCTCGGTGCCAGCTCGCCTTCTAGGTCTCGACAACAGGTAAGTACAAAAACATGTTTATGTAGGCATCATAACATCAATTGCCCATCTAATCGATCGATTTAATATTAACAATCTTTGTAGGCTTGGATTTATCAGGCCGGGCTACGACGGCGATTTAGTAGTATGGAACCGCCATCCCTTACAGGTGGGTGCTACACCTCTCGAAGTATACATCGGTGGGAATAGTGTAGTCCGGGCCTCGGACAGTTTGTGGAAGGCTTCGGAATCTAAACTAGACTTAAAAGAAGCCCCTATATCGCGACCCAGCGATACACCTGAAAATGCATGCATACCAGGCCAATCTGACATTATCATCCGCGGCTTAAGAACAAGCTTCATTAGCGACGATGGATTGCGGAATGAACATCCCGAGACAGGGAATCTGACAATCGTTGTACGCGCCGGCCATGTCGTTTGTGTTGGTGAAAGCAAATGCGATACCGCAGCAAGACAGGCCATAGAAGATCAAGTTCCCTTGATAGATGTGCGAGATGGACATATACTTCCCGTAGGCCAAACCCATCTCTAAATTCCATTTCAAGAGTCTTACCAATAATTAGGGTCTTACGATTGTCACGCGGCAGCACGGCCTAACCGAAATGCGTCAAGAACCATCAACATCAGACGGTGCTTCAACAGGCGAGGAATACGAGAGGCCTCTCTCAAGCCGGTTCGGTATCAAATTCGATGGCATACATCTTGAGAGGTCTCACCGGAGCGGCGTAACTCGAATTGTAACGCCGCCATTGACAAATGGCTTCTTCCATGGGATTAGCACGTTATTCCGGTCAGGGGCGAAAAGTGGTATGTATATCCGTTTCGTATTCCAGTCCTAGCTGCTGGACAGCAAGGCAGTCGAAAACGAAAACGGTGTTATTAGGTTGCAATTCACTAATTGCTCTTAGTCCTTGACGATGGCGCTATCGTCGAGCCGAACGCTGCTCTACATTTCACGATTGGACATGAGGCTAAATGTAAGTCTTTGCTGCCCCCCTTTCCTTCGTCCGCTGTTCGTAGAAGCGAAGTTGACCACCCAAAATAGCATTCCGAACACCTTCTATAACTTCTCAAATAAGTAGGCTGCGCGACCTCCTTACGGTAGACAAACATATCCATCCTATTTATGACAGCGCGGCCAAGGGCGATATTGCCGTGGTAATCCACACAAATAACAAAGATGTCATTGCACACATGGTAGCTCTGAAAAAGGATACGGGTGCTCATATCGTCATAATGGGAGGGTCAGAGTCACATCTCCTAGCTACCGAGCTTGCAGAAGCCGACGTGCCAGTTATTGTAGCACCGTTTTGGGGGTGTGAGCCTCTCTTCTGGGATGCTCGTAACTGCTTACCAGGCCCTCCCCTAACAGACCGTTTAGGACCGCAGGTGTTGATAGACGCAGGCGTTAAGGTCGGTATCTCCAACTGGGACGACACTAATAATCATATTCGTAATAGCATCTGGGAAGCTAGTTGGGTTGCAGGCCCGGGAAATCGGAGTTTAGCACTGGACCTTGTGTCTAAGAATATCGAGGATATTCTGAGGCTTCCGCGCAGTAGGGATTTTGTCATATACGAAGGAGATCCGTTTGAGTTTGGGGCGCGTGTCGCTATAATCTTTGAAGAAGGCAAAGTGCAGAGATGTTATCCAGATGTCGATTAACCAGAGTTAATATTAGAAGCATTCCGTACGAGTTATGTAGATAATACTTATTACTTAATATATAATATAATATGCATATTCTGTAGTTCTGTAGCCTTAGGTACCTACATATCCAACATGTACGTATCGCTGGAGTTAACGGATCTAGACTGTGCCTCTAGGTTAAAGACACTGTACTTGGAGTTTGAATGAATTTCATATCGGCCCTTCCGAGGGTCGGACGCTGAGTTAAGCGATCGGGGAGTTGGCTTCCCGTTTCGGGTGCTCCGGCGGTACGAGCGGATGGAGCACCGCTACGACGAAATTCATACGTGTCAGACTAATACATGGCTTTAAGGAAGCTAGATGATGATGTGTTTGACTACATATGTACTGATTTCTATTCGGAAAGTTACTCGGGAATTGCTGTTGGTGATCATTTTGGCTCGTAATGCTGAACGAATCGCGTCCTTCGTTCCAAGTACGTTCGTAACACAATCTTACTGCGAATGACTTGCGTTGAGACGTTTTGAATTTTACATAATATGTTCTTGTAATAACGGCAAGCATACTAACCTAGGTTAGATGGATATTGTATCTTTATAACATCTCTAGCTCCTGACAAAAAAAAAACATGATAGAATAATTTCTACACTCCCTGCTTCCCTACATACTTGCGCTTCCAACCATATGCTTTATACCTCTAGGTACCTAGCTAACGTACTCTACGATTACAGGTTATGTCTAGAGCTCAATTGTAACAAGAACACCCCTAACTTCTCGCGTCCCGAACAAGTCGAATACCGATAGCCTCAAAATCGGAAATACGTAGGTAGATTTGACCACCAAGTCTGTTTCCGTTCCTACCTTGATGATTATCTATATTACCCTAAAGCAAACTCTGCGTAATAGCAGCAAAACAGCCGAACCCTAGGTTTGCGTTTACAGCCGAATATGAATACCATCCTTAGCCTACCCTTCGAGCGCTAGAGAAAGCAGAATATAGAGTCCCTCTTCCGGCCGTATCGTATTCCTCCATTACGTCGTGCCGTCAGATGACTGTTGAGTCAGTACGCCATGGAAGCAAAGCTCGAGAGTTATAACGATATATCCTATCCAACCGTAAACACCGTGATTCAATTTACCCTTCTTCGGCCATCGATACAACTACATTAGATCATACCTTAATATCTGGAGGCATTTGAACCCTTTGAAAAAAAAAAAAATTTACGGCGCCTTGCTACGAAAGAAGTATTAGGCGGCTCCAATTCCAGGCAGCGAAAAACATTCGTGAATTAAATCTACGGAGTTTCCTAACACTAGGCAATCAAGGGGAGTTGCCAACGTATGGCAGACTCCTCTCCTCCATCGTAGAACTAGAAGACAATTTGCAATTCAGGGGCATCGCGATTTTCCTACATGCAGCCAATTATTACAAAGCAATTACATCCCCAACTGCAGACTGCAACGCGTTCCAAATGCAAATATTGCAATTCCGATCCTCCCAACTTAACCACTCCATTCGCATGTCGTCACAATGCAATTTTCCACGCGTTCATTTCTCGGGCTGCGTGTCGAGATTCTCTTGGCCTCCACTGAGGCGTGACGATCGTCGGGTAGGCAAAGAGGCACGTCTTTGAGCGTTCTTTCGCGAAGACGGGGTTTCGGTTTGGGGTTGGGCTTGAGGAGCGGCAAGCGAGGGGGCTCTATTGGCGATAGGCAGGCTAGGGACTGCAGCAGACTGTTCGTCGTGGGGTTTGGTTGAGGCGGCAACTTTCTGTTTGTTCTTAGTAGGACGTCCTCGTGGTCGTCGTCCGGCTTGGGACTTAGCTGGGTATTGTGTCTGTGTCTGTATCTGAGCCTGAGGTTGAGCTTGAGCCTGGGCTTGAGTCTGAACTTGGGGATTTCCGGCTGATATTCGTCGAGTGTTGACACTCGAGCTTCGTCTTGTGCTAGGCTGTCCCTTAGGGGTAGCGGGCGTGGCGGCCTTCTTGTTGGTCAAAATAATACGTACTGGACGTTTCTTCTGAACTTCGGGTTGAGTCTGTTCTTCGTCCCGAGGCTGCGTAAGCACCTCTTCTTGAGCTGTAGCATCTGGAGGAGGTACGGTGTTAGATTCCTGCAACGCTATGCTTTTCACTAGACTCGCAGCATTCTCTGTGGTAACCCCAGAGAATCTAGGTTGTTTCTGAGCCATGGGTTGAGCCTTCAATCGGGCCTTCAGCTGGGCCTTATTTTCATGCCTAAATTTGGGTTTAGGCTGGGCTTGAAGCTGGGGCTCGATTGGGGGTGTAGGTTCAATTATCTGCGTGTTTCCCTCTCCCCGAGTCTCTGAAGTCTCTGACTGAGCCAGTGGATGGACTCTGGGTCCGGTCTTCGGTATTTTCTGCGGTAACTCCTCGATCGCGTCATGGGGTTGCTTTCGCTTTCGATCCTGTAATGCCCCTATTAGCGCTGATGTAGCGGTATTTGAAGGGCCATATGAACTATTCTCGTCATCTTCCTCGGTCTCTACATTTTTCTGGGAAGGGTATCGAGTAGCATCATTGCGAGTAGGAAGGTTTGCCACGGCTTGTTCCGATGCGGTGTCAACGGCGTAGATCGGGATGGATTTGATTGTAAATAAGCGACGGGGATCCGGATTTCTCAGGGCCTTGGTTAGGTCATACTCTCCATCCTCGCAGGTTACTCTTAACCCACCGTTCCGTATCGACAATCGATGGAGGCCCGTTCCGACTTTTCGGGGGAGCATTTTCCCATCACGGAACACAACCACCGACTCTTTGAAATTAATCCAGGCTATGTCGCTTTTCGCTAGATTTACTCTTCTGTAGTTATCAGCATGGACAGCGTGTTCGGGCGGTACAACTATATACTCCCCACCACGACCGGGCGAGCTCTCTCCATTGCTCTCTCTTATGTGAGGTGTATCGAAGTTCATCATATAACCGCTTGGGGATATAACTGAGTAACCTGCTGGTAGGTAGAAGTGTAAAAGTGCCTTATGTCCCTTCTGATACAATTCTCTCGCCACCTTATCTCCAGTTCCGGGTAAAAGGCATTTGGCATCCTTCCGAGGCTGTAGTAGTATCTTAGGGCGCAAGGAAATGGAACTGGTATTGTCGGCTAGGGAACTGCGCAGAATCAGGTTATCCTCTAGTGCTCTTTCTACGACTCGAGTACGGTATGAGATCATATCATCGAAGAAGCTTGTATCTGAGTGGGTGCGTAGTCGAGAATCGGAACTATCTGTCGAGTAATGTCTTGAAGGTTGGCGCGTTCCCTCGTGGCCAAGATGCGTTGAACTCTGGCTGGTCGGAAAGTCAGCTATTAGAGGCATTGGATTCTTAGGAGCATTGTCGCATATGATGAACTGGTGTAATTCAGAGAATGCTGGAAGGGGTGGGTTGACTATAGTATACTTGCCGCCTTCGAGGAGTTTCTTTATGCCCTCGGGACTAACCACGACAACTCCAGCAGGTAATCGAAAGGACTCGACGATCGAAAAGAACTTGCAACTATCAGAGAAGGCTGCTTTCATGATCTTGACCGAAATAGCAATCGATTCTGTTGAGAGGGACAAGACGCGCTTGGCGGTTGAGTTCTGAAATCCTCTAGCTTGTGAATCCTGATGCTGATAAGACAAGAACTCGACAGTTGGTTCTTCGTATTCCAAAGGTTCTGGGAGAAGTTCGAGTTTCAGGTCGCTAAAATCGATATCCAGCGGCCAGTCATTGACACGTCTTGCAAATTCCTTAAGGGGTTCTGAATACTTCTCTAGCCCTCTGGAGTGGAGGTACTTGCATCCATAAGCAATTGATTCTTCATTCAACGTATGAGATGCGGGCTCCGAGTTATTACGGTTTTCGAGGAATGCTCTAACTTCATTGCTAAATAGCTCAAGCGTACGGCAAGCCTCTTGGAATGATCCAAGGCTATCAGATAGCACCTTTAGAATAACCTCCTTTACGGGGAACTCGATGAGTGACCAGTAGGGCGTAGATGAGAGTGGGAAGAACACAGTCTTTGTTGGTACCAGAGCCTCAAGCATAGATAGACTCACATGCGAAGGTCTACTGGGGGGCCTTGCATCGAGGGTCAGGTTGCTAAAGTTGTGTGGGTCAAGAATAGGGATGTTCGAAGTGTTATCCCCTGGGATATAAGATTGAGATATACTCTGCCGTGGGTGTTCTTGTTCAGCCAAGCCAACGCGGCCATCTGCTGTAGGTATTATTTGCAAATCCATGGAGCTTCCTTTTGGAAATGTGTCACCATCAAGGTAACACATTAAGCGCACTTGAAAGCAATGTCGAGGAAGTTGTTTTGGTGTGTTTTGTATCCTGTGTGATATGCCACAACAGTTGCAAATAAGAAAAGGAATTTGATGAATAATGGAATTAGAGATCGGGAAGGTGCAGGTTGCCTAAAGTAAAGCTGGAGCCTGTGTGTTGTGGACGATGCAATACAATGCCAACTGGTCGCCTAGGAGAAATTTTGGCATGAGAAGGAAGGCTTTGCCAATATCTTGGAGTGGGCAATATGACTGGGTATCTCTTGCAACTGCTAATTACAAGGCAGTCATGGGAGACCCGTAAAGCTCTGAGGGATCTAGGTAAACAGTAGCTCTGGTTGTCTCGAGAAACTTCAGAAGGGAGAGTTGAACGGAGGGGTATCCTAGGCAACCTCAGTAATGGCATGTGCACGGAAAGGTGAAGTTGTAGAGTACTACTGATAAACTACATGATGCCTAACTAATTCACGTTAGAAGATCCGTATCTATTCCCCACGTGCTGTAGCCTGTATTCCTAATGATTGAACCGTAGTAGCGCCTATATCCTACCTAGGTACCTAGTTGCTTAGAATTTTCCAGATAAACATATAATCCAGAAAATACATCCAAGGATACATAATACTACTAAAGCTCTGGTGTCATAGATGTTTGATGTGATTATATTAACATTATTAAGTTATGGATTTGGAGTGTTGTTCTCTTTGGGACAGCCATTTCTAGATCCAGATAAGGGGGACACAACCTCTGTTCCCATTATCATGTGACTGTCTCGTTATCCTGTTGTGTACGTAGGACTCCTACTGATTATTCATTTTGCAGTTTAAATAACATGTTAATAATATGAAGCAATGTTATCATATCTAGAATTTTGGCACTAGGCAGATTACTTTCAGAGGCGCCCTAGAGCCATCGATCGTGATTCTGTAGAAGCTTCTGACTTAGAGTTCTATATTCTAACGTAACCGAATATAACGACTAGTGAGTACGGTTTTTACTCCAAATGATACATTATGTACTTTCGACATCCTCCTGTTTTGACAAGCACCATTGAATTATGCTGTCAGGAGGTGGGCCCAGAAGGCATGGAAACAACTTTATTGTTCCACAAGGAACTCCGAACCAGGTACTTAAATAGAAGCTTATGGTTATAAATGCTGAAGGCATCCTTTGTTCTAGATGTCTCATCTATAATCCTAACAGCTTCACCGGGCTGCTGAATCGATAGTTGACATAGGGCTCCACGATGATATTCGTTATTCTACACCGTTTACGGAGAGGCAGCTACAATACCTGCCAAGAATTATGTGCTACTATTGAAAAACGTTCTTGGGATATAGCTCTGTGAATATTTAATAACGTGATATTTTAATATTAAATATGAAATTATTCCTTTGACTTGGAGCTTGTATTCATCCACCAAAAAGTGTGGGAGAAATGCGAACGATTCAGGGGTCGGTGGAGAATACCTTGTAAGATCCAACGGAAAGCTAATTTATACTTACTTACGTTTGGCGCCTGCACATTGCTGCAATAATAGACACTTGTAATAAGCTAGGCCGAGCATTGAGAGATATTTTCGTGATAACAACGCTGTCTTAGTGACTTTGTTGTGGTCATAACACATTAGTACCTTTTGTACCACCGCTCCGTCTATGTGACTACCTATCAACCGACAAACGTCCAAGGAAAAAAAAAGCAGCATGGGTATAAGCCATCCAGTACGCCGTTGCTAATTACCATAGCTTGATGAAGCCAACCATGCCGCTTGCTACCCACAACCCGATGCTTAATGTATGCTCCTATAAAATCAATAGTAACTTGTGTAATATGGCTGGTCTAAGACCATACTAACTGGATTCTTCTTCCATGTCCTCGTCCACCATGTCAACGAATGGAACAAATCTTTCGCGGTCTAAAAAGCGATCATGATCTAGTGCTATGGACTCGCCAGATTCGCCCATCTCCTCATCTTCGTCGAACGTAGCTTCGATGCCCCTCTTCAGTTTCTGTACATTGCTCGAAGCACCGTTTGTCTGCGTTGAACGACAGTCAAGCTCATGTCGGTGTACGGTACGTTGTGCGGAAAGTAGATCCTCATACGATTTGAGAACGAACCTAAGATCGTCGTTTAAGCTGACGCAGAAGCGCTTGAAGTGGACAAATTGGCAAGATTCAATCATACTCATACCAAAAACAGACATGAGGTAGGCCACAACAACACTAGCAGAACGATCGTTTCCTGTTTCGCAGAAAACTAAGACTTTTCCTCTTTGGAATTTCTCATGGGGAATTGCCATTTTTCCATCCTCAACTTGCATCTGCGTGTTGCTGATGCGTTGTCCACGGAAAACATTTAGCATGTGGTCATTGATGGTTCGAACGGCCGAGGGAAAGGCGCGAATGAGCTCATTATAGCCAGAAACATCAACACATTCGAGCTGAATGCCGAGTTCTTGCGCCACCTTACTGGGTGCCATTAGGTGCATAACAGCCATCTGGGAATCTCGTGCGGCGAGTAGCATTGTGATACCTGTTTTAAGTAGCCACTGGCGATCTCGAGCGATGCTCGAGGGGCCGAGATAGAGGAAGTCGAGGATGGGTTGTGCGACACGGCGGTTCTCATATGCCCAATTGAGAGCTGAGTCTTGAGCTAGCTGCTCTTTGTAGTTCTGGGTGATGATCTTAAGGTCATCGATACTAAGTGAAGCCGGATCGACCTTTTCGTAAGTTGGCACGATTTTGATATGCTCATTCGCAGAATGTAGAGTGGGGGCAGGTATCACGATAGAAGGAGGACTAGGAGGACGCATAGAGTAAGGCGCTGCTGGAATAGCACCATGCCGGTGAGAAGTTGGAGGGTCCATGTAAGCCATCTTCAACTGGACATATTCTTGCTTTGTGGGTTAAAGAAAAAGACTTTGGTTGAGCTACTTGAGGTCTCAGTTACTGTATGTGCAGGATAATAAGTTTGATCTTTGGATAAAGAATAATAACTGATCGTGGGGAAAGAAAAATCTTATTTTGGCTGGGAGGTGAGTGGGAATAGATTACCACACGATGTTGACAAGAAAATGCTAAGCGCGAATGTACGCGGCTGATGAGACGAAGGACGAAGAAAAACTACAGGCGCCACCACCTGTATCTTAGGTATCTAGACATCTAATCATATATGGGATGAGGGGCAGTACCTGCCCGGGTACTTGTTTGCTTCTAAGATGCATGTACCCTAGGTACCTCATTAGGTACATTCATGTCGCACCTATCTTTAGTGAATGTACCTACCTTATGTACATGGCCATCTTCAATATAACCAATTATAAAAGAAAGTCGATTAAATTCATTAACTACCTAACCTCGTCTTCTTTAGCCAATCTTCGGAACTCATTGGACTCTACGTCTAAATTATTCTGAATAAGTAGAGATAAACAACCGAGAAAATTCAAAAATGGTTACGTTCGTTCTCATATATTCTCGTATATTATATCTTAAAGTACGTTAGACAGGCAGGATTTGTACAAATTAGAGCTATTAGAGCTACTGAACCACGGCCGACGAGCAGGTAAACATAACTGTTGACCTTTCGATAATCGCTATGGAGCCTCGCTAGCACCAATACTACTCTCCCTAGCAAGCGGCGAGGTAAATTCCGGCGTGACGGATCGCGACTCGACGCCTGGCCTCTTCGGTCTGGAGCTAGTTGAAAGGTGCTTCTTTCGTCTCTTTTCAGAAGTAATCGAGTTCATGCTGCCTCTCCTACTACGGCTGCCTTCCTCCGGCTCCACTGGCGGTGTAGGACTTCGCGTTGATCCAGCCGAGTTACTAGCTCTCCGAAAACTACCACTCCTAGTACGCTTACTCTCTTTCGATAGACCGGAATGTCGATGAGGTATGCTTTTCTCTGCATCACCTACTCCGGGGCCATGTACATGTGCCTTGTCCTCCGCCTTCGGGCCTCCTGGTAGCCACCATAACCAGCCGTTTTGCTCCTTTGCCAGCTGCCTTTCGCGGGCTTTTAGTTTAGTTCTCAATAATGCTCGGCGTTCGTTCTCCCTCTCCCAGTACTCGCTTCTGTAAAGTTCCCAATTTTCCCGGAAGTGAGGCGAAAAAGGTTTGGGCCATAGTAGAAGCTTGACGTAGTCTCCCCCGGGCGATAGGTCCTCCTCATGGCCCCCTCTCTCTTCGTCTGTACTGACGAACGGGAGTGGAGGGTGATGATGCCCGCCGAGATTTAGCTCTCGATCAACTTCGCGTAATATCGAAGGCTCCACAAAATGATACTGGCCAGCTCTGCTAGAGAACGCGCCGTAGGTGAAGAAGAAGCCTATGAGCGACACGAGCTCAACCCACCAAGACCTTTTGATTACAACCAATTTACAGTTGAATCCGCGCAAGCCTCTATTGCATATGCTAAACCAGCGCCGTGGCCACCTAATACCACGCTCCCATATACCAGTCGCCCAGACAAGTATACCTGTGACTATTCCGCTTATGAAGCACACTTTCTCTGTCATATCCACGACCCAATATACCGAGCCGCCAACGCCGCTACCGTCTTCTCGGGGTGCGAAGAATAGAGCATATCCAAATCCCGCTAACCACAGACACAGAAGGCTCAGAAAGAAAGTGTGCTTTCGCCGACGGGCGCGGAGTTCGAGGTACTGGGAGCGTAGCGAAGCCTCTAGTATCAGCATGTTGAGGTAGATCATGGAAGGCGAGCTTGGCGTGTGCTTTAAAGGATCGCCGGGTTTCTCTACACCGATAGGGCTCGTGCCCATTGGCGGGGATTTCATGTCCTGACCGGGTTGAGGGGCTCCCTTAACGATGGAGTCGATAGTGTCGGCCATGATTTTCGTGTCGGTCGTGGTCGTGATCGTGATGGCTACGATACGAATCAAAGGAGGTAGCTCGGGACGTAAGCCCGCATCGACGTGAAAAAAAGACTAGAAGATTATCGGCGCATTTAGGAGTGCAAGTTTGAATTGTCGTAATCTCGTAAATTAATAGGAAGAATTTAGATTCATCAGGTTGTCGTAAGTTGTCGTAATTACATAGGTATACTGTAGGATTTGTGGTCTCTAGAGTGCCGTCATCTTTATTTTATTTTTTTGACGTACGAAGTACAAAGTAGTAACAGTTGTAGCAGGTGCTAGTAGTCGGTCCTAGTAGTAGCGCTGTGATGGGTTATCCCCCCACATGGACAGCTGATATTGATAGCAGCTGAAGTTTTAGGGTATGTGGTCATAGCTCTATCCCGAGGACCTAATCCCTGCCGTCCACCTGGTGCGGGGTCCATGCTCGTGATATTGCTCCTATTAACATACACCTAACCTTAGGTACCTAACCTGAGGAAAGGTAGAAAGATCTATTTATACCTACCAAGTAACCTACAAGGTATACATATATTATTGAATAGAAACTCAGAAAATGAGCAGTTTATTTATGAGTAAATTATAAAGCACAGAAGAATTAACTATATCTAACTCTAGGCTTTGGGCAGATCCATCTCCTAAACGTCTCTCCGAACATAGATACCTAACCTAACACATGCAGCTCCGCAGTATCAGCCCACATGATCTCTGTAAACAGGAGCCTGACGCAGCACATGCAGGACTTTTAACTTATCTCGAAATAGTCTCCGTCGTGCATCCCGCGGACACATAGGCGCTGACGTATCCCGGTGACGATCTTGAGAAGAAAACGCCTAGTTTATACTGTTATACTGCACGCTACAACGAGCATCAGTCGATAATCTGTTGTCTAGGGCTTCTTACATTTTTTTCTGCTCGTGGGGCACACAAGAATGAAGCATACTTAAACTCGATCGACCCGCTGTTAGTTGAGATGATTTTGTCTTTCAAATACTAATATTTGAACATCCCGAAGATCCATTAAGCTCGCTATACTTTTCTTCACAGCACCTATTATGGATCCAAGCAAATCTTCTTCATATACCCACGCCTCGAACAATACGAGTTCCAAGGCTCTTAAAGGCCAAGTGCCTAGGCCCGCTAAGCCGGCTTCTGCTAAACTTGCTGCAAGGTCGATCTATGCCGACGTCAATTATCCAGATGTCTTGCCCAATGGATTTCAGCCAGGCAAGAAATGCATGCTTTTATAATGAGAGGTCATATGAAGGGCATCGGATTCATTAGCAGGTTTAAGAGATGCTCTCCTGGACTTATCATACCCGAGATCCATAATAGTTCTCATGAACTATTTTGATTAAAAAACCCAGAACGATTGGTTGTGGCGGAGTTCTAGTGGTTTAGTCGAGGCTCTCTCATGACTTACTAGTCCCATCAGGAGTGCTTGGGGTCACTGGACTTTTGTTGTTTGAGATCTTGCAACACTCCCGATGATATGCGAAAGAACTCATCGCCTGGGGGATTTGGAGTTACATATATTCGCCTAACCTGGACCCGACAAGTCTAATATGCAGTTGAATCCTCGGTATTGACGAAGCCATTAGCCACCGGATAGAATGGTTGGGGTTTCGGAATCCTGCCCCTTACGATACGTTGGGCCGACCGAAATCAAAGACGATCAACTGACTGGCATTACAATTATCGCAAGAAGAGATATCTATGGCGAAATATAAGGTGGTGAAAGTTTTCGAAGACGGGATAAGAAATGAGCCATCAGTCAGACTCAATGAAAAAGAGACTATAACGAAATGTCAGTACATACGTGCAATTTAAAGCTCAGTTAAATGTCGATCAACGAAGCATTCATAACTGAGACCTGGGAAAGTGACCATTAAATTAAATTTTCCAATTGCCTACATACAAGTGCTAGTCGTATCAAAAGTCTGGTGCAGCGCACGCTAGGGCATACGTAACTGATTCAGCTAGATTGGCACGGACTCTTGATAAGGAATAGATCTAGATAATCCTACCGCGGAGTTAAGATCTTGAAGTTTCCCGAATGTCTAAATCCGCGATGTCACGCTAAAGAGACATGGATTAGCAGATATAGTTTTTATCGACGATGTGGCAGGATTCTAGCGTAATTTTGCAACAATTAGGAGGGATGATAGGTACTTAGGTATAGAAGACTAGTAGACTTCATAATTCGAGTCAATGTTTTAGGTATTTATATGGAATGGACATCTGTAGAATAGGAGCTAGATATATGAATAAGTTGTTCAATACATAGCTGAATATTAAGATCTGAGCTGAATATTATGTAAAGCAAGGGTCGGCACGGGAGGACATAAAAGCCGAGCTGAAGATAAACTCCCCGTTTTTCAATGTTCCGAGTCCAATCTACCCACTGATTCATCTCATTCCCCTGACCATGTATCTTGACTCGTTCAGCCAGTAGCCAATCCGAGCTGAGCAGCCCTTGGATCTCGTCTAATCCGGCTTACGCGACTAATCTTAGAATCAAAAAAGTTACTCGTTACTTTGCTCTGCCACAGAGTTCCTGCATGCAATACACTAAGCACCACCGCGGATGGTCGGACTTTACTTTGCGCATTAGGTACCTAAGTTTATACATACGTACGTGGTCAGCATAGTGGCTGTGTGTACCCCTAAGAGGTGGTTATCGCATTCCATGTCTCGGATTTTGCCCCCCCGTAATTATATAAGAAAAGGCGTAGCCGGCTTTGCCACCCCTCCGGTATGCTCAAAGGTCCAACTTCAATTATTGTGCAGTCGAGGAAGCTTGTGGCCACTTTTGCGCGGACGCAGCACACCGACGATACCATTTCCCCAGTGAAGACCGATCTATCCCCTGAGGAGCCTATTCCAGTCCCATCCAACATACCAATCGGACGACCACAGCGACCAATGTCAGCATCTCGAAGAGCCAGAGAGCAGACGCCAGAAGGAACGGGGGTTCCCAAACCACCTTCTACGGCTACGGGGATGTTTCCTTTAGGTTATAAAGAAGCTGCATCTCAATGGGTACGTCCCGTCGTCTTATCTATGACTTTTCTATGACTTCATCGTATTATTGGATCTAGAACCTATTCTGACCAAATTGTAGTGGAACGGTGTAACGCCTACGATCGCTGAACGTAACGTGATATCATGCATTCCGTATCTCCGAGAAGCCATCGCGTCAGGTACGAGCTCTGCGACAGATGTCCCGTCGGCGGAACATCCTGGTGAGACTCAGACGTCGACGAAAATCGATCCCTACGGGCCAAGAATATGGAAGTCGACAATGGTAAAGTTATCTGGCAAGAATAGGGGTCTAAATGAGTTCTCTGTGGAACGTGTCGGAGAACCCGTCGATGACACACTCGTTATGCTTCACGGATATGGAGCCGGGTTAGGCTTCTACTACAAAAACTTTGAGAATCTTAGTCGTGCCAAAGGCTGGAAGCTCTACGCGCTGGATTGGCTAGGAATGGGCAACTCCGCAAGACCACCATTCAGGGTCTGCGCGAAAGATCCGGCGGCAAAGATCACAGAAGCGGAGAATTGGTTCATAGACGCGCTGGAGGAATGGAGGAAGATTCGAAAGATCGAGAAATTTACTCTTCTTGGTCATTCTTTAGGTGGCTACTTGAGTGTTTCCTATGCGCTCAAATACCCTGGTCACGTAAATAAGCTCATCCTCGCTTCTCCAGTCGGTATACCTGAAGATCCCTATGCTGTGAATGCCGACATGCCAGAACCAACGGAGTCGACATTCCAAGACGAGTTTACCATGGACCAGCAATCAACAACAGAAAGCCACGGTATTGATGGTCTCAATGGTAATAAGAAGGTGCAACAGCAAGAAGCTAAGAAGCGACCGTATCCTTCATGGTTGGTCTGGTTATGGGACGCCAACGTGTCGCCATTTAGTATTGTACGATTGGCGGGACCGCTAGGACCACGACTTGCTTCAGGTTGGACCTCTCGCCGGTTTAACCATCTTACGTCGGAAGAGAAGCAGACACTCCACGACTACGCATACTCGATTTTCAGGCAAAGGGGAAGCGGTGAATACGTGCTGCCTTATCTCCTCGCCCCTGGCGCGCACGCACGACGGCCAGTCATCAATCGAATCCACCGTGTAGGTAGACAAGTCATCACTCCCGCAACCGAAACAGAACCGGCCGTAAAAGAAACGGGATTTCCGATCATTTTCATGTACGGGGAAAACGACTGGATGGATGTAGCAGGTGGTCTTGCTGCGGAGGAGAAACTTAAGGAAGCGAAAGCCAAGATATTATTAAACGCCACCGAAGAAGAGAGGAGGAAAGAAAAAGGCGATGCAAAAGTTATCATCGTCAGCCGGGCTGGTCATCATCTCTACCTCGATAACCCAGACGAGTTCAACAAATACATCCGTGAGGAGCAAGAAGATACGAGACAGCGGACGTTGGAAGAGAAGACTCAGTCGTAGGCTTTTATGTCTACAACTAATGGGGTTGCTGGTTTTTGAATGCATTGCCTGGCGTTTTGGTTGGATATTAGACTTAGAGCTTTTGGTTGACGATAATACGATAATAATGACCAGAAGCTAGCTACATTGTACACTATTCGCGAGTTATGGTACACCAGTATTATATATATACCTAGATTTATATCCTTGTTAAACATAGCTATTAATACTACTACTACATACTCGTTATCTTTTATCTCCTCAAGCGCAAGATGGAGTGTCATTTTAAGTTTTCACGGCTAGACTAGTGATTACCATATTTATATTTATTTGGTTTGTAAGAACGGCTAGGTAATTTATATATCATTCTAATACATAACTCTCTATCATACTCATCTAGGTCAATAGGGAATTCAGACGATTGTGTAACCCTCGAAATCAAGTGATTACATAAGGAAATCCCTAGATAGAGATACTAGATAGAGATACTAGATAGTAGGATTGATTAGGTATTTGATTAGATACCTAAGGTATTTATAGTAGTAATATTACTCAACCCATGCGCTCAACAATCAACGACCCACACCTCCGAACATACATCTCCGACTATACATATCCGGGGTCCATTCCGCCGTTATTCTTGCTTCCATTGCGCTTCAACAATCTAGTGACGCGAAGTCAGCACCCGTACTTCAAAACAAAAAAAAAATGTCAGAGGAGATAAAATTTTCGGCATTCCCGAAATTTAACGATTTGCCTATCGAATTGCGCCATAGCGTCTGGGAGCTAGCTATCCCGGACGATACCCCGGAGATATGTATCCCGTGGCCGTTGGAGGAGGAGCCAGTACGCTGGCCACACGACCACGTCGGCCATGTTAGGTCGACAAACTATCTACAGCCATTTCTTGTGGACACGTGCTTCCCTACTCTTATGCATGTGTGCCAGGAGTCGCGTTACCTGGCGATATCCCGGTTGCGATTTCGATACTCACACATAGCGGGTTGTCCCGTGCCATTCCGCGCTTTTCGCCCCGACCTGGATATCGTCTACATAACCCTTTGCCGGCCTCCTACTGATATCAACGCAGTGCCTAGGTGGGGCAGATATCCTCGTGGCACGCAGCATATAGCATTAGACTTGCATACCATCAAGGACGGCAGTTTCCTCTGGATTCTGCTCAGCGATCCGTCCTTGGACCTGCGGACCATGTCTTGCATACTTCCCGCGTCTGAAGCCATCCTAGACACGGCAGTTCGGTTTCGGCCTCCGGTGCGACGGTGTCGGCTCCGCGACGTTGGGAGACCTTCCAATGGTTCGGAGAACAATATCATCTATGTGGACCGCGGTTATGATAGGCGCATGACCGGGATGGCTCGCTACCTGGAGGAGGTACGAGACACGGTGAGCACCGAGTTCGCCGAAGTCCTCGAAATCCAGGAGGTGCCAGAGCAGTACTTGCGCCGATGGAATGATGCCGAGGTCAGGTTCGATATCGAACTTCTCGCGAGGACGTTCGAAGAGTATCGGGGTGGGCGCTGGGTACCTAGCTCAGAACACCCCGTCGGGTTCGATTGCCAGTCCATCATATTCCCCGCCTCGTGGCAAGCACTCGATAGTGCTAGAACCTACCAGGTCAGCGAGCTGGAGAGATGGACACCTTTGAGAAATCCCGAGACGTTTCGCGTCAACGATATCCAACAGAACGAGGTACCCTTTGAATGATCTTGGAGAGAAGTTGTATAGAATTACCATTTTGTTTATCACTACATAGTAGGAACCCCCCTGGATAGTATTAAGTACCGCTACTAATGTCATTGTCGTCGTCGCTTAGAAGTATATAGAATCGTACTAATAGACTACACTATGTATGTTACAAGGGTCAGATGTCCTATACGGAGTTTAGCCCCGGCCCCGAATGAGAGAAATGCCATCCTTGAAATGCCAAGAGAGAGAAACTTGACTAGCATGAATCTCTCAAGGCCGATAGCCCCAGTCAATTCAATGATCTAGCCCCGTCTCAACCCTGCCGTGCAAGCTACAAACTCCGCATAGCTACCTCCTCAATTAAATAGCAAGCCACTATGGACCCCCTATATAATAAGTTTGATTGGACAAACTAATAAGAGGTATCCCATAAGGAGAATATACTAGAACTTTTCATCAAACTTCGTTGGCAGCAGGTTGGCTACCATTTTATGAATGCCCACATGGCATATACTATTCCGAGAGACGTTGCATCCGGGAAGGCTGAGATTATCTTGACTCTAACGGGATCTTGCCGTTGTGATTTCATCTATGATGTTACCTACCTAGCTATAGCGTATCGTCATCATTATTCCTTCAAGGTAAACTCCATATAGGTACCTAGGTATTAGTAGTAGCAAGTTTACCACATACTTAGAGCCTGTTAATATTCCCAGCCGCGACTTCGGGAGACTCACTTGACTAAAGGAGTACTATCCGAGATTTATTACCATGATCCTTTTGCTTGGGTGCATAAAATCTCATCGTATCAACGGTAGTTATGTGTCCCGCTCCCATACACCATCACACTTCCGTGTGGAGATCGGCTTTTGATGGAGGTCACCGGATGTCTTTAACATAACTCATCCGGGTACGAAAATCGTTGCAGCGGTTACGAGTGTTACGAGACGGGTTTCGTAAACACCGATTACCGTAGGAAGATTATTACGCTTCGTCGTTGGTCACTGCGCCTCAAAGATATAACGTAGGTACCTCTTTTAATGTAAAACAGACCACATCACGCCAACAGGAATATATTTAAATATAACTAGTCGGATAAAATTTATCTCTTAAATATAGGGGAAACGCCGTAGTTTAGATTGGAATGGGTCATATTTATGCAAATAGCCTCGGAGGGTGCGAGATGAGAGGGTCTGTTGTTATTCAAGATGAATGCCGCTTAGTGCCGTCCAACCCACCAATGAATCGCGACGCTAGAGAGCTGAATCGTAGTTCCATGTTTGCCAGTTCGAGACTCGGCCCGGAATCCACATCAGGGCAAATCCCATGTGGGGTATGTATAAAGTTATGCCATTCTAGCTCCGGGACGAGGCCGTATCCGAACGGACCATCCTATCTCTGTATGCTCCGGACCCTTGATATTTCCCGACTATGCTATGCTATATAAACAAATGGAGGCAGCACTTTTCCCAGGGTCTTGTTACCCCTCGTGTACAGATCGCCATCGTTTCTATGAATTAGATTTCCTTGAGCCTCAAGGTCCCTTTATGACAACAGTTGTTAGGGAGTCATATCATCACTAATAATATAGAAAGGTTTACCCGCGATGAGTACCGACATGACGGAGAAGGGCTCTGTCAACACTACAATCCCCGACGGGGACTCGACAATTGGGGGAGAGTCGGAGCAAGATGTCGAGGCGGGTGTTGATAACCGCGAAAGCACAGTCGATGAGAAGGATCCCGACGTCGTAGACTGGGACGGGCCAGACGACCCAGAAAACCCGGCAAACTGGTCTGATAAGAAGAAATGGCTGAACATTGCTATCCTTTCTATAATGACCTTAGTAACGTGAGTAACCATCAGTGTTACCAAGATCCTCTCGATTACCAGATATCATACTGACATACCATAGTCCACTGGGCTCTTCGATGTTCGCCCCTGGTATTCCCGGCATCATGGTAGAATTCCACGAGACCTCTTCAACCATAGCTACTTTCCTCGTCTCGGTCTATATCCTAGGATTTGCCTTCGGCCCGCTCGTCATAGCGCCGTTGAGCGAGATCTTCGGCCGTCGGCCCCTGTACATCTACGGCAACATCCTTTTCGTCGTCTTCTCCGTCGGCGCCGCCCTCAGCACCGGCACCGGAATGCTGATGGCTTTCCGATTGCTGATGGGTCTTGCCGGATCGGTGCCTATAACCATTGGAAGTGGTAGCATTGCGGATGTGATGCCTGTTGAGAAGCGTGGAAGAGCTATGTCTGCTTGGGCTTTGGGTCCCCTTCTTGGGCCTTGTGTTGGCCCTATTGCTGGTGGTTATCTGATCGAGGCTGCTGGATGGAGATGGGTGTATTGGCTAATCGTCATTCTGGTAAGTTGACTTGCACATATACCGCCTATTCTGCGAAATAGGGGCTAACATGAACACAGGGCGGTATCTTTATTCCCCTCTCCTTTTTCTTCCTCCGGGAAACGTTCGGCCCAGTATTAATCGCGAAGAAAACTCGAAGGCTTCGTAAAGAAACCGGAAACCAAAACCTCCGCAGCAAATTCGCAGGACGGCTCAGCCCCAAGGAACAGTTCAAGCTGGCCATTCTCCGACCAATGAAGCTCCTCCTACTGACACCCATCGTCACTCTCATGTCGCTATACGTCGCCATCACCTACGGCATTCTATACCTCCTTATCACGACGTTTTCCTTCGTCTACACCGAGAAGTACGGCTTCAGCGAGGGGGACAGCGGCCTGACGTTCCTTCCCGCCGGAATCGGTATGATGATCGGTGTTGTGGGTTTTGGACAACTCACCGACTTGATGGTCCAGAGGAACAATAAAAAGGGGCTCGTCCATAGGCCTGAAGTGCGTATTGCGCCGGTGCTTACCATCCCTTGCGGAATCGCACTCCCTATTGGCCTGTTCATCTACGGATGGACTGCCAACTTCGGCGTACACTGGATTGTTCCTATGCTCGGTGTCCTCATTTTCGCCGCGGGACTTATGGGTGTCATGGTAAGTTTTAGCCCTTAAATATTCCCTGAATGTAATAGGATGCTAACATTTCAAATTAGTTCTGTGTCCAAAATTACCTTCTCGATACATATCCCCACTACGCAGCATCCGTCACAGCTGCGATGACGGTCCTCCGATCACTCCTCGGTGCCCTCCTCCCTCTTGGTGGGCTCGAAATGTATAACGCATTAGGTCTAGGATGGGGCAACAGCCTTCTCGGGTTCATCGCGCTCGCGCTCATCCCGATACCTGTCGTATTTTTCATATTTGGCGAGCGTATCCGCGGGAGATTTAATCCCAGCTTATAAGGATGTTTATACCACTTGCATAACTTGCATATAGAAATGATAGATTATAGATACCTAATGATTATGTCTAATAATAGAGCTTGTAAATAGCATGAATATGTCGAGTTTTATCTCACTCGGTTTACATAAGGTCTATTTTGAGCGTGATAGTGGGATTTCGTGACCTTGATAATGACACGGACTACTAAGCAATTCGAAAGCATTGGGTATTTTATATGGATTATTATGAGCATGATAATTGAGCTTTCACATTATGCTTTCTGGATACCGTTACCCTAAATGTAAGGTTCTACGTTTTCGGGGGTTCCCGGAGACTCGGATGCGGGCTTGGTCGGAGCGGGGCCGGATGGAGAATGACTTGGGGGTTCCTCAGGTGTTATTTCCAGTCGGATGATCTCTCAGGCAACTCTCGTGAAGTAACACCGTGATTAAACGTAATTACCGATTACATTCGTCATCCTGATAGACTATTATAGGTAGGGGCGCTTGCTCAGCTGTCTTTGAAGGTTAGTTAAATTAGGACCTTTCGCTCAAGCATTGAAAGCTCTTAACCTAGAGAACTGCTACGTCATTAGAATCGAGAATTTTACTGAACTATTTAGCTACCCCAGCTATGATGTAAATAATTTACTAATTTCCCAAGTGACGACATTGACTATTTTCAATTTATATATTGGTCTTTTTACGTACATATCTTTTAGACTTTTACTAGGCAGCTTTTGGAAGGCAATAATGACGATAGGCGATGACGTTGACGAGTCCAAACGCCCACGTAAGGGGGCCTCCTTCGAGAATACCTATGTCGGGTGCCGATTTGCCAGCGACCGAACCCGACTCGGATTCGTCTTGCGAATGTCCTTTGAGCGAAAAGAACCACGACGGCCACCGACCGTGTACTCTCGACACACGACCATCTCAGATACGCGCGAGTGGTCGGGATGGCTCGGGCGGACTCTCGAGACCAATCTCGCGGATAGTATCGCGTAGGGAGACCGTGCTATTTCGAATACGGTCCCGTCCAGTGGTACCGCCGTTTAGCCACCCGCTCGCGAAAGTGAAGACTAAACAGGACTCGCTTGTCGATTTCGACGGGCCGGATGACCCCTATCGTCCTGTGAACTGGCCGCAGCGCAAGAAGATAGCTACAACTCTGCTTTATGGTCTAGTTACCATGACCGCGACTTGGGCATCCTCTTCCTACTCTGCCGGGACTCTGCAGATCGCAGAGCATTTCGGCGTCGGAAGGCAAACGGCAACGCTAGGGACCACTCTCTTCCTCCTCGGATTTGGCATAGGGCCTCTGCTCTGGGCACCGCTTTCAGAGGTCTACGGTCGGCGCGTGGCAGTGTTGACGCCTATGTTCGTCTCTATATGCTTCTCGTTCGCCTCGGCCACCGCCAAGGACTTCCAGAGTCTCATGCTAACGCGGTTCTGGGGCGCTATATTCGCCTCTGCTCCGGTGACGAATACCGGCGGCGTCCTAGGCGACTTATTCACGCCGGCCCACCGTGGTATCGCTATGGCAGGTTATGCGATGGCAGTCGTAGGTGGCCCGACAGTTGGTCCCATCGTGTCGGCCGCCGTTGTAGCGCAGCCGAGCCTTGGTTGGCGATGGACAGAGTACACGACGGGGATGTTGCAGTCCGTTGTCCTAATATGTGCTATCATCTTTATCGACGAGACATACCCACCGAGGCTTCTTGTTGCCAAAGCGAGACGGCTGCGGCTTGAGACGGGCAACTGGGCTCTCCACGCTAAGTTCGAAGAATGGGATGTGAGCGTTGTTGAACTGGCGCGGAAGTTTCTTGTTCGTCCGATACAGCTTCTTTTCACGCCGATTTGCTTCCTCGTTGCCTTGTATGCAAGCTTCTGCTATGGTATTCTATACATGCAGCTCGGCGCGATACCTATCATATTCGGGGAGATCAGAGGATGGTCCCTAGTGTCGAGTGAACTACCATTTTTAGCCATCTGTGTTGGCACGTTAACCGGTGCAGTTATCAACATGTCGAACCAGCTATACTATAATAAGTCTTATCATGCTTCAGGCGACAGGGCAGTCCCCGAGAAGAGGCTACCTCCCATGATGCTAGGTTCCGTACTTTTTGCGGCCGGCCAATTCATCACTGGATGGACTGCAGACCCAGCCGTCGCCCCCTGGATCGTCCCTGTCATCGGGCTTTACCTTGCTGGGTGTGGTTTTAACACAATCTTCCAAGCCGCGCTCAACTATCTCGTCGATACCTTCCAGATGTATGCGGCAAGTGCCGTAGCTGCTAATACATTCTTGCGGAGCTGCTTCGCTGCCGCATTTCCGCTGGTTGTCACGCCGTTATATCACAACATCGGGGTCGGCCCCGGGTCGAGCATCTTTGCTGGGTTTGCGTGCTTGCTGATTCCTATGCCGTTTGTCTTCTACCTTTTCGGGAGGCGGATTAGGGCTGCTAATAAATGGAGCAAGCACAGCGTGTTCTAGACATTCTAAGAATTTCCATAGCATTGGCGTTTGGGATGGTTTGAGCATTGGGGGAAAGGGGGTTGATTCATCGCTTTAAGAGTATTTCTAGCGAGTAGTTGGCATTGGAAAAGCATTCTACGTTATAGGTTTACCTCACTTGTAGATACTAGAGTTTCCAGCCATTATGAGGCTAGTAGTATATTTGAAATTCGCTCCAAGAGATTCAAAGATGCCTTCACAGAAGAGGCTCTTCATTCTCTCAGGAGTAAAGCCGCTCTCTCGAAATATATTATTAAGCGTGACTAGCGCTGAGAAGTTTGTCGGGCAAGCTTTTAGTAAGGGACTATGCGTCGGCATCTAGACAAATCCCGATTCTTCGACAAGTACTTCATGAACGCTATCTGTGTCGGACCATCGACTTGAAACAGCCAACCCGGTGGGGGATCTTATGGAGGCACAACATTGATATCGTTCCACCACGAAGAAACTCGGGCGTGTCGCTGGTGTAACAAGTGGGCTGACATCAATCTACTTTTATTATCATTTTTAATACCGAGTAATCTATGTACAATACATAGGATGACTTCGGAGGTATAGCCGCTTATCGATAAAAATACATTACACAAAGTAGACGCGCAGAATATGACGACATACATATTTTATATCTTCGGCGAAGAAAGTAAGACATGCATACGAAAAAAGAAAGAAACTGCAAAAATAGCAATTGCTCACACGATGCGGGGCCTAAAAAGAAAATATAAAGCACCTGGCACCCGGTAAGCACGGAGGAGTCAAGGCACATTATTTTCGCTAGGGAAAGTGCAACAGAAAATAGGATAACATAAAAAAAAACATATGATATCAAAAAGAAATAATTATCAAAAAATTAGGGTTGCTTATCCCAGAGTACTGGGAAGCATCAGGAATTGAGCCCGATGCGGGGGTCGAACCTTTGAGGGTATGTTAGCTTGTGTCTATGAGCTGTGGTAAATCTTTGGAACTTACCCGCAACCTTGAGATTAAGAGTCTCACGCTCTACCGATTGAGCTAACCGGGCAGTGAGAGGCGTCTTGGATTTGAGGTATATATTCTGTAGCACGTTTGTGTGTTTGTTAGCCGATACTGCACATGTGTGTTGAACCCTTGCCCCACTATGTACCTAAGGTACCTAAGTCTTGCGAAAGTGGCATGACATTTGGTCCAATTATTTTCACCCTCACATACATATCAAGGTCGTCAAAACTTTATACGTCAGGATTGCGTCCTTTTATGTATTGATGGACTATCCCTAATTTTATTATCCATATGAATAATTTCATATAGATATATCTTGAGACTTGTATCAATATTTTAATATTTTTCTTTTTTTTTGTACAAGTTGTACTCTACTCTTTCAACCCCCTTCAACTTCATACGTCCTAGGGTCAGTACGGCAATTCAACATTAAAAAAAAGTTACGTATTATTACCGTTATATAACACATCGAACTGAATTGCATATTATTGTACATACTAGGAGAACACTGTATCAGTTATGTTCGGAACACATGCCTAGATGTATCCGAGATACTATAACATCTCGCCGTGGGCCAGGACAGAATGAGAATGTAAAAGAAACCATCTCTATTTAGGGAGCAATAGTCGATACTAAAGTCCCCTGTTCCCAATATTTTTGACTTGGTATCTAATATGTATTATGTAGGCCTCCTAGGTAGATAGACTTTGTTTAATTGGTTGGGCGAGTACTATGTGAGTGACCTCCGAGACGTCATGACTTAGGCTTTTGGTATATCTCTTTTCATACCTTATGTACTTAGTGTGCTCACATTTATGCATCCCTCATGCCATTTTACTGGACTTATGTGCTGAGGCAATCTAACTATTAGGTTACACCCCTAATTGAGATAAGCTGAATTATATAAGATCGGACCGACAATTTGATGGTGTACTTACGTTTCCTTCTCATTAGGATACCCTAGGAACATTTATCATCTAAGGAACTATTTCAAGAACTCTCTATAGTGCATTAAGAGAGCAGTGTCTCAGGCAGCAGTGTCTCAGGCAAGCCACTCTCGGTAGGTACGCGTGGTGAACTCGCATCAGCATATTCTGACGGCAAGTCCCGTATAGGATAACATAGGTAAGCGCCAAGTTCTAAGTATAGAATATTACCGAGGCCCTTGGGACTTCATGTTCCTTTCTTCACTCGAGAGCTTCATATAATAAAAGTTGGATGAAACTGGTCTATGGCTAGAGAATCTTTTCATCCGGGTATTCGGATGTCTAGGCTTGTCTTCCTACCGCCTCTAATAAATGTATGCTGGTTCTGGTAGGTATAGGATTTAATTACCATACGTGAGAAAGAACGGTTCTAGAAGCTCTTACAAGTAGGAATATTTTATATTGACCAAGCTTGAGCAGCTTCCGAAGATGATTATTAGGATTAAACCTGTAACTCGACCCTCTGTACGTACCCGCATTGAATGGCCAATTGGAGTTGCTGATCAGATTTTAAACTTTCGGTACGTACTGCGCCATGTCTTCCACTGACGTACTAGGCTATTTTTATCCAGTCGTAGTTTACCATGTGATCTGGTTATGCCATTTGCCATTTAACCATTACACTCGATTGTTTCATTTGTCGTCCTTTTTTTATGACGTGCATTAGTATTTTATGCGGTTTTACGTGGAATTTCCATTCGTTGTGGCAATATCGCGAGGTCGCTTTCTAAGCCTATCAATTGATCGGTTAAGCGGTCATGAGTCTACGTAGTCTCGACCACTTCTCTTACTAGAAAGACCATCCCACTGATGCGCACCAGGATTGAAAGTGCTGACAGTTGAATCGACCGTATGGGAAAGGCCCTGATCTATGTACCGGACGACCCTCAAATCACTGCAAGCTACCATCTCCACCGAATCATACGACGACGAATACGGCGAACATTGCGGATGCAAATGCTCATGATTCAGCCTTATTGTCAGTCTAATTCTTAGGAGTCAAAGTATCGAGAGATATTTTACGAAATCCAATAGTAGCGCTTCTATTACATAACGTATATTCCGTATATCACGCGTCTGATGTAGTACGGCGTGCCGGTAACTATTGAGGCTCAAGCTAATCAAAGATTCCAAACTAGGGGTCAGGGTCAAGCCTACACTAGGGACCTAGCCTACACGAACTTGTCAAGTCTGGGGTTCCCTGCCTTATACTATGTACTACATAGTACACGAAGTCTTTTTTATGAACTCCTGACTTTAAGCGGCTTCTCCCGCTTTCTATCCGGATGTTGTTGACGCCACATCTTACCGCGCGCTATGCTGGTTTTTCGTAGCACGACTGCAAGATCAAAAACCGGATGAAAGGTAGCAATTAGGTTTTGGTTATGAAATTCCGTTAGCCGCGCTACGAATTAATCAATCAGATGGTTAAGATCGATCTTTTCTTTATCTGTCAATCTAAATAGGGGATGATGAAATTAAGATTACCTACCACACACGTACCTCTAAGCGAACCGATACTCCCCATCTCCCCACAGGTCCACGGGTAGAGATTTGATGATCATTTACCAATTATGTCGACCTGTAAGTGCCGTCGTATGCAGGTTGGTACCTGCAGTATGCAGGAGAATGCACAACAGGATCTGGGTACTACCTGGCCTAGCGGTACGGTACAACAGAAAGAATTTATCCTCTTCGTCAACTAAAAACCCGCAAAATCGATTATAAAATATATTGTTCCTCATCCCCCCGACTTACGCCAGCCTTGCCCCGAAGCCGAGGGAAAGGTACTATTCGGTTACAGGGAATTAAAATTACAAATAGACAAAAACGAACGCGACAAGGGTCTGCAACTTGGAATGCTAATGAGCAATTGATAGGTTGACAGGGTTTGTTGATAACGATTAACCACTAAAATCGCCTTTTAAAAGCCACTGGGGAAAAGTTACGCGCTAGAAGATGTCTATCATCTTTCAAGCGCCTGCCTCATTCTGCAAGAGCCACATGGATGCTCATGCTTTTCATGTCCCTAATACCCCCTGAACATTTTGATGGTCTAATAATGGATAAACGACCGATTACAACGCTACCCGGCCTGTAGTCTATGCCACCATGCCCCTTTCGAACATTTCCACCCCCATGCTAGACGAGCTCTGGTCCTTTTTCGTTCTTTCTCTGTTGTGCGCCCTCACTCTTTCTGGCTTGTCGATTATTTGCTGGGTTTACTCTTGTTGCCCTTGATGCCCATGTTGCCTTTCTCTTAGGTATTGTATCAGTGAAACATTACCAAGTTCCTCTGGCAGGCCGATTCGATAATCTCTTAGCCCAGTCTGTAACTCTCCACTCATTCCTCCTAGCCATGAATGACAGGACAAGGGGAGTAAGATAGTATATCGACCACCATGTCTGTCCCTCAGCCTCTGCCGAACCAGATCCTGCAAAACCACCCGCATCGGCCTTCCTTAACGGCTTACTCTGAGACTTCCCGTGCCTCGTCTGATCTTTCTTTACTTCAACAGCCCTTTCCCTCCCTCCCAGACCAATCCCAATCCCAATCCCTTGACCTTGACCGTGATTCGGCTCAAGCCCTATCGGGTTCGAGAAACACGAAGAAGCTTGTCATCGACAGCTCTGCCGTTATACCGCCCGTCCGGTCCATTCGACGCAAGCCGCTGTCGTCGACCGCGTCACCAATCGCCACTAGGTACTCTTCTGGAGCGTATCTCGCCATTGCAAAGGGGTTGCCTGGGCCAGACCAACGGTTCTCCCGCTCTTTTTCAGTTGACAGTCCTACCGTTTACGAGTTTCCTCGCCCTCCGGTTGGCCCGCTAGTTAAACCTGGATTGGAATCTCCCTACGATTTTATAATCCAGAGTAGCAGAGAGTAAGTCAAGGTTTCATTAATCTACAATCCAATGCCGGTCATCTAGGTAGGATGTTGTTAATTAATACTCGAATTTATCCAGGAAACCTCTCGAGACTCGCCATCCTTTAGCTTCTGTCGACTCCAGCCCGGCTGTTACAGCGGGTGAAGTCGAACGCCCAAGTTCTCAGGGTAGTAACCTTGCCCTTTCTCAAACACGTCACACCACCGACTTGTCGCAACATCACGAACGGACCGCCTATGACGATTTCTTTAGTGACGAAGACGAGGATCCGCTAAGTGACAATATTCTCGACGGATACAACTCAGATTCGTCGGATAATAATAATTCTAATTCTGTTTATTCTAATACTATGTCGTTGCATATCACCCGGAAAACCACACCCCCACAGTTGAATCTCAAGTTAGACGATACGTCGTTGACTCCAAAGGCCGACAGAAACGACATTAGGTCACCCAATACTGATAAACCCTTACCGAAATCACCCGGCTCGTCAAAGCTAGGAACGTTCTTTGGCTGGACTTCGCCTTCGAATACAGAGGCGTCAGACAAAGGATATTCGGCTCTTCCATCACCCTTTAACTTTTCAAAGGCGACTAGTGTTACCGATGCATCCCCAGTCACAACAATCGGACCACAATCACTACTGGACGCCCCCAAAGCATTGTTCGGATCTCCAAATTCAAGGGACTACTCCGAATCTTACCTGGCAATACCACCAACCGCTACGATACCACCACAATATCAAATCGAAGATATGGAAGATGAACTAAAGGCCATCTCGGCCGAATTGGCAGCTTCAATTCGGCGCGAGATGGACCTAGAAGACTTGGTAGACAGACTACAAGTAGAGAGGGACAACCCTACGACGGTTGGAAATAAGAGAACCAGTGATTACTTTTCTGATTCGGGATACAGCTCCGCTAAGCTAAGCGAGTATGACCAATCAAGGGAAGAGATAGAGAAAATTCAGAGGAGATCAGAGCAGGAGAAAGCCCAGATTAGGCTCGAGTTGACTAACAAACTCCAGGATGAGAGGTCCAGGAGACAACAGCTGGATGTGCAGATCAAAGAGCTTTCAGAAAGGGCATCCCAAATCGACCTCGCAAAAGTCAACAATGTTGATACAACTGGACGTGTTAAGGAATTAGAAAGTACCTGCGAAACTTTGCGGCGCAAGCTTACCGAAGAGCGCCAAGTCAAAGATAACTTTGAAGACTTACTCGCAGCGCTCAAGGGCGAGCTCGAAAATGCCTCCAACCAACGCGACAACCTTCGTGACGAGGTCGTCCCCCAGCTTCGAGCACGTGTGGAAGGTCTCGAAGCACAAGCGTCGGAGCTAGAGAAGATGACATATGAATCGACAAAGATGCAGCAAGAACTTCAGGCTCTGAAGAACGAGAACTCATCATTGAAACAGACCCAACCCAACCCGATGGGCACTATCTCTGAAGATACGGTATCTGCTGGGTCCCGGTTATCCCGATCCAATTCCTTAACCGGCCCTCCGCCGTCCTTCAGGCTTCAAAGAGCGCCCTCGGGCCTGACAAGATCCAAGTCAGTTAAGTCATCTGAATCTCGGGATCAGCTATCAGAGCGGCTTAAGGACGTCGAAGAGCAACGAGATGCTTTGCACAGGGCTCTAAGAAATCTGTTGGATAGGCAAGAATATCAGAATAAGGAGAACCAAAAGAAGATACAAGCCCTTGAGATGGAGCGTGATCGTCTTCTAACCCAGTCACCACAGAAAGCCGGCTTCCAAAAAGAAATATCTAACCTTAGATCTGAGATTACCATCTTGCGCCGGCGAGCTGATGAGGCGCTTGAACAAAAGTGGCAAGTAGAGAAAGGACTCGGAGGTCTTAAGATGGATCTTGATCGAGCCGAACAGGAGATAGCATCTCTTAGAAGCTTGCTTGACGAGAAAGATATTCTAATCCCACCGTCTATCTCACGCCTGAGCAACGGAAGCGACAAATTTGCACCCCCAGTAACATCAGATTCTCTAGCACTAGCCTATGAAGATCTCCAGAAGGCGTATGCTAACTCTCTTGAACGTATTAAAAAGCTTGAGGCTAGTAGTTCAGACGAGTTTACAAAGCTTGCGATGGAGAAGCTTGAGCGGGCACTGTCTTCTACAATCTCAGAGCGTGACATTGCACGCCAAGAAGCGACGTCGTATGAGGAGCAGCTCGAAGCCCTTAAGGAAGGCGAACGAGTTTATCTCGAATCCGAAAAAGCACTGGCCGACGAGCTGAGCGAATCGGCTCGTCGCGTCGAAGAACTAGCTGTTCAAGTCCGTCAGCAGTTAGCTACTAATCAGACTCTACGTCAAAGAATCTCGGATACCGTGGCTCGCGGTGAAGCTGAGCAGAGGGCCAATAAGGACCGCATTGCCGCAATGCAGGTACACCTCCGGAATCTTGAGGAGAAATTAGAGGCCGCGCAAAATGCTTCCGAAGACCGGATCGCACGATACGAGGAAGATATATCTAACATGAGGGCCAGCCACAACGAGCAGCTAAAACGGATGCGAGACGGCCTACGTTCTCCCCGTACATTCCCGCCGAAGTCACCTTTGTCCCCCTTTTTCTCAGGTCCAAATGCTCGGTCTCCTCGTCTCAGCACTACGCGCTCCGGCTCAGTTATCAAGGTATCGGATGATGCCCAAATTGACCACCTTCGCGCACGTGTCGCCGAGCTCGAAAATGCTCTAACCGATGCGGACGCCGAGATGCAGCAGGTTGTCGGCCGCATGAATACTGCTCAGATCCAAGTCATGGAACTGCAGGAAGAGCGCGAGGCAGCCGTTAGCCAAACGCGAAAGCTGGAGAGGGAGCTCCAGGCCGAAAAGGTGAAAGCCTTCGAGGGGCGATTCAAGAGCTTGCAGGTATAGACCTTTGGCTCATTGACCAAATTTGTAAGATGCACATCTTTACCTACATATTACGATTCCATGAAAGTCAATATGGGCGCACGCCCATGTGTACTACTTTTCCTTCCTTCTTGGCATTTACAGGAATCAGGCATCCTACACGTTGGGTATGGCAGCGCGCTCACCTGGATTCAGCATCGGGCGTTTGTATTAAGCATCACCTTGGTTTACTGTTTATAGCTATTGTATTTTTTGAGCGGTCGAACCTGGCCGACCACCTATTGTATAATGATCGAATCCTAGCATTGCTAGAGGATTCGAGGAATTGTATATCTAATGTTTTAACCTAGTACTGTTCTACCTGTATTTATATACGCGGTCGCCTACAGAGTCGAGCAGAAACACTTGCACCCGAGAAGGGTGTACATAGCTAGTATTGTACTATCGGGAAGAATACCCGGAGTTGGTTGGTAGTTTAAAATAACTACTACAATTGTCTTTAGCAACGTTATGTTCCCTTGTCCTTGGTGAAATTGTACTTCTATTCGTGACTGGACTTGGAGTTTCTTTATAGTGTAAGTAAATCATGCTTTAGGTATAGTAAATTCAAGGGGCTTGTGAAGCTGAGGCAGTTCGGTGTTCTTGTCCAGGGTGACAACGTTATGGCATGGGGGCAGGATATCGGGATGTGTCATCGGAGCATCGCTAATAACGAGTTTACCATATATATATAACATATTTAATTGAGCTAATGTATCATATACCAATAAAGTATTTCTTTAAGCGATTTGCTCGAGCCGTCTCTTGCTCCGACTCTGGCTTTTTTATGTCAGCCTTGGAAATGACAACTTCCTTTTGTTGTTTGTCAACGCCCAGCCAGAGAAGGTCGGGCCTACTATAGTGACCGACGATATCCAGGAAGCCCCTATTTGCTACGACCTTCGTGAGATCTAGATCTCCATATAAGATACCCCCAGTTTCAGGTTTACCATCACCAAGCGGTGACGTCAATCGTCTCCCGTCGGGACCAATGATACAGCTGTGACCCCCTCCGGTCTGCGCACAGATAAGCCCGTTTTGAGTGTTGAAGACGTCAATGCCGGCTTGAGTGCACACAGAGGTAGCATGTAAGACGTAAGCGCCGCTTTCGATCGCATATGTCTGTGACAGGTTCTGACATCCGTCGGCTGTCATACTCCATAGACCCGGATGATCTACACCGGTTGTGGGATCTATCGGCGGCCACATAGATACGTGAATGACTCCGCCTTGCGTGATGCTGTGATACTTGAGAAGTGGCTGAGTATGCTCCCAGCAGGCCAAGGCTCCTACCTTGATTTTGCCAAGTGGAGCGCCAAAGTCGAGTTCTGCGACGTTAGTCAAATCATTGCCGGATCCATCCCCGAAGACGGTACGCTCCATATGGGTCGGCTTTATCTTTCGTCTATGTAGGGCTAGCTCTCCCTGCGGTGAGATAATTGCCTGTGCTATGTAGGTACTGTTCGAAGGACTTCTCTCCGAGAAACCGAGAATTACAGCAATGGAGTGCTTTTTGGCTACCGCTTTGACTTGTTCCATCTCTTCTGACTCTATAGCCAAAGAGTTATAAATGTACCTAGTCTGGAGTTCGAAATCCACAGGACGAGCCCTGTCATATTGCATAGGTATGTTAACACAGCTCTGTGAAACAGGACGGGAATAGAGTCATATACGGACCATATCCATGCAGGATATCCTGGGACAAAGGCTTCCGCGAACGCAACGATCTTGGCACCGTCCCCCGCGGCCTCGGCGATAAGTTCGCAGGCTTTTCGGATTGACCCCGCAAGGTCGAGCCACACCGGCTCGGCTTGTATAACAGCAACTCGGATAGTGGTCATCGTAATTACGAGAGATGTTAATAAGTTGGAATGAGCTTTGAATACGCTTGTTTCATTGTAAGAGGTAGACGCGAAGCTACTTCATGTTTGTGCTTTTATACTCAAGATTTAGTGCGAATAGGGGTAATGCTTATCCTAAAAGTGACTTGTTGGAAATCGGTTAACTACCTATACTAAATGATGTGTTAGCACTGCGACGTTAGTATCAATATACCTAGGTACCTCTCTATATACGTTCAAGTCACATAACTTGGCATGGAGATGTTGGAAGACTTGGAAGGGCGGAGATATCATAGTGGGATCGTATACGTATTGGACATAGATATTATCACTTGTTACGTAAACTTAGAAGAACAGTAAATCGAAGCAGAATTATTCATTTAGCAAGGTTGCTTGTCGACCTGATAAGACTATAACCTCCTTTTTAAGATAGGAGAACCGGCAACTCATTCGAATCAAGCGAAACGGGGTTTCCATAGCAGGCAAGATGAAGACATACAGTTACATCTTTTAGAATTTTAATCCTTCGTTTTTTTTAATATAAATTTAAACCTTGGCATGCGTAAGGTAGGTATTCCTGTTGGTTTATATGCGTAGCCTTACAAGTAGAGCTAGTAGGACGAAATACCTTAGCCTTTTAAATATTACAGCCTACCTATTCTAGAATATGCAATGGCGCCGCCATTACTGCCTAGGTTAGGTAATTAACAGGTATATTATCGGTCGGCAGCGTAGAATGCATCTATTCGGTCCACGTAGCCTTTACGAATGGTGTAGGAAAATGTATCGAATAATATGACTTGAGCCATAAGAGATATTGCGTTGCTATGCAGAGCCTGGCAATGATTATTACACTTCCTTTTCAAAGTGCCTTGCACTGCCTATTGAATGTTTCTTTACATTAATAGGTTAAGGTCGCTACCTATATAGGTACCTACATAAGACGGTCGCAACCCCTGAGAGCCTTTAGAGAAAAGAGAGAATAAAAACCCCTCGAACATTGATGGACGTACACTATTATGTTTATCATCGGGCCCATGATCACTGGCAGCCTTGACTTAACTTTAAGACTCTTAACCAATAACACTGGCACTACCTAGTTGCTATTATCATTCTAATCTTGCATTCGAACCTCTGGCGAATTCATTGGCTTTGACCCCCATACTATGAAACCCGGTGAGTACCCGGAGTTTGAAAAAGGGGAAGAATTTCAAATGAAACTTCAACGATTTACGATTTACTAAATAGGAGGTCATCACTATGTGGTAGCATAGTAGTCTATGAAAATCGCACGCTACGCAGCTGCTACGTCTAGACATACGTCCACATGTTTATCCTTTTTTTCTGCGGGGTTTCTCACCCCAGATATCTCAACTGTTTATGAATTATCTTCCTAGTATTTGCCCATCAACAGTGGGAATATCAACACTGGATACTTTTATTGGATTAGCTGTTAGAAACTTTAAAGGCTTATAACTCTTGTAAAAATGTCTCGAAGATGTCAAAAATCTTAAGCATATGCGTCTTGGTTGTGTCCTCTGTAACTCTGAATCTACAATGCGCATTTCCATTCTGTACAGGGCAGCGAATTTAGCAGATATATATATCAAAGTATCTAGTGTCCTCAAAGTTTCAAACGTACTACATGTAGGTTAACTTGTTAGGAGTAACTTACTTTAAAAAATAACTAAAAAATGCCTTAGGTATATTAAGGCATTTCAAAAAATGGCCCACGATACTATGTATTTTGAAGTTTATATTATAAATCTTAGACACCTACTTAACCTAAGCACCTTCTCAAGCACCTTCTCTCCCCCCCTTTCAGTAATACCACCTGGTACTTATGTATATTGTATAGTACATATTCATGCAAATAATTAGTTAATACACTTATATATCGACTTAGCGTGTATTAGAAGCTTATCGATTTTCGGTAAAGTGGCTTGCTTATTCGTAGGTAGCCTGAGGGAATCTCATGGAATGTAAACTCATTTTGCCCTTTAATCTGTGTACTGATTAGCATCCCAGAAAACAAGTTGAAGTTTGCATTATGGAAGTCTATGATTTTGATCTATTCATGCCATATGATACGCTTCGCTCATTCTAGTTCGCAAGATTAAGCTACGACGATGACGCGTGGCCGGCCTTTTTCCCGGAAGCTCAAGTTCTAGCTTGGGCATCTAGTAAATATAAGGCAAAAGAGCCCTTGGACGTAGTGGGAGAACATAAGCATGGATGCTTTTATCGCCCACTTATAGATCCGTATGAAATAAGAGTCTTGGAACTGAAGCCGGGGATTGGTGGCGATAGACTCCATGGGACTCTACATCACTGTTCCGTTGAGTATGGTTAGCATGATGTTTATCATGTAGGAATATTCCTCCTAATTTGAGTCTCTAGATAACTGGGATCCAACGTCAAAGAGCTTAGCGACGTTTGCCTTGACCACAAACCTGCGCGAACCCGTATGGTACACGGCTTTAAGCTACGCTTGGGGCAATCCCGTATTTGATCGGGTTATTCAATGTGATAGCTTCAGTAAAGCTATCACCGAATCACTTGATGCCGCACTTCGCCAGTTTCGAAGACCCGATCAATCAATCATGCTGTGGGTTGACCAGATATGCATCAATCAAGACGACCAGGAAGAAAAGAGTAGGCAAATTCCGCTCATGTCGAGTATATATAAGCGTGCGTTGAACACGATCGGTTGGTTAGGGATGCCGACTCCTGAAACAGGCAATGTTCTACAACTTCTGGAGTTTACAGTTGCGAAATTACAATATATTCAATCTGTCACATGTCCGGATGACTTCGACACACTCAATTTCCTAACTGCTGAATCTATCCTCTGGGAGGAGCTATGGGACTTCGTTTCCCGTCCATGGTTTAAGAGGTTCTGGGTTATTCAAGAGGTTCGTTCTTATCTTTCCCCTAAATACCAAATAAAGAAATACTAAATCTAAATTCGGAGTAGATGGTGCTTTCAAGAGACTTGTGGCTTATGTGTGGTAGCCATTTCACAACGTTCGATATTGTCTCAGGCGCATGCACACATCTTTCTACCTGTGGTGTATCTCGCTGGCTGAATCAAACATACACAGCAAACGAGACCGACGACCGCTGTAAGTGGATAAGTGATATTAGCATTGAAAAAACTGATATCGTGAAGGGTCGGAAGGGGGACTTATTCGCTCTTCTACGTCATACGCGAGATGCTCTCTGTTGGGACCCTAAAGATAAAGTGTACGGCATTCTTGGTATTTCCAACTCATACAACTTAGAACCGGTAAATATCGATTACGAAGGCTGAATGAATGCCCCTGTTATGGGACCGTGAATGAGTTACTACACGATGTCGATTATACCAACCCACAATCCGCTCTTCCATCGTGGGTACCTGACTGGCGCCAGCCGCGGCAGACGGTTACATTAGGGGGCCGTACCTCAAGCTACGCGGTATATAGTGCGGCAGGAGATAACCAGGCCATTTTCTCAATCGGTGACAATAAATATACCGAGCTAAACATACCAGGGACATTCTTCGACACTATATGCCATCTCAGTCGCGTTTTTAACAGCCCGGATATCACAAACCGAAATCCGCTCACAGAAAACAAGGACTTGCTCACGTGTATCGAATTATGTGAAGATCTGAATGAGTACCCGGGGAGCAGCACAGTCTTCGACGCTTTCTGGCACACCTTGGTTGCCGATAAGGACGATACTGGTAGGAGAAGAAGTCCGGATTCATTTGCTGAGATATTCAGCCTTCTTTTGGACGAGTCGTCTGGTAAACTGCCAACCCTGCCCGGGCAAACGTATACGACTCGCCAGAAGCAGCCCGAAGGAAAGGGCAAATTGACGCTGGGCTGTCACGTACCGTTTGTTGTACGAGTTTCTAACGGAAGAACTGTTCGTTTGGTTAGTGAATGCTACGTCCATGGAATTATGCGGGGTGAAGTTATGCATAGAGAAGGCTTTAGTTGGGAAACCGTTACAATCATTTGATAAGGTACCTATTGCTACTTTACGTCGAGGTGGTTAATGATATGAATAGTGATTAAGGGGTTAGTAGTACGCTACTATAAAAATAGGGGTAATAAATCAACATAGCAAAACAGGATTGTTAGAAACAAATTTGCTTGCCTAAGATACACAGGTAGAATAGGTATTAATCAAGTAGAATTGTCTTTACTAGCTGCGTTACCCGTTCGCGCAGGCGCTTACGGGGGGAGTGCCTAGCTTCAAGAGTGCCTTTTTCATATGCCACATATAAGTCTGGCCTCTGATTGGCTAGCCACACCTCAGCGCACGTCCGATGAATTTTTTATAAAATCAATTGACCTACTATAATATTGTATAAAAATTCTAATAATTGGTATCGTTGGATAAAGCGCGTTTTGCATGACCTTTCTATCCTATTTGCATGTGTTTTAGACCTTATGCGATAGAATGGCAAAGGAAAAAGTCGCCAACTGCGGGGCGATTTTAAGGATCTGATTGGCTGGAAAAATTGTGGCAGTACTAATAAAATATAGGAGAGTTGATTGTGTTGAGTTTAAGAAAGCTTTAAAGACGTCCCCCCTTGTCCAAGGTCAGCTCATTTGTGAGATGTGATAAGTCGTTCTCAATCCCTGGTGCTTTCCCATGGGGTAAATTCAGCCGAAATTTACCCAAAGCCGACCTTAAGCCGGCGGGACTTCCTATTTTAGCATTTGAACTTGTTTGAGTGGCGGCGTTTACGCTTTACATATCAATAGCTTCAATGTTCCAACAACATGTACTGCTGCAGACCACTAACACGATCCGTCCAATCGGGTCCCCCACCAGGCCATAACTCCCTTCATACGGAGCATATGGTTGTCAACCCCGCTCGCTACTAAAACCCCTTCTTTCAACTTTACGCTCCGTGAGTTAGCTCTCGCCCCGGTCTCCGGTCGTCGCAGTGGAGCTATTATCAAAGATGTTTTTCCTACTTGTCCGCGAATGGCCATGATTGGCAGATAAGACCCTTATACCAATGCAGTCTTTCCAAAGGATTAGTGATTACGAATGGGGGGTAGCACCGGTAGCTGGCCCGTTGTCCGGGGATGCTGGGGTCAGACAGACCACACCGATAGGATCGTGAAATGCTTTCTTCTGCGTCGTTTCTCAAAATGTTCAGCGTCATATGTAGGAGGTATACATAGCTCGCCAAGTTGTCACGTAATACGGGGGGTATCCCACCACTACGGATTAACAATTATTAAGCAGCCAACCCTCCCTTTTTTATCAGGTTTCTTTCTTACTACCCATTTTCTTCTTTTATAGGCACCTATATTTACCCCTCTGAATCTCACTTAATTCTTATCCGGAAGGCTCCCCTCTAAGTCATGAGATAAGTACCTAAGATATTCAACACTCAAAATGAATTCTTCATTATTTGGGACTCTCGTCCAAGTCGAGTCCAACTCGACCCGGCACGATGAACATCCTCTTCCTATAGCCCCTCAGAGAGTAAAATCAAGGACATATCCCGCGGTCCCTCAGCAAGACTCAATTGAGTTGGAGCCTCTTCGACATCCTCTCAATGATGGCGGCATTTCTAGTACCCCAGGCCCTGCCACTCCTAGAGAGGAGATGGATGTTGAGATGAGTGCCCCGGGAACGCCGGTCGGGCCAACCGATGCCTTCGATGCTCTCCCGACTCTGAACGACCCGCCTATGAACAAGTTCCGTCTGGCGACCTGCTGTTTCCTAAATTTCGTGGGTGGATTAACTGATTCGGCGCCTGGTGCACTAATTCCTTACATGGAATCGTGAGTAGAGTCTACCTCAAGCTGATTCTTTTCCGAGCGCTCATAAAGAAAGACTGAGCATAGACTGACCAAGGTAAATGTAGTCATTACAATATTGGATATTCAGTAGTAGCTCTTATCTTCATCGGTAACGCCTTAGGGTTCATTATGGCCGCACCATTCGTCGACCAGATTCGCCAGCGTCTTGGGCGAGCTAAGACCATCGCTTTGGCACAGCTTTGCATCGGCATCGGGTATATCCCTTTGATCTGCACGGCGCCTTTCCCCGCGGTAGCGATCGCCAATTTCTTCATCGGCTTCGGTCTTGCCGTCCAGCTCGCCATCGGCAATGTGTTCTGCGCAAACCTAGCCAATAGCACGACGATGCTTGGTGCTTTCCACGGAAGCTATGGTATCGGCGGTACGATTGGACCTCTCGTTGCGACTTCCATTGTATCTTCTGGTGCTATCTGGAGCCGGTACTACCTCTTGACTCTCGGCCTTGTCGTTTGGACTGCTGGCTTCTCGACTTGGGCTTTCTGGAATTACGAGAAGGATGTTGGCGGTAGCGAGTCGAACGTTCTGTCTGAGACTAATTCACGTGGCCTAGACCATGTGTCAACTATGCTCATTACTTTCAAGTCAAAGGTCATTCTCCTAGCGGCTATCTTCATCTTTGCGTACCAGGGAGCTGAAGTGTCTATCTCGGGATGGGTTATCTCCTTTTTGATCTCCAATCGCGACGGTAACCCTTCGTCTGTCGGTTACGTGACATCTGGTTTCTGGGCCGGCATCACACTCGGGCGGTTCGCACTCTCGCCTATCGGCTCCAAAATCGGCGAGAAGTTATTCGTTTACATCATCGTGGTCGGGGCTGCTGTTTTCCAGTTGCTAGTCTGGTTAGTCCCTAATATCATCGGCGAAGCCGTGTCGTTGGCTATTGTAGGGTTACTTTTGGGTCCCGTCTACCCCTGTGCCGCCTATGTTTTTACGCGTAACCTCTCCCGTCGCGAGCAGTTCAGTGGTATGAGCGTCATTAGCGCTTTTGGTAGTTCTGGTGGCGCCATCGCTCCGTTCACTACGGGTCTCTTAGCTGAGGCTGCTGGTACGTTCATCATGCACCCTATCGCTATTGGCTTGTTTGCCGTCATGCTAGTTTGTTGGTTTGGACAGCCTGGAATTAGGAAGAGAACGGAGTAATGAAGTATGAAAATACCACATATTAGCCATATTCTATACTTAGATAGATAGAACAATGCTGGGACGATTATGAGGCGAGGACTGCCTTGGGAATTATGCTAGTTAAGTCTTCAGCAACGAATACGCATACTACTACTATAGTTCCATGATAACACACAACTAGCCTTATACATACATAGCTGATAATAAATTATCATTCGAATACCTAGAGCCATTCATATTTGTTTCCCCCTTTAGCCCCTTTACCCCATTTCTTAAGCTAGATTAGGTAAGGTACCTATATTTGGGAATTAGCTTGTCAATGGGCAATAATTTAGCCAAGACCTTTTCCGATGGCAAGGATACCATATAACTATAATCGGTCACAAAAGGTAGGTAGCGAGAGCTGCAAGTTTTTAAAAATGTTAAGCGATGCTTAGCATCGAATAATATTATGCCCCGTCTACCTGTCTATCCGTTCGTCTAAAGATAATATCTATCTGCACACTCAAAATGCACATGCCATGTTGTTTGAAGATTAGATCCCGCGCTGAAATCTAGAGATAAAAGAGAGAACTAATGTTCTTCTGGGAATTCGAAGCTTGAAGATTTACACTCTTCCCTTCGCCGCTTCCTGAACGGTGATCTTGCCTTCGACCACGTCTGCAACAATCTTGTGGATGTCGGAGAAGTCGTTGAAAGTGACAAATGGCACCTTCTCATTCTCGCAGTACGTGACGAGGTCTAGTGGGTTAGCATATCGTCTTCAGAATTTCTAGAGTCGTCGGAATAAAGAAAAACTTACCTCGTCCGGCCTTGGCAAATAGCAGATCGGTTTCCTTGGCAGCAGACAGGTCTGAGACGCCATCTCCGGCGTAGAACATGATAGGCCGCTCCGGTAGCGCAGCATACGGTCTAATTTCGAGGGACTTGTCGTGTCCAAAGTCGCTATATTAAGCAAAAATTGTATATATTAGTTACTGGTTCCTAACCTGGAGCTATCTTTGTAGGTACGTATGCCTCTTTAGGAGTTTATTCATTCTCTGAACAAAACACAAAATCCGAAATGTAAAGTGCTTGGGAGAAAGTAGCACAGAAAGATAACGGAAAGAAAAAACTTACCTGTCATCGTGGAACTTGATGTTCCAGCCATTCTCTTCGTTAATGCTCTTGCCCGGTCTGGCCTCAACGTCATTGCTGACAATCTGCATATGCTGGACAGCATCCTCACCAACAAGGTGGGCGAGTAAAGCACGGATGATGGGCTGCATGCCACCGCTCAGGACGACAACAGGGACATTGTTTGCACGAGTCCAGGCGAAGAACTCGGCAAAGTGAGGGTCGAGTTGAACATTTTCAAGTAGAGTGGCAATGCATTGGTCGTAGGGGGTCTTGATGCTATCCATCATCTCCTGGAAGCTGTCGCGGAACGTACGCTTGCCAAACAACACGTCATGGTTGCCCTTCTTACGGAGCTCAGCGCCGTATCCTAGGTTATCTGTCATAAAGTCGTTGCTGTCCTGCAGCGTGATGGTACCGTCAAAGTCGGTGAAGAAGATGGCCTTGGGGTTGGTACGCAGCGCGGGGAGTGTGCTGTTAACCCCATTAGTGCCATTGGTGTTGTTCGCTTGAGCCATGATGTCTGTCTATTATTCGATATGATTTTGAACCAAGTAGTCTAGATATTGTTGGTTGTATTGCCTCTAATATGTATCCACTTGATGGTTGTCTCTTATACTCTCTCTATCTTGTATATGAGGGACTTTGGTCTGATATCTCAGAAAAATGAATGACGTCACACGGTAAATGGAGGGTCCTTTGCGTGCTGCGCTACCTCACGTCTAGCAAACTCGTGAAAAGGATGGCCGAGTTCCGAATGTGTAGATGTTCACTGGTTAAATAAGAAAATAAAAGGAAAAGGACGAGCGAAATAAAGTTTCCCCAGGTCTACGCCAATACCAACACCGACTCCAAACACATGCAACAAGCAAGAGCGATCCGCGGGGCTCTTTCTGTCTGCCACCTTCTTGCCCCTCCATCAAATTTGTCGATCGGCTACATATGCTTTTCTGCCAAAAGGGAAAGGGCCCCCACTGAGGCTTATTAGCGATCTTGGCGAAGCTAGGTACATGTACCTTATGCTTTAGTGTATATTATAGGTACTAGGTACCTACGTATATGCACTATAGCTGGCTGCCCCTTATGTACTTCAGGTCGTAGCTACCAGCCATTGCCTAACTGTGGTCCCGGTAAGGCGGTGGGCGATAGGGAGTAACCTAGGCGGTGGTCGGGTAATTCCCGGTATTATTTCAACTTCTTTTCTCGGCCGGACTACACAGCGTCATATTCTGTCCTGCCCTGTCCCGTCCCGTCCCCTACCTTAGGTACTTTTACCATAGATTGATCACACGCCAATTCAATCGCAGCAAAGAGGAAGGGTAGCCCGACCCATCCTCTAGCTTGCCTTGATGTCGACTTCGAGGGCCTTGAAGCCCATTTTCGGGTCTAGCTACCGGCTTCTTCTCGATCAATTGGCACCTCAGTCCACGAGGAAGCTCGTCTCGAGCCGCCCATCCTCGGCATGTCCGACCTGCCGGCATAGCTCCGTCCTTTTTTTAAGCCGCCAGCTTCGGTTCTCCTCGTCCTCGTCTTCTTCCTCCAACTCGAATCCGCCGAACCCTCCTAGGAATAATGAAAGTGATAAAAAGCCTACCGAAAATGAGCCTATATTCCCCTTCTCCCCGCCCTTCATCGTACCACCTCCACCTCCACAACCGGAGCCCGAACCGACACCGACACCGACACCGACACCCCCGCCACAGCAACCGCCGCCACCTCCTCCCCCGGAAAGTCACCCCACGAGGAACCCCGAGCTCCCCTCAGCCCAGAATTCGCGGCGCTCCGCTCTCAACCGTTCTCTCAGCACGTTCATGGACCGGGCGCAGACGACGCTCTTCGCCGCGTCCCAGCGGATTAATGACCTGACGGGATACTCTGGGATCGAGACGCTAAAGTCCCAAATCAGCGCTCTGGAATCGGAGCTTGCGGCGGCACAGGCTCGGCTACACGCTGCGCGCAGCGCCTACAAGTCATCGGTGGCCTCGCGGTCCGCGACGCAGCGAGAAGTCACGACGCTGCTGGCGCGACAGAAGATGTGGTCGCCGACGGACTTCGAGCGCTTTACGGCCTTGTACCGACAGGATTACGAGCTGGACGCGGCGGTGGCAGCACGAGCTGCCGAGCTCGAGGAAGCAGAACGCGAAGCCGAGCGTCTGGGCCGTGAGCTGAGTGCTGGTATTCTGAGCCGCTACCACGAGGAGCAAATATGGAGTGACAAAATCCGCCGCATGAGCACCTGGGGTACTTGGGGCCTCATGGGCGTCAACGTCCTCATGTTCCTCATTTTCCAGTTCGGTGCCGAGCCCTGGCGCCGCAGGAGGCTCGTCAAGGGCTTTGAGGAGAAGGTCCGCGAGGCTTTAGAAGAGGAGCGTCGGCTCGAAAGGGCTTTGAGGGGGGCCGAGAAGGAGAGGAGGAGGATAGAAAAGGAAGCTGCCGCCGCTGCCGTTGAGACCACAGCTGCAGCCGAGGTAGTCGACGCTGAACCAGTTACGGCGGAGTTAAAACCGGAAGAACCAGCCGACGGTATCATAATAGGGCCGCCGATCACGTCGTGGCGAGAGTCACTCTCGAATCCGGAGTGGTGGAAAGCCGCGTATGCCGACTTATCAAGTGATAAGAAAGTCGCCCTTAAGATGCGAGACGTTTCTATAATAGCGCTCGAGGGCGCCGCCGCCGGTGCCGCAGCTATTGGTACTATAGCTGCTATTATATTTATCCGAAGATCCTAGACTAGAGCAAAGTGTCAAAAAGGGTATGTACTCTAACTTCAACACCCACAGCTGTACAATACGATACCCCCCAAAGACCGCCCCTATCAGCACACCATGTACATTCACCTTGTATATAAATTCGAAAAAAAGAAGGATGACGTTTGCATTATCTGCCGGTCTAATTAATGGGGGCAAGCTACTATATGTCGGGGTAGACTGTGCGATAGCATCTGCTTGCCGCTCCTCGACTGAGAATTCTAAATCGCGCCCAACAGTAATCGACCTTTTTTTTTTTGAATATTCGCCCAGCGAATGGCATTTCACGTAACGCCTATGTATCCGTGGCACGAGTAGTAAGTACGCCGTGGCCTACAGTGATATCGACCGTGCAATATTTCTTTTTTTGATAAATGCGCCTCGAACCAAGCAGATCACCTCGCCGTCGTATACCACGGATCCTAGGACATAGCAAAACGATTGAATCCTCCGTTCATTTCTGGGATTTACCACTACTGCTGCTCCTGTTACCATACCCTCTCGACGAGTCCTTAACTTCCAGTCTTGGCGCCTAGTCAAAATCCGCCGTGTATGAGAATCCGCGGAACTCTTCTTGCATAGCTTGCGAAAGCACTATAACTTTATCAGTATGACCGGTATTTTGGGGGTAGACGCAATTATCCTTACCTGACTGCACCGGCGTCAAAACCGGTGTAACGCTAGTAAATTCTGAATCGAAATTGCTGGTATCCGTTGCGTTCTTGATCGTGGGCATGAAAGGAGGGGCTACCCTCTTATGATAAATATCATCCCATACGATGTTTCTGAAAAAGGGCTGACTCATGACCTCCTGAGCATCAGTTGGCCCGCTTCCTAATCGTTGGTCGGGGTCTCTCGTGAGAAGTTTCTGTAGGATCGAGACCGATTCCCTGGGCATGTGGATAGGATAAAGCGGCTCATCCGCAAGAATCGCGTCGTAGATCTCGTCCTCGTCTTCACCCCGGAAAGGTGATTGTTGTAAGAGCATCTGGTAAATTAACACACCAAAAGCCCACCAGTCCACCGCTCTACCGTATTTCTTATCCAGTAGTATCTATCATGACGTTAGAGACAGTATAGAGGCATGTAAAGTAAAGGGCACACGTACTTCGGGAGCCATGAACTCGGGTGTACCGCAGAAAGTACTAGTCGTAGAGCCATACCACATGTCCTCCTTGCACAGACCGTAATCCGCAATCTTGATGTGACCATCTAGCGTAAGCAGGATGTTGTCAAGCTTGAGATCACGATAAATGACGCCGTTCTCGTGGAAATACTTAAGTGCTAAGCAAACTTCAGATGCGTAAAACCTACAGAGAAGGTCAGCAAACATGCTCAAAGGGATTATAAACATTGGAACCTACTGTGCACGTTTGGTGCCAAATTGTCCACGCTGGATATGAAGCATCAGGTCACCACCGCTAATGTACTCCATGACAAAGTACACCCTCGTTTCGGTTTGGAAACAAGCATGTAAGTTGGTCAAAAACGGATGGCGTTCCCTATTCGCAATCAGGAACACCCTTTTCTCGGATCGGATACTTTCGACCTCGTCGTTTTCAATGATAAATTCCTTCTTTAGAACTTTGATAGCATAAAGCCGTCGTGATTTCTTCGTTTCTGCCAGCATAACCTTACCAAAGTTACCTTTACCGAGGACTGCAAGGAAGTTAAAGTGGTCCAATCCAATACGCTGACCAGTTCCTGGGTCAGTTGCGGAGGGCAAAGGCTTCCTTGAAGGGGGCGGCAATGTAGTACTCGATGTTAGCGAAGGGGTTTCCTGGACTGGTTGCGGTTTTGAAACCGGTGCAACAGGGGGATACATCTGCTGTTGCTGTATTTGAGGTGGTGGAGATTGCGGTTGTTGGGCCGGGTGTTGCTGTTGTTGCGGTATCTGTGGCTGGCTTGGAGGATAGTTGGCAATATTTGCATACGCCGCTGGGTTATACTTCGGCTGCGAAGGCACATTATAGGGCTGACCAGCCGCGTACGGATCTTCTTGAGTATCTACGGTCCCGCCATAACTACTACCAGTCCTACCAGAGGAGTAGTCTGAGGCCTGTCCTGGGCGACCTGATGGAGAAGCTATAGTACCGCTCATAGCAGCTGTAGCGGCAGCTGCGGCAGCACTCGAGCCGGATGAAGTACGATCAGGATAAATGGGTCTCGTCGGTGAAGCCTGACTAGTATACATAGCTTTAGCAGCATCGGTCGCCTCTTGAGAAGCGACACTAGGCTGGTAAGATGGTACACCATGAGTGCTATAGGGTGACATGGGACCTGACGATGGGCTGGTAGGGCTAGACTTGCCCTGTCTAAGGGTCTTATCAGTCAACGAAGTCGTTTTTTGTTGCCTCTGTTTTTGTGATCTGATGCCTTCGAGGATCTGATTAGCAACAGCCATACTCATACCGCAGAAGTCCGGTACAAGATGCACGCAGTGGGCATGAGCCGTAAGCGCGCACTCTATAGAAGTATTAGCCATATTCAAGCAACTAAGGGGGAGGAGTAGGTATCGATCGTACCGGTACACTTTCTGCAATTCTTCTTTCCAAAAGGTAGTATATAACCACAGTGACAACACCAATTAGCGGTAACATTCGAAAATGGCGCGAACCTATGGGGAATACGGTGATTGATTTTCTCCTCGTCTGGATCTGTTTCGGCGTTGCTTTTACTAATACACTTTGTAACCACGCTCGAATAACATTTCGTATGACAGGTATATTTGCAGTCCTCGCACTGCATACCCGCAGAGTATTTGAGAAAATCGCCGCAAAGTGCACAACGCATAATGTTGTAGAATTGATGTTGCACGAACTTGTGTCCGTACATCTCGTGTACCTCTTCTTTGCGTTGACGAATAGCACCCTTTCGCCCAAGGCCAAGGTCCACAGCTCTGCGGTCTTTACTTTGTTTTATGAAGTTGAGCGATAGGTGAATAGAACCTGTAGGCTCTAGATTAAACCACGCATCGATCGGTTGAGAGGTAACTTGTGGCACCGCTTGCGGCCCAAACTGCTGCTGACCCGGACCAGCTAATCCAGGGGATGTAGGTCCGGCAGCAGCTTGCGGTGGCTGTTGCGGATCCATTGGGAACTGAGGCGGGGGCACTCCAGGGCCTCCTCCCATCCTATCGGCAGATACCCAACCGGAGTTGCTGACCTCGGCCTCGATTCTCTTTTTTCGCATCTCTTCCACGATATCTGATATCCGCACCCATAGCATGGCAATAGGTAATGCATGTTCACCTGGCTTGTCATAAACTGTAAGTTCGATCTCGTTCGCCTTATCCACCTCGATATTGTGATATTCGGCTTCCCATCGATCGGTGCGTGAGACCTTTGTTCGTGCGACGACGTTGTCCTCGACCTTAATAGCGATGAAGGTTTCTGGCCCTCGCGAAAACCGCCCGGTACTAGCATGATCCACATCTCTTACCTGGACAATTCGAATGGAAAGCTGCCCAGTTAATGGCTTGCGTAGATTGGGCATATTGATACTATCATCTGCGAGATAGGCTTGTTAGCGTAGAAATATAACACAAAAACTGCGGAGCGGGCAGCGAACCATCAGGGGAGTCGGCGGAATCCAAATCATCTATATGAAGTTCTTCGTATCTCTTGAGTGCCTGCTTCAATAGATGAATCTTCTGTTTACTCTCAACCCTCCTCGCTGCGGCGTCAGCTTTGCTTTTGCGATCACCTTCCATGCCGTAGAGTTGAACCATTTTTTCTACACCCTTGAGATATTGCTCCTCGACGTTGAGCTTAAACTGGATTTGAGAGAGCATGAGTTGGATTCGAGGACCGAGATAAGGGGTATCGTATTTAATAAGATCTAAAGACAAATAAGAATTAGTTATGCAAGTTTTATTATAAGGGCCATGGTAGAGCCCGCAGTAACAAAAGTGAGAAAAGGAGGGGTGACAAACCTAACTTGGTAAAGTTTGGCCTCAGTTTCGGAACCGTCGAAGTTGGCCCTGGGGGGGCGTATGGATGCCGCGGCGGCATGATATCTCCATGGCCGCCGATCTGGCTATAAGGTAGAGAACCATAGGAGCCCTGATCGCCCGACCACGCGCCGGCATCTTTAGGCGGAGGCGGTGGTGGTCCTTCGCCATCACGCATATCGAGACTACTAGGACGCAACGAGCCGGCTGCGGTAGAGCTTGAACCGATGCTCATGCTATCCATACCTTGTCCCAGACGCTTCATCTGTAAATCTCGAAGCTTCTCTTCGAAAAATTGGAGGTTCCGACGGCCCTCTCGCATCTGGCTATCGAGACGAGACCTAACATCGTCATTGTTGGTCTGCTGTCGCATAGAATTAGCAGCATTGATCAGAGCTTTCTCGCGCTCGATCTTTTTGTAAATATTTGCCATGGCCTCTTCGTCGTTCATGGTGGGCAGCTGGGTTGCGCGTCGTCACGCGCGGGACCAGGTAGGTATGTAGAAGGGTATATACCAAGACTTGTTGTTGTGTGAGTGGAGGAGAGGTTGAGAGGTTGAGAGGCAGAAATGCGGGCGGCCCGAGATAAAGCTGGAGAAAAGCTATCTCACAACTCAGTATCGCCTATGCCTATGCCTATACTGCCTTATACTACCTGTACTGGCTGCAATCGGCAGGCCCAGGGCACACACTACCCGCAGCGCTAGCGTTAGCCTTATAACAGAAGCCAGTTAATATTTGGATTGAAGCAAGTGTAGTTGCCGGGTTGGCGTGTTGGCGTGTTGTCAAAGAGCGGGTAAGGAGCAAAAGATTAAAAGATTAAGAAAATTGGGTAGTGCGATGTCGTCAGTGTCAAGTACGGCTACCTTAGGTAGGAGGTAGGTATGTATGTACAAGTTTGCCTTGTGTTAATGGCGGGGTTTTGTGTCTCGCATGCGGCAGGCGCAAGTCTATGGTGGTCTGTGTTGAGCTCCACTGTGGATTTATTGGATTTATGGATTTATGGAGGATTGCTGTGCACTTAAATAATTCAAGAATTCAAGGTTGTTACTGTTATCAGTTGATAACCCGACGGGCACCTTTTTTTTCTAGTATTACCCAGGTCTCGTATTATTATTATTTGAGTCGGGGGTTTATAGGAATGGAATGTCGTAACTTTCCGTCAAGTCTCGAAGAAGTGGACAATTTATAAAAGATTAAAAAAAAAAAAATAGATAAGGACGGGGAAGACGAGTGCCACCGGAAACCCTGAAAAGGAAGCGTAATGCATACCTACCTCCTACACATACATATAAAGTGCGAAGTCGGTACTTGTTGATTTTACTATGTCGGTGTTAGCCGCCTGCGTGTCATCGGTTTACCAGGTAACCAAAAACACAGACAAGTGAGCTATTTGGCCTACCCAAAGCCGGCCACCATAACAAGAATCAATCTCCAAGTTGTTTGTCGCCTATTGAGGATCATTGGCAACTCGGAGGATTCAAATAGAACAGCAAATAAATAGATCGAAGAGGGAAATGCCTAAACTTAGGTAGGTTAGAATAGAACAGGCGTCCGGGGAAAGCAAAGCAATATCAGGCGAGGTGAGATCAATCGACTTTAAAACAGCCCACGTTCCATTTGAGTAGGAAGTTGAGACTTTTTATATTAACCCATAGGTATAGGTAACTATATACCTTACTTACCTAGGTACCTATCTATTCGCATCTGCATGCCTGGTAGCATAGCAACTATTATCTACATATCACCACCGCACGGCTTGCATTTGAATCTACGGTCAGAATCTGCAACACGATATAAAATAGGTAAAGATCGCCACATGTGTACATGTGTGGAGATGCGGGTCAACAGTCGCGGCTCGCATACATAGAACTATGTCAATATTTGATATTGATCTTGCCCTACCGGTGTAACCATTGGGCATCACGAAAACAACAAAACCCCATCCATTTGTCAGCTAAGCAAATGGGTTGCGCGTCCCCGGAGGTGCCGTAACGCAAAATATACATACCAGCGATTTAGGGAGCCGCTTTCAAGGAGTGACCTGTCAAGTCAAAAAGTTGATACAGGGCGGGGAAGAAACAATATCCCCTAGATATCACAAGCACTACAAACGAGAAGAGAACCTTAACCCCACCTCACGTACCTATCAACTTGCCACGATCAGAGATGATGCTGCGGTTATTATGCGATTCGCGAGTTTATCGAAGCAAGTCAAGATTTCACACGTGACACGCCATTTCATTCGATGCCATGGACACATTGAGTTGACATGGCGCAAGCTTTAAATAAATGATGATCCTTAATGCCCAAGGCTGTAAACTAACGTAACAAGTTCTTCAGATTCAGACCTCACATACAACGCAATCCGGGGTATCAATAGTATTAACATGACGACTGACGAGCCAAAACTGCTCACAGCTATACAAACACGTCTTATCTCATTTGATCTCATACAACCAAGCGCAGGGTATTAGGACATTATGAAATGCTCAAAACAGAAACTGCCTTGTTGGCGCTCTTACATCATGATGCTTGGCCAGGTATAGCCGAAGTAGAGGGCACGGCCTTTTCGTTATTCGAGTCTGTTGCGGGCTGAGCTGGCAAATAAGAAGGCTGCGGTGGTGCCGGTGCGTAAAACCCGGCGAGGCTTTGGTAATTCTGTCCGACCGGGTTGGCTTGAGGGGCGGTTGGTGCTACGACACCAGTCCCGTTGGGAGCTGGACCAAATTGCACTTGTCCCGTTTGCGACTGTTGTGGTGGTTGCGATAACGACTGCATCGCCATCGGATACGGATAGTAAGGAGTAGTACCCGGTGGTGGCGGAGGTGGATAGTACATGCCTCCTGCCGATAACATAGGTGGTAGAACAACGCCTGCGGGCCTCATCATATTCCGTTTGTGCGTATCGATGCATGCCACGACGAAAAGAATGAAGTGATCGATGGTTGCCAAGCAGAAGAAAGCAAGTACGGCTTGGATCATGGGCAGATACGTGCCGTTCCTGTACAGTTCGATATCATGGCGGCGACAGTAACTATAACTATAATTCGAATAGCGCTCGATTTCCTCCTCGGTGCAATCTCTGATCATATCCTGTACGGAGAGGGAAATCGAAACCGTAATAAAAACGGCGAATACGCAGACGAGCCAGAAGCAGAGGTGCAGGGCGACGTGTGCCCCTGGGTGGATCCCTCGTTTAACGTCCTTCCGTGAGCGAATACCAAAGGTGATCAACTCAGCGCCGTTCCATAGAATGGCAGCGATGGTGATGGGAAGGGCATACAGTGCCATGCCTTCGGCACCACCATCATCATCAAGGAAGGCGCATGATAAGGCCAGGATTACGATAGCGAAGATAATCGAGAAGACTGTGAGAACGAGTTTGCTGGCTGTCCAGGACTTTGAATAAGGAGGAAGGACTCGAACAGGCTGCGCACACGGGTACGGCTGGGGCTGGTAGGCATATGGCCCATAAGGTGACGGATATTGAGGATACGGTTGTGGGAGTGGCTGCTGACGTGCAGGCGATCGTGGTTGAGCAGTTGGATTTCCTGCTGGCCTAGCTGGCATCGGTGGTGCGCCCCCGTTAACAGGTTCTCCAAGCTGGTCCCTCGTTGCCGGAGCCGGAGCGTTCTCGTGGATTGCTGAAGCCGGGCTGCTCACGGACGAAACTTCATTCTCATCTCTCGTCTCAATTGTCGGCTGTGGATTCTCGTTCGAAGTCATCTTGGTAGTAATTAGTCACAATATAAGTAACTATTTATATTAACTCGAAGTTTAAAAGCAAGAATAAAAGTAAATGCGCAATGATTAAAAATTAGGTATAATAAATAAGAACGATTGGATGGAAATATTTCCAATAATGTAACGAACGACGACGAGCTGGATGAGAACTCCAGCACGAGAATAGGCTGACGGGGAATAAAGAGATAAATCGAAGGGGGAATCTTGCCGCCTTTCATTTGAAAATAAACGAGAGCCAAGCTTTTCAGCCCTGGTCATCTTTTAAAGAGTCAGCGCGATTTGCCATTAGCGTAGGCATGTTACATGTCTACCTACTATATCAACGTCGCCACTATACTATTTATATAGTTGCATGTTCCTATAATTACCAGTTATCACTAGAGGTAGTTTGGTGTTGCCTTTTTTTTTTTCTCTACGTACCAATTCTAGACAACATTTAGACAAATAGGCTACCTTTACATATCGTAAAGAACATCTCATGATCAAGACAGTGACTCGCTAATAATCAAGTAGCATCGAAATTGTGATCTAGGCAGCTCTTAAAATCCGACAATGAGGTCTAGTTCGGGTTTTAAGTTGCGGCGCAGCTAGCCGAGAACCAATTCTAGATCGGCCCTAATCTACTAGGGGAAGGTGAACATTAGAAGCTAATGCATGCAACTAGAACGACTTTGCACCAAAAGGAACAAAATCGCAAGAAATTAAAACATCGTCCAAGCATCTAGAAGATAGATATGCAATATAAAGAATTATTCATATGAAAAGGAACCAATCCCCTAGGTAAATTCAACTGCATGGATTCACAAGTCGGTTTAATCTCATACACACCAAAAATTTATATTAGTCTTGCATAGACTACCAAACCCTCCCTAACCGTGACATATATGCTCTATCCTCAGTGTTTCCTAGCCAACTTCGACCAAGCTCGAATTCTCGCACCGAAAAAGTATAAGACATAGACCAATGCTACAAGGCCAAATGAGATGAAACCTAACGTCGCCATCGCCCACTTAGCACCCATATCATGAAACATGACGATACCTACATTTCCACATGTTAGAGTCGACTCGGAAAAACGCTTTGCGTTGAAAACACTCACCTATATGGCAACAGGCAGCCGCAATCAGAAAAGATGGTATCAAAAATGCAGCTATCGCCGACGCAGCAACATTGGTATATGAATCAGCGATATAATTAAGCATACTGAGCCACAGTAACGGGTCACAGAAGCCCAGCAGACCACCTGCTATTACGGGCGACCAAAACGACACGCTTCCGTCACAGGTAAAAGCGAACCATAGGAGGGATATCGGGAAGCCCCAGACGAATAAGAGCGAAGTCAAGAATCTCGCTTCTGGGCGACCGATACCACCGTTCCTCATACGGTCGCGCTTGTAAAACCAGGTCTGAACTGGCACAAACGCGAACATGATAGTTACGCTGACGACGAAATTAAGATATGTCAAATCAGCTGACATATACCTGGTCCAGTTAGAGTCGATATCCTTCTAGCGAAGATGGGAGATACTTACGATAGCCCGTTATTAACTACGAAGACATCAAATACTCCATCTAGATATAAGTAGAGCAGCCCATAAGCAAATCCATTGTAGATGCCCAAGAAAGTGACGATGGGCTCCGTCAGCATAATGCGAAACGCCATCGAGGTGACAAACCGCATTTCCCGAAGGACGTCAATACGTTCTTCCATAACAACGAGCTCAGTTGGATCCGACGATTTGTGTGCCTTGGCCGCTTTACTAATAACGACCCGCGGTAGTGTTTCTGGAATGAAGCACATGATGATGGTAAAACCACCAGCGATGATGACGCTATCTGAGGTCAGAACTAAGTGTCCCTAAAGCTCGCCCATCATGGAGCAAGTTGCCAAGCGCGGACTCACTTGATCCAGAATATCCACGGCAGCCCTAGGTGCTCGTTCTCAGTAATTAGTTCTCCAATAGGAGAGCCTATGCTTGGACCATAATTTGCCGACATCACGAACAGCGCCATGGGCTGGCCAGCTCCATCCAAATTGCCAAAGAGATCAGCAATAGTGCCAGCTACGTTGGAGAGAGCCGTGCTCCCGGCAACTCCGCAGAGGAATTGAAAGATGATCAGCATCGGTAAGTTGCGCGCCAATGCCGTGCCGATGTTCAGGATCGCATAGACGCCGATGGACACCACATAAATCCATTTTCGTCCTCCGATATCACTAGAAAATACCATTTAGCTTTCATAAAAGGGGCCGGTCTCTTTTAATCGCAGCAATATTAAGGGCACACATACGATAGAGGACCTAAAAATACTGGCCCGACAGCTGTCCCTACGATGAACATGCTCTGACCAAGAGCTACTACTTGAGTAGACCCGCCATACTTCTCCTGGACGAGAAACTCGGCGCTGACGTAGGTCGTGGTCGAGAGGGTAACGAATACTTGAAGCAAGCAGTAGACGGCGATGATGGGCCATTTCTTTATTGAACTCCAGTGAATGGGGTGAGATGCGCTACTAAACTCGACTTTCTGAAGGGCAGAGAGCGCCGCATCTGCGTCCGAGTCAGGGGCATGTGTAGTCGGTTTCTCGGCCTTCTCTTCCATTCTCTTTGCGATAGCTACGTGAGGATCGCTTCATCTGACGAATTCATGAAGAGATTTTGGCTACCAGCTGGAAGTTGAGAGCTATGCGCTATATTACGTACGTACATATCCACTAGCATCGGCACACTCAGGAGCGGATGTCAGCAACCTACAAATTCTACTAGGACCTGAATGATACCACATCGAGATAATTGACGACTTGGACCCAATCAGATATCCCATATGCTTATCATTAGAATGGGTCGCCCTCCACACTGCTAGATTATGTAGGGGTGTCGGCTCGGGATTCGGGTTGAGGCGTCGAATAACGTCCACATTAACAAAGCCAGCAGGTTTTTTTAGGCCTTATTTCCGTAGCTCGGATGGGTCGGTCACGCCAGCTTGATGATACCACACAGAATTGCTAGACTAGGTGAAAAATATCCTCATTGCAAGGCAGTCACTTAAAGAACGCCCATGGATAATATCTATCTATGCTAACATTCATAACATGATAAGTTCTTGGGTGGTACACCAGTAACATTGGGTACTTAACTCCGAGTTCTTTTCCATTACCAAGCCACTGAGTCTTTAGCCCAGCGCCTGGTACAATATTTCGTATTACTCTACGGAAATTTTTCGTGGGGATACTTAAATTATTGAAGTACTAGCCTATGTCAAAACTGCCTGAGATCAGACCTAACTATCTCTTCGATTATAGCTCGGGAATTCAATATCCATAGTTGTCTTTTGAATCACTCTACCATCTAAGACCCCGTGATGGCATGGAAGATATCATAAACATACATGACCATTACAATGAAGATAGAATCGAATTGAAAGACAAGATGCTTAAACCATGCACGTAGAGTGCTTATAGTATTTTCAGCTCAATATCAAGTACTACCTAAGCTCTCCCCATCTATCAGGAGATCATGATGAGATCGCATATACAAGACAGTCAGTGGATCGGTCTAGGTATAAGGAGGGCCATTAGCCTCTAATTGGAAGTAATAAGCATTCATATAGATACCTACTTATAAAGATCCTAGTTCCTCACAGGATTGCTATCTTAACACACGGGCTTAGCTCTAGCACTACTATAACCTATCTTCATTGGGCTAATATTAAGTTTACATGAGTAGGTAGGTATGTATCTACCTATATGCATATTTTTCTTTAAGAAAAAGCCCCCGTTTTGACATAGAAGTATTCGAATGATAGAAGTCTGGGTTCGCCTCATGTCATGTATGATTTCATGTGTAGCCATTAGAGAGGATTCAATGGCATTTCTAATATCTGTTCATATATTCAGTAATTTCTTGAGGAATAATCTATATAATTTCTTTTATTGATGCTGATACATGTAGCAATTAAGCTAGGTAACCACTTTCTGGGACGTTTTTATAGCTGGCTGGCTTTAGTACTGTGAGATAGGAATGACAATGCCGGATGTTGAATTATTTTTAGAGCAGATCCCTCAACATTATATACCTTAGTTAGGTGTTTTCGTAAAGATCAATATGCAAGGTTTCAGCTTATACAATTACGTCGTATACAAATTCTTAAGCGATAGATTCATATACTGTGCGATACATAATACCTATAACGACATCCTATGTTGTTATCTCTAATGGCATAATACGTATACACAGGTAATAAAATGTATATGAAATGTATATAAAATAACCATGTAAAACTTCGATTATTGTACGCATATAGATGAGTATGGGGTAAGGTAGTTGGAATAAGCTCAACCAACATTGGTATAACGTTGAAGGCTCAGAAGCGATTACGTACTCCAAACTCGCCCATTGCTAAAAGCGTCGGTTCTAGTTCAAATTGTTGGCCATGATTGGACGAGAGTGTTGTACAATTAGCCGGGATGTAGCAAACTTACAGCTTTGAATCCATTGACGGAGGGGAGAATGTTGGCTGACAACATGCTTGTATGGGTTGTGGTTCCCTTCAGTGTAACTTATATCTTGCCTCTAAGAAAAGGTATTGGCTTAAGAAAAGGTATTGGCTAGCTGACGTCGCAGCGTACCTCACTTACATGAGGAACGGTTCGTTAGTGGATGCGTTATCCCTACCGGTTACGTTTCCGCCTACTTTTATAATTGATCCGGGGAAGCTGAGTTAGTTTCCATTTGATAGAACAGTCGAGATCGGTAAATATTCTTAATCGTTCGTGCATACCTCTTATGACCAATGTTTTACTGATAACGACTTTCTTCGATTCCTATTTTATTATCCCGCTACCTAATCTTTGTACACTCACAACACAATCTCTCGTTCAGATACGGGAATTCCTCTAACCCAGGCCCTCACTAGTACATATTCAAAATTCTCCAACCAAATTTTAGGATAAAGATAATGAATAGCTACCTCATAAGGCTAAAAAGAATTCGTATCGATCGTCGAACCTGGAAAGCACTTGACTCCATAGTAACGAGGGAACTCCTGAATCCACGGGTTTAACCATGGAGATGCGATAGTTTTAACCGATGTAATCCAACGCCAATCTTGGTAAATGCATACTACAACATCCTATGAACCCGACTATGAGAGTCCTAGGTACCTTGCTACGTGAGCGGCGGCCTCACCAGCTACCTCACCGGCTGCTTCGCTTCCCCCTTCACTACTCTCTCCGTGGCCCGCGATCTCGTGGGGGTTCGGGAAGTAAAAGGCGGCCACGGCGATGGCGACATAGACAATAATACATAAGAAGCCCTCTAGATAGTCGCTCTTCTGGTCCCTTAGGAAGTTTCCAACAGTGATAATAGCGAGGATCAACATGACAATATCGAATATTTCAAAGTTGAGGTCCATCGGGTAGCCATAACCCCATCCGACAATAATAACCAATGGGGCATTTAGCATGGCGGTTTGGATGGTAGCGCCAATACAATGTGTAAGGGCAAAGTTGATCTGATTATCCCAGGCCTCGTCGATGGCCGTTAAATGTTCGGCAGCTTTTTCGACCAGAGGAACCAAAATCAAGCCCATGAAGGGATCGGAAACGTGACCCTGTTCCACAATGGGCGTAATCTGATCGACTAATGCAATGGCAATTAACGTCACAAGGGCTACCGAAATGGCTAGTGCCAAGACACACTCCGTAAATGTTAACTTGGCTTTCGCCCGGTCCTTGTGACCATCGGCATCTCGTTCCTCGTCATGCTCGAATACAGCGTCGTAAATACCGTGGTGGGTATGCATCTGGAAGAAGAGGAAGACGGCATATGCGATAAGGAGAAGGATTGCAATGATGTGTGAGATACTGAGTATCCTAGCATCAATCTCTTCTGTGGTAAGGTTGTAGCCCGTACTCGTGATCGAGCGTTGGAAAACTGTAGGGATCGCTAGGCCAAGACCGCTGGGAGGCGTTAGCATTCTATAAAATGTAGAGTATGACTAGAATTAGGGCACAGGCGTACGCAATAAGTAGGAGGTTCGAGCCAACTTCGCTGACAGCACCGTGGAATGTGGCCTCTTCTCGTCGTAAACCAGCAGTAAAGAAACACAATCCCAAGCACAGTAGCATATTAGCTAAAATAGATCCGAGAATGGCAGCTTGAATAACGTAGTACTGGTTTTTACGAAGCAGAACCATGAATAAGATAATCTCGACGATGGATCCAATGGTGGTCTCGACGAGAACACCAAGCATATGCGGCATCTTCCTAGCTAGCTCCTGGCCAGCGAATCCGATGAGATTTGCGCATGGAACCATGGCGATGTACGCCAAACTGAACTTGAGTATATCATAGCCCTCATGAACCGCGAAATGGAGAGCAATTGCAGCGGGTACAAAAGGCCAGAGGATGTTCACAGCCCTCGATATCCAACTAGTAGATCGCCAAATGATGGCCAAGAATTGGAGAGGATGTACGCCTCTTCGTCCTGATTCTCCTGCCGACTTGATGCGTACAAGGCCGCGGATCCCACCCTCTGGGTTACCCATGGTCTCTTGTCGAGTCTGAGGAAGTGCCGATGCTTGCTTGTTGGTTTGAGAGCGTCGTGTAACCTTTTCGCGATCCCCAATAACACCCTCACCGTTTGCCGTCATCACAAAGCTTCAAACTACTTCTGTTTTGGTACCATAGAGAAAACTAGCGGGGAATATGAGGGGAAAAGAAAAGAAGAAAGTAACAAATAAATCTGAAGCAGCTGAGAAAGAAAGTTAGGTAAATAGAGAAAAAAAGACAGAAAGCAAATAGTTAAATGTTTGGCGCTTATGATTTCAATGCATCAGCCCCAGCGCAGTGAAACAATAAGGAAATATGAATAGATTTTTTATTACCCCATAGCTTATGGCCTGGCCAATTCATAAATTCATCCACTTGGCGCGCTGCTGCGTTGTTCTTTGCCAAGACCAAGACGATAGACGAATTAATGACTGCTTCTGCTTGCTTACAGTACATCGTCAATGTACTCGACCCCATATGCCCCGTCTATGTATCGTCAGGCCTCCGATGGCACGTGCTGCGCCGGATTCCAAGGATCCACCTATGAAACGGGGGGAGGGCCTGTATATATTAGATTTGACAGCCATAAATAAAGGCGGGGCAGTTAGATAGACTCCTCGAATAAGAAGCGGTGCTTTGTATAAAGGAACAATTCCAAGGTATGAGAAGCGGGACGAACTGAACATTATTTGTTTTGTTTTCTTTGTGAATTATATGAGGTAGGCAATCCTATTAAATAGGTGGTTAACTTAGGTTAGGTACTTAGGTACCTAGGTTAGGTAGGTGGACAGACTGGTCCTGGAGTTGGTGAGTTTTGATAATACCTCGACTCAGTTGTAACTTGACAGGTAAGTATGTAAATGAAACTACTTACTTAAGCCATTTACATAAGTGCTCTCTCCAGTGGCGTATGTATTAAATTAATAAGGAAATAGTAGTTCGTATTAGTTATACTTTAAATTCTAACTGAAGAATCTTTAACGCCATATGGCGTATAAGACTATCATTGATTACTCGTGTCGTTAGAAGCGGGTGGTATCGCGGTACGATACACATACCAAATTGCTAATGCTTAAAATATAAAATATAATTAAGCCGCAATGTCTTTATTTGGCAAATTAACTACCTACTTACCCCTGAGGCGTAAAAGCGGCTTAAGTATAGGTAGGAAATTCCTCGATTATATCGGCGGTTGGCTTTAAAACCGAACTATTTAACGCCTAATAATATGTTTTCAAGTGTTAGGGAAACACGGTACATTGTTCGTTTAAATTTAATTGGCTAAAACTTTTATACTATTTTTGAGATGGCATATCTTAAGTCTTTACATAGTCTTGATTTGTGAATACACTTGAGGACATATTCTCTACCTATATTAGCATATTAATTACTTCTACGGTTGACTGTTTTTATATTTTAGCATATAGGTATTAATGGCTTTATGTCTATCTTTATACAGGTCGCTAAGATCTTTAATGCTATTTAATGAAAATGTTACTTAAAACAGTTAATAAGCATCGTATGTAACAAGGGCTGTAAAAGGGCTTGGAACGTGTATTCAGGATAACTAATAATTTTCTAGGGTCTTAAGGTCCATGGTTCTCATCTCTTTAGAGAGGAAGATCCCGACCTATTTGTAAACAATCTAAGGTACGTATTTCAAAATCTAACCTAGTCTTCAATTATGTATTGGCTTTGCCTACATATACCTGCATACCTGTCTTATGATGTTTTTCCTCCAATAAATTCTAAAGTGGTTATCCTAACCGCCCTGTTGGCTATCTCTTGTGTCCAACAGTCTCTTGGCATTACTGTCCGTATGACATCGTACTATTCCATTTGTATGGCAAAGTGCAAAGCTCTTAGAAGATTCTGGTGACCTGTAGTAGTTCCGACTTGATCACGGGTTACAGGCTTCAAAACAGTATGCAAAACACCCACAATTATCTCTCATGCATAGGCACTTACTTAAATCTTCTAACCATATAGAGTTGGAACCCATTCCTTAGCTGAGCTGGAACGCTACCCTTTCGATAATTCCAAGCGTCTTGAGTACTTAGTTTTAGTCAACCTAGAAACTGGAATAAAGTTGGTTGGTTGATTGGTATATTTAACGCCGGGGAGAGGGGGAAGGACCAGCCCTCGCAAATCTCCCTAGGGGTATGCGGCGTGCAGAGCTATCTAAAGACTAATATACACTGTATCTATAATATTTGTTTCCCGATATCCTGCAAATCTAACCTTAAAAGGCACACATGATGATGTTCCAGCCGTTCCCGTGGGCTCCTCCAAGTGAGCTCGTATTCGGTGCAACATTGGCGTTCGGGGATTGCCTGATAAGGCGCCGATGGTTCGCTCTAAGCCGTTCTGTATCGAGCCTTCGTGGGTGTGAGGCCTGTCCTAGCCGTAGACACCGTCCCATTGCGGTTCGGCTGAACTGGAATAAAGTAATAAATTGTCAGGAGACAATCGGGTTATCCTATATGGTAGCCGCTAGACAGCAAGTCTATATAAGAAGGTAATCCCTCCCACCTATTCACCATAATTCCTAGCACCATCTTGTAAACTCCACCTCAAACCCCTCCTTGCGAAGTCAGATTGTTCTAGCTTAACATAGCAAAGCAATTTTTAACTGTCACCAATGGCAGGTTCATCCAAGCCAGACGAGCAGCATGAGGGGAGACGCTCTGTTAAAATTCCAGATTTATTTTCTTCTATAATGGCCCCCAAACCAGTAGTTAACCCAAACTATTCCAAGGTCAAAGCCGAAGGTGATGAATGGATTGCAAGGTAACTGTTTCTGTCTGAACACACAGAGACGGCAGAATTGACAGCGTTATAACTAATGTTCTTTAAGGATTATGAAAATGGACGAGAAAACAAGCGCCAAGAACAAAAGAGCAGACTTATGCTATCTTTGTTCTTTATGGGCGCCAGATGCTGACGCAGAATCGTTACGGGTGATGCTTGATTGGTGCCACTGGGTTGGTCCCCTTTTACCTATCCCTACAGCGTCTTACATCTAAAACATGTTTCTTATGGGAGTAAGGTATACTGATGAACGATACATAGGTATTCGTATTTGATGATCGTATGCGAAATAATTGATCCTGCCCTATGGCTTGCTAATAGCCCCTTTGCTGTAGAGTTCGATGAAGGTCACTTGAAGGATGATCCCGTTGCAGCGCAGGAAGAGATAAACGAGAACATGGCTATCATGGACGAAAATGCGCAACTAATAGATCCATGGGAAAACCCAATCAGATACGTCTTCCAGGTTTGCTGGTTATGGCTGAAGCAAAGGGCAACTCCAGGTGTGTCTTGGGCAGATCGATTTAACCTAGGCTTGCGATTAATCGAAAAGCAGAATTACAGCAACGTTACAAGGAGCAACACAAAGAATACTTCGATCAAATAGTAGCACAAGTCCAACAAGCAGCCAAGGAAGAGCTCCTAAGCCGCGATGTGCAGACATATCTAGAGGTCCGTAGGGGGACTATTGGGGTCTACCCTATTATCCCCCTCGCACAATATAGCCAAGGAATTGAGCTTCCAGAAAGCATTTTCTCTAACCGCTCTCTGCAAGAAATTATTCGATTATCGGCGGAGATCACGTTTATGTAAGTGTAAAATGACCTTAGGATAAACTGTACGGCTGCTAACGAAAAGACCAAGGACTAACGACATTCTGTCATATCGGAGAGATCTAGTACGTGACCCAACTAGAGCAAAGCACTGATTTAGATAAGCTAATTCTTCCCTTAGGAGTTAGGTGTTGACCATAATTTGATCCCGCTCCTCGAGAAGCAGGGTATGTCTGTCCAACAGTCTATCGACAAAATCGGTGCCATGATTAGCGACCGTTGTAAACGTTGGTACACTACGCTTGCCGAACTGCCTTCCTATGGCGAAAATGTAGATAGGGAGGTGCTCCTTTTTGTTGAGCTTTGCCGTAACATTGCCCTTGGAAATTTGCACTGGAGGTAAGTTTGCTATAAACCGGAAATAAGACAATAATGATGAAAATCTACTAAACCATCCGCTAGCTTCAAGACATGCCGATATTTTGATTCAGAGGAGGAGAGCAATGATATCCACCAGTCAAGAATAATACATCTTTCATCTTGAAAATGTCTTCGTTTGGGCACAAGGTTACTCACGCCCTTACTTTGTTGATGCCTACTACGATAAATTCCAATAAGTCAAGGACCTGTATTGAGGGACGTTCTGCAAGGTATCTAAATTGGTGAACACCATACTTGCGTTAAACCCCGGAGATTGCAACGAGCCCCCCATTGTTAAGGACAACTATAGAGTTATCAACTAGCCCTATGCATGCACTCTTTTAATAGTAGTTAGTGAGAACTTACTCTTCTACTTGATTAATCGATTACTATTACTACACTTACAAGATATCAACACCCGAATATCAGATATAGTACCCTTGATGAACGTCATACATAGAGTAAATATCGGGATAGATAGATAGAACTATTGACGCCTGCCCTTTTATCCTTTTTCGAGGGTGCTGCGCGCCTCTTATGTACCCAATCCTAGTAGATTTACCCCTGAATCCACCCCTAACTCACTTATACCTTGACACGAAATACAGGTGATACTGACACAGCAAGTGTGCTGTGGTGATTTTACTGATATATGGTGAGGCCTGAGTCCCTTGACCACAGCCTACCTGCCGTCTCACGGCTACTAATAAATACCTTGTACGTATCGTCGCATTTAATTGTATTTATCGTTCAAAGAGTACCTTGGCGTGGATAAAGCTTTATCAAGGGCCTTTAAATGTTTATAGTGAAATATCCTTTATTGCGGGGGTAGATATCTGCCTATCTTCCAATCAACTACTGGTCCCTACGTAGGTAGATTTTCCACCCTACTGTAACACTTTATGAGATATATATGTAGCATTTGCACATCATCCATCTCATACCTTAGAAAATTAAACTTCTTCGTATCAGGGTCAGAGAACCGATAGTTCGGTGAGAGTGGGTTGACTAGTACGGGATCGAATATAATAGTTAAACATGGGCCTGTATTTGAATGTATTCGAGAAAAATTTATTTTAAAAAAACATTATCAAAGTTTAAACTAGATCATCAGTCATTATGATAAACAACAAGATTACTTAAGTACTTAAGTAAATTAACAAAAATAAAGATTATAATTTTATTAATTTAGTTTAAATTTACGTAAATAAAAAACAAAACAAAGTAAGTTTTAAATAAATATAATAAAACGAATTTAAAAACGTTTAAAATGGTTTTTACATTTTATTATATAAATTTTAATATATTATAACTTAATTAAATTAACGTATAAAAATACGATAAAATATATATGTCGGTGTGTAAAGTACAAGTGGTGTACATTTAAAAAAAAACAAAACATAATACGAAATAAAATTATCGCGATAATTATTATTGTAAAAATTATAAATTATGTATATAAATGTTATTTAAAAAAATTTGCTTTTTATGTAAAAAATAATCACGTATTGCCACGTGACTATCCTTACGTAATAATATTTTATCATTAATAACTTTTTTTTTTTTTTTTTTTTTTTTATATATAACGTAATTACATATAATTTAATTAATTTAACATTAATAAAAAATTTTTTTTTTTAATCCGTTTTTTTTATATAATAACATAATTATTAACAAATTTTAATTTATTATAATAATAAATTTAAACAAATTAAATTAAATTAAATTAAAAAACGGTTAAATATATAATTAAATTTTTTATTTAATTAAATTTTATTAAATTTTTTCGTTTAATTTAATTTTATATTAAACCTTTTATTTAATTAAATTTCGTTAAATTTTTTTATTTAATATAATTTTTCGTGGTAAAATTTTATTAAATTAATTAAAATTAATTATTTTAATAAATTTAAACCATAAATTTAATATCATTTATAAAATTATACCTTTTTTAATCACACCATTTTTTAACCAATTAAAACTTAAAATAACCTTTTAAAATAACATTAAATTTATGGTTTAAAATAAGTTTAAAACCCCGTACATTAAAATTATACATTTAACGTTTTAAAACAATAATATTAATAATAACATTAATAATATTATTAAAAATAATAATATTAACGCGTTTTTATAATAAGTTTAATTAATTATATAATCGTATTAATTTTATTATTAAATTTATTAATTAAATTTACGCGTTTTAAGTTTTTTAAAATATTAAAAATGGTTATAATAACGGTTATAACGCGTTAATTTAACGCGTTAACCGTAATACCGGTTATAATAATAACCGTAACAAACGTTAAAACTTAATATATAAAACTGTATAAATATGTAAAAAAGGTTAAAAAACTTAAAAAATAATATTATTAACTTTAAATTGTTAAAAAAAAAAAATTTTATATATAATTATAAAATATTAAATTATTATATTTAAATATTTTACATAAAATTTAAATAATTAAAACGTTAAAAATTTTTAAACGTTAAAACTTAATATATAAAAATATAATATTATATAAATATATAAAAAAATTAAAAAAATAAATTAAATATATTATTAATTTTAAATTATTAAAATTAAAGTTATTTTATACGTTATTATAATATATTAAATCATTATAAATGTAATATTTGATTTTTTTATTATTAATAAAAACGTTAAAAACTTTTATAATATCGTATAACTTTAAACCAAAAATTTTTAAATGTTTTACCTGTAATTTATAAATATAAATACATAAACCACGCGTTACGTGGCGTAAACAAACGTAACCCGTTTTAAAAATTTCGGGTTTAAAGTTATTTAAAATAAAAAATTAATTAAAATTAATTAAAAAAGTTAAAATAAAAGTTATTTAATTAAAAATAAAATTATTTTTAATTAAATCGTTTAATTAAAAATAAAGTCATTTTATTAAATCGTAAAAATTATTAATTAAAGTTAATTAAAAATAATCGTATATAATAATAAATTCGATATAATTAATTAATTTTAATTTTATAATAAAAATTTTTAACGATTTTAATTTTTTTATTTAATATACCATCCGTTAAATTATATTTTTTATTTTTATATTTATATTTATTATCGTTATAATATATTTTAATACAATTAATAATATTTTATAATTTTATCGGTTATATATTAAATTTATTAAACTTTAATAAAATTATTTATAAAATCGGTTATACGTATAAAATCGGCTTTAATATTATTAATTATTTTATATTTATTTTATTTAATTATATCGTTTACATTTAAAATAATTTAAATATTATTTTTAAACAAATAAATATTTACCATTTAAATTATATCGTTACCGTAATAATTTTATTAAAATTATTAACGTAATATAAATTAATTATTAAAATAAAACTATTAAAATAATATTTTAATAAAAATATATTTTTATTAAATAAAAATATATTTTTATTAAATAAAAATTTCGGGAATTTTTTAACGTTAATTATTATTTTTAATTTTTTAAAAGTAATTTTTTCGTTAAAATATATTCCGTAATATAAAAAATAATTTATTATTAATTTTTAAAGTAAAAAATATACTTTTTAAAAATATTTTATTTATTATTCCGTAAAAAAACTTTTAAAATCATTTTATATTTATTTTAAATAATTTTAAATTAAAAATTCGAATTAATTTAAAAAGTTAAACTTTTTTAATTACATTATTTTTTTAATTAATTATAACTTTAAAATAATTTTTTAAAATAATATCGAATTTTTAATTTAAAACTTTATTAAAACCCGTTTTTTTAAAAATTAAATTTATAACATAAAAAATCATTAAAATCATTATTATAATCATTATAATGTTAACGCGTTTTTATTAACTTTATTATTAAATTTATCAATTAAACATACGTATTTTAAGTTAAAATTAATTATAACATTAACCGTAACATCGGTTATATCGGTCGTAACGCATCGGTCGTAACGCATTAATCGTAACGCATCGGTCGTAACACGCGTTATAACACGCGTTAAAACATGGTATTTAAAAAAATAAAATTATACAAATATATAAAAAAAAAGTTAAAAAGTTTAAATAATAATATTATTAAATTAAAATTAAAATAAAAGATATTTTATACGTAATATTATATTGTTAATTAATTTATTAATTATATTATTAATTATATTAATTTTTTACCATTTTTTTATTAAATATTTTTTTTAACGTTAAAGTTTAATATATAATAACGTAACGTCGTACAAATATAAAAAAAAGTTAAAAAAATAAAAAAAAATTAATAATAACATTAAATCATTAAAAAAAAAACTTTTTCGTACGTTATTATAATTTATTAAATTATTAAAAACGTTATTTTTTATTTTTATTAATAATTTTATGCCAAATGTTTTTTATAGGTTTAAAATAACTTTAAACTTAAATTTATAAAACGTTTTACCTGTAATTTATAAATATAATTACATAAGCCATGCGTTATATGGCGTAAACGGGCGTAACCCGTTTTTACGAGATTTAAATTTAAAGTCATTTAAAATAATCCCATATATTTTCGTCGCATTTATTATTATAATACTTAAAATAATACGTAAAACTTTTCGCATAATATATATTAATTTACTCCGCCATTATTTTATTTAATTTAAAATCGTTAAAGTTAATAATTAAATTAATATTTAAAATATTATCGTTAATATATTTATTTTATATTAAAATTATATTAAATAATTATAAATATAATAAAAATATTATAAAATACATAATAAAACGTAAATATTATAAACTTATAAATTAAATTTTAAATATAATAAAATATCCGTATAAATTAAATAAAAAAAAAAATAACGTAATAAAAAAAAAGAAAAAAAAAATAATATAAAATAAAATTATCGCAATAATTATTATTACATTAATTAATTAATGATATATAAATTATATATATAAATATTATTTAAAAAAAATTACTTTTTATATAAAAAATAATCACGTGTTACCACGTGATTATCTTTACATAATAATATCCCATTAATATAATATTTACTTTATTTAATATAAAATAATTAAAATATTTTTTCAAAATTTTAAATGTTAAAATAAAGTTAAAATTTAAAAATATAAAAAATATATTTTAAAAAAACCTTTTAAGTTTAATATTTATTTTCTTAATATATTTATATGTAATTAAAATATTAAAAATCTTTTTTAAATAAAAGATATTTTAAAGTTTATAAATATATTATTTTTATAATTATCGTAAATAAATTGGTAAAAATATATATGTTTTTATAAAAATAAACCTTTTAAAAGTCGAAAATATTACCTTTTTTTATATAAAAGTA